CCCATGATGCCATGATCTCTGATCCAGTTATGAAGGCAGATGCTATGGCCTCACACTACCATAGTATCTTGAATTCTCCTACTCCAGCTTCTATCTCAGAAGCAATACTGCTTCCTTTGGCTCTTTCACTTAGCTGTGATGATAATTCATCCATAAACCAGCCATTCACATTGCATGAGCTAGAAAATAGTATGCATAACCTTAAAAACTCATCCCCGGGGCTAGATTACATCCACATAAAGCACCTTGCAAACCTAACCTTGGAGTACAAACTTTGGCTTCTCAATATCTACAATGACAGTTTCTATTCTAACACAGTGCCCATAAAATGGAAAACTGCACTAATAATCCCAATTGCAAAACCAAACAAGCCTCTGACAAATGTATCTTCTTATTGCCCAATTTCACTGCTTTCATGCGTCGGCAAGTTGCTAAAATCCTTGATCAACAAATGCCTGACCTTTTTCCTGGAACAAAGGAAAGCATTCCGACCAAGTCAAGGAGGCTTCTGATCTCGCGTGTCTGCTGTTGATCAGGTGGCCAGACTGACTACAGCAGTGCGAAACATGCTAAACAGCAAAGGTGTCATGGTGGCAATATTCTGTGATTTTACTAGTGCGTTTGATACGGTATGGCACAATGGCATCCTATCCAAGCTTGCCAGATGTGGTGTACAGGGAGTAATGTTGAGATGGCTCAAAGTATACCTAGAAGACGGACACTTTCAAGTTTTCTTTGAGGGGGAACTTTCTTCAATGAGAAGGATAGGCTCAGGAGTACCCCAAGGAGCCATCCTTTCCCCCACACTCTTCAACATACTAATGCATGACATACCCTCCATCCCTGGAGTAAAATGTATTGAGTATGCGGATGATGTGGCATTTTTTGCTACAGATAAGGATATTGGATCTGCAACTGCAAGACTGCAGAATCAGTTAGATGAATTTGGTAACTGGGCTTGCCAGTGGGGCCTATCACTTAACATCAGCAAAACAAAGTGCATGTATTTCACCCATAAGAAAGTAAACCCTCCCTCCCTCTTGTGTAAAGGCCAACCAATTGAAGTTGTTTACCAGTTCCGTTATCTTGGAGTGACTTTAGATGCTCCGAGACTGTGCTGGGGAGCACACATAGAGGCTCTCAGAATTTCATGCATTCCTATTGTAAACTTGCTCAAATGTATAGCTCGCAGACAGTGGGGAGCAGATTGTATGTTGCTCCTAAAACTATATAAAATATTAGTCGTCTAGATTATGTGGCTCCCTTTTATGCTTGTGCTGCTCAAACACAGCTCTCAAAACTGAACATCATTCAAAACAACTGCTTTAGGACTGCCCTGGGGTGCAGAAAAATCACTCCAATTCGATCTCTTGAAGTTGAAGCTAACATCCCTCCCCTCTCAATTCATCGTAAAGAGCTTCTGTGTAAATACTACTACAGACTCTCAACACTTCCAATATGTTCCATAATTCATGATCTCTTCCATGCCTAGCAACAGGACACACACCCTCCTATATCTGTCTCACTTTTACCATCCTTTGCCACTCATGCAAGAAAAACCTTCTCTGAACACAATTTACCTCTCCCCAGACCGTTGCGACTTCCCTTTCTTTCTCCCCTTCCACCCTGGTTCAACATCCAGCAGCACATCCTAACAACATTCTCATAAACTCCTGTATCGGGCCTCACATCCAACTCAGCTTCACAAACCTTCCAACTTTCCAAGACCTCCTGCAGACAAACTTTGCCAACTTTACAGCAGCATACACAGATGGCTTACGAGTAACTGAGCCTGTAGTCTCGTCATCAGCAGCCATGGTGGTGCCTTCTAAAGGTGTTACACTCAATTGGAAACTGCGACCTGAGGTTTCAGTCCTAGAAGCTGAGCTATTTGCTCTCCAAGAGGCACTTGAGTGGGCCCAGAACAACCTCAGTCATTGTGAAAAGTTTGCCATCTTCACAGATTCTCTTAGTTCATTATATTTAATCAAAGATAGGAAACCTCAATCTTATGTGCACCTTGTTTTCCAGATCCAAGACAAGTTGCTGGTGCTGGCAACTCGACATGAAATCAAACTCCAGTTTGTTCCAGGGCACTGGGGCATTGCTGGGAATGAGGCAGCCGATCACACAACTTCAACAGCTCATGCCCCACGGTATCATACCATTACTCCAATGACGAAGGAAGAGACGGTAAGGAAATTCCATTCTGTTTTTGTTGAGGACTAGCAGCAAAAGTGGCTTGGTGACACTCATGACTCTGGAACAGGCTTATTCCTCCTCCAAATCAAAGACAAAATAGAGAATTGGCTATGGGCATCAAACAAAAGCAGACTAGTTGAGACAGCACTAGCTAGACTTCAGCTCGGACATGCTGGCGTGAGAGCACACATGGCTCGCTTTGGGATGCTAGACAATCCAATGTGTAACTGTGACCTGCATGCTGAAACTATTGATCACCTATTGCTTCATTGCCATCTGCATTCCCTACTCAGAACTAATCTAACTAACACACTAACCATACTGAATGTGAATTTAACAATAAAAAACTTGTTTGGAGGAGGACCATTCCCACTGGAGGTGCAGACTAGAATAATCAAAGCCACTTCTGATTACCTGACAGCAATTAATGCTCTGAAGCAAATGTAATTCTAGTTTAGGAACTTCTGGTGTAAGGTATTCTCAATTGTTGCCAATAGTAAATAGAATTTTGATTATTAGCTAAAACCTAAAAAGCATCTCCTTGTTGACTAACTGTGAATAACAATCTGTGGCACTAACCTTATCTCGAATCTTCAATAAACGCACCCACTGGTGCACCCAGCAGCTCAAGTAGGGGCGCTCTGTGCAGATCAATTGACTAATGTAATGACTGCATTTGTGAAGGGTGCCTTTATTTGTCTGTCATGTATCCTCATCATCCTTTGCCTCTTCAGAACTCTGCCCATAAGAGATCCATTTTGTTTGCACATTTAAATTAGATATTACTTGTACAAGGCCTATTGGCCTCAAGAGGCTCCAGGTTGAGCTGCCCAGGCTGGACCCTTATCTAGCTGACTGGTTCTCATATGTGGCACAAGGTAGGGCATCCCCTAGATACTAACTGGGTTACACTAGCATCAACATTTGAATGTTTTCTGTACCACTTTCAGTATAATAGAGTAACACTTGTTTATAATCATTATGTGATTTTGAAATATATTGACCCATGTAATGTCCTCAGCAAAATATTCCCTGATTGATGATACTGGAACATACACCCTCGTTTTGAAATTGTTGATTAGCTATTGTTGCAATGCTTGCATTGCTCTGTGCTGTCAATCCTCTTCATGTATCCACAGTTGCTGTGGCTTTGTCTGCAACATATTCCCATACAGTTGTGGAGCTACATGGACAAGTCTTCAAAGCTCCAATAATCACCAATCACCACCACCACCATTTGATACAACGTTCAGACTCAGTGGCGGTCTGGTGGATAACCAGTACCCGCTGGGATATTCGCTTCAAAATATGGTGGCGTAAAGCTCCTGATATTTAAAGCTGGGCTGGTTACCGACGGATGGCTTAGTCCGCGGCTGATTGGTGGTCTTGTAATGCTGCATATACCGTCAACCGGGGCTACTTGGAACAGTTTTGAGCGTTTTTTTAATAACTCTTGATAACTTCTTACGATTAAACATTTCATAAACAAGTTTAGGCTCATTTTATAGCTCTTTGCAAGGGCTATCAAATGGCATCTTAAAAAAAATTCCATATGCTATTTGTAAGGTGCCAGAGCCAGACGCAAAGTAAAACCATCCCAAATTACGCCTGGGAACAGGGTAATCCAGGACACTTAAAATAAAACTCAATTTTAAAATGTTTGCAGCATGCAGAGTGTACTCATCCATTACTAACAGTACTCTGAAGACCTCCTTTATCATTGTAGATGATGTAGATGTAGAATAAATGACATTTTCTGTGTTTTTTACTTGTTTATCCTTTATTGATATGAAATCACCATATTCATTCATTACTGTATTATTGATGTGATATTACCATATCCATAAACATGTCACTGAACATTGACAATGACCTTTTCCACTGCAAGCTTCATATCAGCAGCTGCACAGCATTTCTTCTGTATCTGTAAGCTTACAGGATGGCTTGTAATTTCACACCATTTTGATTGGGTCAAGTGAATTCACTATAACAAAAAATATCATAAAAACATACCTGAAACAGAAAGGAATATTCTAGTGACAACCATCATATTTTTTGGAGAAATAAATCATAGTTTAGGCTAATTACTTTTCATTCTATGTTGCCCAGTGCACAATTCTATTGATGACATTCTTTGCACAATTTGGTAATGACTGATGATACATTAATTGTTCGTTATTTGAATTTTTCGCTGGGTAGGTAAATTTGATCAAATTTTTTTGTTGTTAATTGATTTTTTTTGATTAACCATAGCCTTTGCTAATTGAGGTTTTAGTATAAATGGGTTTTTAGAGGTGTCCCTTATTACCCCGTCTTGCAAAAATAGCCGCTGTTTTTTTTACTGAAATTTGCAAATTCTGTCAAACATCTTTTTAGACAACACCTGTTTGCAGCTTTTATGCAAGTAAAATTTTTTAATATGGTGTATATTTTTTTTGCTGAAGACCATAGTCCAGGTAAGTACTCTTCCAAAATCTCACTTGTCACACATTTTCCAGTTATTTTTTTAGAGGTAGTAAATGTATGATTTCTTAACTCCCCTTGTGCTACATTGATAGTAAAAATGTTGAAATTTATGCCACTATTATTAGTTATACAATATTTTGATAAGTTTAGCTGCCACAACATTTCTACGAAATGTGGGATGACTGGCACAATTTACCCCTTCCGTCCCCTATTACCCCATTTGACGGTACTAAATTATAGTATCTAAGTCAATGTAGTCCATTCCATTTTAATTTTTCTAAATGTGTTTTTTCAAGGAATTATGATTTTAGTAAGTTGTATTTTTAAATTTAATTCCATTATTTTTTACCTTTCAGACCCTAGACTGACTTGAAGAATCTAAAACTCTCTCTTTCAACAAATTGAGATCTTTTAAACTTCAATTATCTTCGTCAATGCCTAATGAAACCTGAGCATTTTCCTGCTGGTTTTGGACAGCAGTAGAAATTTTCATAAGTATTGATCATATATATATTCACATTGATGAAAGTTGCATTTGCTTAAGTGAGATTGTAATAAAACTTCAAGATGCCTCTTCCTAGTCTGTCAGGCCACTTGCCACATAAAAGAATGGCTGGCTCAAGCTCTGCTTTGCTTCCTGCTGCTGATGCAGATGTAGAATTTTCTGAACTTGATCATAATTGTGAGGACCAGAAACCATTTATAGGTCATCAACTAAACCTCAACCCTGAAATTATGGGAGGGCAACTGAAGCTCTCAGATTCCGAGTTCGCAGAGGATGATGAAGATGATGTTATTGATGATGATTATGAAGGAGAAATATCAGAAGAGCAGCACCAAGAAATGAAAAACCTAAATTATGCCTACAGTAGATTTGATTCACAGAGATCTGCTATGCCTCTGAGTGAGTAGTGATCAAGCTAGGTCTGCAATGGTGATTTACAGAATTAATATTCCATGTTTATTTGTAGCTTGTTCCTACTCTAATAATTGAAAATTATTGCTGTCATTTTTTATATCAGTTGCTTATTGGCAGTTAGATTATTGCTGATAAAATTATCATATTTATGATGTGGCTTGTTTTCAGAAATGGAGATTCCTGAAACTTCATCTCTTGGAGAGATTGAGTTCTCTGGGAGATTGAAAAATTACCAAGAATTCAATCAAAGAAACTCTTCCTGTACATCAAGAGCAGACAGCCCCTTCATCCCTGTTCTGTCTTCTGGCCATGTGAGCATGGGTGATAGTCAGAGCACTCATACAAGTGATTTTTATCCATCTGGCATATTGGAAGATGGCAAAAGGCTGCTAGAGAAACTCAGTGGTGCTCCAGATTCTCTGGAGAAAGCCCTCATCATCAACCAGGCTCTACAGCACAGATTTTCCCTCAGCATAGAAAGACTGGAAGAAACCCTGAAGAGAAACCTCCGTAGGCAGGTGAAGTCTTGAATTGCAAAGATTTGAATTTAAGCAGAATTTTCTTTATGAAAGAGCAGTATGTATTGAACATGTGATGAACTGTACTGTCTTCAGTTGTGAAGTTGCTTGGTAAATATATATATATATATAATTGAATTAGTCAAAATTTCTTGAAAATATTCCTATTACCATGTATAATTTATATTTGATAGTACTCCTTTAATCGTTTGAATTTCTATTTATAATTAAATTTAATCTGTGTAATGAAAGAAATTCTGTACTGTTCACAGTTAATTTTTAAACCATGCTTGATTCCTGCAAAACAGGGTGACTTGGACCATGAACCAGGTGACTTTGACCATTTTTAGCTCCTACTTTTTTTGCGACATAAATAGTCACATAGTACATATATAAGATTTATATCTTTTTGCATTTGTAGGTTATCTCATGGTCCTTTAAGAGCCATCAATGCTTATACATTTTGAGTATAAGGTTTTCTTTTCTTAAACGTAAAAACAGTCCAAGTCATCCCCTCAATGGTCCAAGTCACTCTGTTTTATGGTATAACTTTTTTGCCCTCCTAATGTTTTAATTTCAATTTTCAGTTGCTTTTACATGACCAAGAAGACATGGAACGGCTCACAATTGAAGATGAAAAGCAAATGCGTGCCTCAGACTCGCGCTATTTTTTGAGGATCTCTTCTTTCTGTCGACCATATTTCAAAACAAAAATTGGCATGCCAGCTCCGATGAATGAAGATGCTAAGGAGAGATTGAAACTTGGTTATTTGGACATGTACCAAACTCGTCAACGTCCATGTGGGTCTCCTAACCATAACATACTTATATTATTGACTATTAAGTCCATAATAAAAGTCTAAGTCCATAATATAGGGATATAATACCTATATTATTATATAAAATACCTGAGTATATAATACCATAATATTGGTAAGTCCATAATATATATGAATGCTTAAATTTTTTATTTTGGAATTTCTTGATTTGACAGATGACTACTTCACAGAGAATAAATTTAATATTAGTCAGCATGTTTTTTATAAAATCTTTGTATTTTTTATTAAGTTATCCTAATAAGAGTTTTGTCACTTTTCAGGGTCAGCCAAAGAAGACCACAAACTGCAAGAAAGAGTGAAGTTTGAAGCCAAGCAAGAGAGAATCAAGCTACTGCAGCAGCATCTAAATGCCCTCAAGAGAGAAATGAAAAAACTTTCCAACTCAGAATCATTTCAAGTATGTCTATCTATTCTAAATTTACTTGCTTTGTTTTCTACCTACCTTAAACTATGTATAGATTTCATCAGGTCATGTTTTAAACTTAAAAAAATTGAAACATTATTAATTATCATTGTTTTGGGAACTTAGAAGGTTATTTCTTATAATTTTAAGTTAGTTTTCATGTGTTAACCTTGATTAAAAAAATACCTTTAGGTTGAATAACAGTTTTCTTGTGTTTAAAATCATTTCTATGTAAGCTCTAGTTTTCCAAAAAGTTAGCCAGTCAATATCAATGAATACCCTTGAATAGATAAACAGTTCTGCTTTGAAATGAAGTTCTTCCTAACCCATAATAATCAAACCTAAAATTATTGCGTTTGAATATATGTGGAAAGATATTTATCCTAAATATAATATTCTCTGTTAATTATTTCAGTGGTTGTCTGAGTCTGACTATCAGTGGCATAGTTCCCATTTAGGATAGAATAAAATAGAAGTGTTGGCACTGAAGAAAGAGGCCCATGGCCTGTTGCTGATTCTTGAATTTTTCCTGACTTGATTCACAAGGGATCCGGCCTTTGGAACCCGATCTTTCCATAACTGACGATTGATTGAGATAGCTGCTGGACTTCTTACATAGGTCCATAATTTAGTGGATTTGTTCTGTGTTCAGGACATAGAGTTGGCTACGTTGTCAGCTGAGATAGTCAAGTGTGAGGATGACAAGAAGGAGTTGCAGGGAACGCCTGTACGCAACATCTCTGTTCCCGCTCACCTCAAACTTGACTGGATCAGGATAGCTGCACAAACGGTGGGTACAAATTTACTACAAAACCAGTCAAATATTCTTCATTTTCATCTTGGAAAAAATTTTTATCATACAGATCTATCTTGTAAGTCGAGCACTCCTTTTTAAAGAGTTGAATGTTTTTTGGTGAAATTTATAAACTCTCTCAGGTCAATAGTATTATTTCATCTCAATTTAATTTAGAAAACTGTATTCTTTACATAGGCTTGAGGAACCCAATTCTTTAGAAGAAGAAAAGTTTCTTTTGTGTGCATACAAAAAAATTTTATAAATGTATCCGACTTTTACAAAAGGAATGTCTATATATGTTGAACTTTTTTGTGTGCATATTATAGTAATTTCTCAATTTTATAAAATTACTTGATGTGGTATTGTAGGAAATTTCTAGATGTGAGTGGTCCTTTTGTATGCATATGTGTGTGATTTATACGCGTGCGATTAACGACCATAGAATTCGTTGATTTAAATTATCAAATTATCGTTAATAAACTAAAACTACTTCCTGATATATGCTTTTCGATCTACCAACGTCATCTGAAGAATTGCCCGACTCTTTGATAATTTAAATCAACGAATTCTCTGGTCGTTAATCGCACGCGTATAAATCAACTAATTCTGCCATCCAAAACTAATATGTGTGTGAGTAAACACTTTTTTGTGTGCATATGATAGAAATGTAATGTGAGTAAACACTTTTTTGTGTGTCTATGATAGAGATGTAATGTGAGTAAACACTTTTTTTGTGTGCGTATGTTAGAAATGTAATGTGAGTAAACACTTTTTTGTGTGCGTATGATAGAAATGTAATGTGAGTAAACACTTTTTTTGTGTGTGTATGTTAGAAATGTAATGTGAGTAAACACTTTTTTTGTGTGTGTATGATAGAAATGTAATGTGAGTAAACACTTTTTTGTGTGTGTATGATAGAAATGTAATGTGAGTAAACACTTTTTTGTGTGCATATGGAAAGCATGACTGAGCTGTAGTTTGTTCCTCTGTACCAGCTCATTATTACATATCATAAGTGAATGTAAAATCACATGATGGGCAGAGTGATGGTCACCGCTCTGCTGATGAGTGTCAGCTCCGCTGGCAGGCTCTTCTCAGCCCCAACATCAGCCAAAAGGTGTTCTCAGAGGAAGACGATATTGCCATATCGGTCAGTTAACCTATACTGTAATTATGCCAATGGAATTTACTAAGGAAGATTTTATTGCCAGAATGTCATTACTTTGATATTGATTACACATTTTGCCTGTTATTAGTTCATTGACATCATTTGAAGAAACACTAGCATAGTTTTCTGTGTGCTCCTCTTCTTATAATGTTAATGTGTGAATATTATATTGCATATTATATGCTTAAAGGGGTGGCAGGTATGAATTATTCATATGCACACTTTCAAATACATTTTCAAATGAAAATAAATTGACATTCTTTTTGCCAATTGAGAATTTCATTTTTATTGCTGCCAAATTTATTTACTTATAAACAAATTAAAATTTGTTCCTTATGGGGGCTGCATTCATTGCAGTCCCCTTTGCTTCATGAATGTAAATTAAAAATTTTATTGTTGTTTAAAGTAGCTAAATCATGATTAGTAAATTCAGTTGCCATGCTCACTTAGGCTTGTGACCAATCAATCATTGAGGCGCTGGAAGCGATGAACTATGATGGATTCTATCTTTGGTATTTTAGAGACGGTTAGCAATCTCTGAGATATTGTTAGTCATGAAAGAGTTTGTCATGAGTTATTCTTCATTTTACTGTACGTCCTGTGTTGCTGAAATTCGTTAAATACTGGGAGAATTGTATAGTTCTTAGAATTGCCAAGCCACTTTTTTACTGTTAAAAACCTTTCTTATTACAGGCTGCTGTTTGCATCGTTAAATACTGAGAGAATTTTAAAGTTCTTAGAATAGCCAAGAAATTCATTTACTGTTTGAAATCCTTTCTCGTTCCAGGCTGCTGTTCGCAGCTACGGGACGTCTAAGCCGGACTGGCAAGCCATCGCCAATCAACTCAGTGAGCCTCGCTCAGCCTTCCAGGTATGATCACAACTTTTGGTAAAGGACTTTCTATCATAAATATTTTGCCTTGAACCTTGCATTACGGGTATTGTACCTTGAACATTGCACCATGAATATTGTACTTCGAAACTTGCAACACTATTATCTAGTTGGGATTTCATTTCATGAGCCATGATCCATATCACTTGCAGTGCTGTAATTATTCGTAAAGTAGCATGGAGTGCTCTAAGTGTCCCTCTTAGTTATACATCATGCTTTCAATGTAGGCAAATTTCGAAATTTCAAGCATAATATCAGAAGCGATTTTATTTCTTAGAGTTTAAAACATGAATTACTGCTTCTGCAGTTTCTGTATTCAGCGGTTCATAGGTCTGAAATTTCCTTTTTTGATCTTGCACCAGCATTCAGCAGTGTCAGTTCTTCATAGATCTGAAATTTCCTCGTGTTTATCTCTCTTAGATATCTCGTCATCGTCAATATCAGTTCTTCATTTATCTGAAAATTACTCCTGTTGATCTCAGGTATTCCCTTGTTATCAGTCTTTCATTTATCTTCAAATTACTCGTGTTGATCTTAGGTACCCCATTGTTATCAGTCTTTCATTTATCTTCAAATTACTCATGTTGATCTTAGGTCTCAAATTGTTATCAGTCTTTCATTTATCTGATAATTACTCGTGTTGATCTTAGGTATTCCATTGTTATCAGTCTTTCATTTATCTTCAAATTACTCGTGTTGATCTCAGGTATTCCGGCGATATCAGTTTTACATCTATCCAGCCCTGAATCCTCCCAAATTCACACCTGATAAATCCAATCAGCTGCTCAAGCTCGTACACAACCTCAAAGTTGGTGACTACATCCCCTGGTCACAGGTAATTCTCTAATAAAAATATGCAAAAATGTTTCAATTAATGATTAAATTTATCCTTGTCTGTGTATCCTTACATTTAATAGGAGTTCTAGGTACGTTTGAATAATGCCGGCTATGTTATGTCATCGTTTCCTCATCACACGAATTTATTTGTAGCTCTGATCTATACTTTCAAAAAAGTTAAGATATCGTAAGTTCATCCGCCAATCATTGACGGCCTTTCAAGCAAAATCCACCAATCATAGATAAGAAAATAGAGCGTAAGTACTTACGTTCACTTAGCGAGTTTTGAAAGTATGGGCCCTGATTTATAAATGTATTAAATAATTTTAGATTTTGTAAATTTAAATTTTGTTGTGTTCTGTTGTTTTAGGTGCACCAGCAAATGCCAGGTTTCACTAGAACTCAGCTGCAAGGGCTGTGGAAGAGACTGAACCCGAACCGTCGCAAAGGCCCGTTCAACAAACATGAAGATACACTCTTTGTTCGGGTACTAAAGCTTCTTTCATTTTGATCTGTGCTGCAAATTTTCATTTAACTGTTGCGAAAAGATCCCTTAAATTTAATTATTTCAGCACTGGCTCGTGATGGAGCCTACTAATCTTGGTTCATCATCAAATGATGTTACAATCAGTTAAGTTAAATATAAAATTTTCTCTATTTTTCATTTCATTAAAAGAAATTATCAGCACCTGACAATCATCTTGAACCTATAATAAAAGCAGCAAGTGAACAGCATTACTATATTTTAATCATGAGTTATTTGGCTTAGTTCACTAAATGGTGCTGCAAGATCTTTTTTATATATTAATGGAATAAGGAATTGATGCTATACCTTGCATGTAGCTTTATTGATGTTTATCAAATCAATGTATAAATCAATTTATAAACAGTTCACTACTCTTCTCAGGGCCTGCACAAGTACGGGCTAAACCTGCAGCAGATTGTGCAGTTCATGCCACAACGCAACTACGAACAGCTCAAAGATAGATTCCGACGCATCATTGTGCCAATATTCTTGTCTCAATGGACTCAGTGAGTAGTTGCGATTCATTAAATGATATGAAATTAATTATTGTATAAATGAGATTATATTGACAGTTCTGTAACATTGTCTTCATTCATGATGGAATGGATCAGTTGAGTTCCTAACAAAAATCTAATGCTTTAACACAAACCGACTTTGGCTTACTGGCCTTTCTTAGCTGTTATAAGTATTTGCTTTTTTTAACTGTATAGTTTGGTGTTTTTGAGAAATCATCCATATTCCTACGTTTAGGGTAAATTTTTGAAAAGATCTCTAGGAATTAAAGATGTCATTTAACTTTATGAAGCCAGCTACATTGGGCATTCAACTTTTTATGATGTAAATCATTTCCGAAAGATTTATCAGTTGTCCCATTTGTTGGAATGTATTTTGTTAACTACGAATATCCTGAATTGCACCCTCTCTGATCCAAACATTTACGTAGCCTTTTTTCTTATTACTTGGCAACAAGACTCTCCTGCATTTTTCAGTATCTAAATAACCTGCCGACATATTTCAGTCAGATCAATGAAGTATGTTTGTGCATTTTGCACCTGCTGAATGATATTCTGACAAATTTCAGTGACCTGGACGAAGAGTGTTTGTGCATTTTGCACCTGCTGTATGTTATTCTTACGAATTTCAGTGAGATGGACGAAAAGTGTTCAGGCATTTTCCACCTGCTGAATGATATTCTGACAAATTTCAGTGAGATGGACGAAGAATGTTCAGGCATTTTGCACCTGCTGAATAATATTCTAACAAATTTCAGTGAGATGGATAGAGAGCTGCTGTCACTCACCAAGGCCGTGGAGCGTGCGAGTCTCAGCACGAGCTTCTGGCGACGCCTGGCGTCCGTGCCCGGCTTTGCGGCGTCCGGCAAAGACGCTGCTATGCTCAGGATACGCTACCTCATCCTCAAGCTCTGGCAGGAGGTCTCACTCTCTGACGAGGTCTGACGCCTTTTTACCACTTTAATAATTCAAAAGAAAGTAAATTTAAAATATTTCAATTTTTACAGCAACATTAATATTCTTACTTATTATGCACTGAAGACTTTTTTTCACTCTCTGACGAGGTCTGACGCCTTCTTACCACTTTTATAATTTAAAATAAAGTAAAATTTAAAATATTTCATTTTTACAGGAATATTAATATTCTTACTTATTACGGTATGCATCTAACCACTTGAATAATTTAAAATAAAGTAAAATTTAAAATATTTCAATTTTTACAGCAACATTAATATTCTTACTTATTATGCACCGAAGACTTTTTGACATTTTCGATGTTTTGTCATATTTCATGATTAATGTTTGAATCATTATCTTATTACTTCATATAGAAACAAGAATAATTATAAAATGCACTGAATATTATGATCATCTCGAAAATCTTAATTGTCTTTCTTTCCATTTGTGAAGAAATGGTCGGCCTTGTATAAAGTTTGAATCACTTGTGTCATTTGCTTGAGTCAAGCATTACTGTCTGTCATTTGCTTCGATTTGAAATTCATTACAAATTTAAAATAAGAGCAAATTCCACAAAAATTATCATATCTTTATATGAAACTATCATTGCTTCAGTCAAGACGACCGGAAAATCCTGCTTAAATGAGCTCTCATGTCTGTCCTATTTTTAAATCAGTGTTAATATACAGATTAATCAAAGCCTTACAACCATCAGTCATACAAATGAATAAATTTTGAGGAGAGCGTCCAGGTTTTCCCTCACTAATTGAGTGTCTATGTTACAGACCACAATGCCGCCCCTGTTCCCCGTGTCCATCACTCGCTCCGAGGAGGACATCGCTCTCTTCAAGTCTTATTTCCTCAAGTCTGACTTTGTCGAAATGCGTGAAATTGTTGATAAAGTCAATGCTGGAAAACACATCGTACGTTGCTTATTGCCAATGAGTAGTTGTGTAATTAATCTTGATTATATTACCATTTAAATGGGCATGTCCATCATTATTGGACACGCCTGTTAATAATATGCTAACGTTTTCTCTGTTAGTATTTTGTTACTTATTGAAATTCATGCCTATTTAATCCTTGCCTACTCATGATTTTAAATCCTTAAATGTAGTATTCAAATGTCATCTGGACTGATTTTATGTGCTTGAGTTCTGAATTTCTATTCTTGTTCGTAATATTTATTCTTTTATTTTAGAAACTTGAAGATTCGTGTGAGATCTCTTACTGAAACTTTTAATTGACTGTGCAGAAAGTTGCAATGCATGAGCTTCAAAAGCGTCGTGCAAGGCTGCACAAGCAGCACGACCACCACATGCGTCCCGTCATAGCCAAGGAGAAGCCCGTCTGTGTGGGGCTCCGTATCAACCATCTGCACATGCATCATCTCCACCAGCTGGCCACCAAGGTAACCACCTGCACATGCATCATCTCCACCAGCTGGCCACCAAGGTAACCACCTGCACATGCACCACCTCCACCAGATGGCCACCAAGGAGTCTTTCCTAATAAACTTAAACTATTTCATCTAGCTTTCTTGCTAGTTTATCATATTGTTCTGCACTGTGTATCCAGAGTCACTAGTTCTCCCATTTACGAGTGATATTAAAACATTCTCTTCTCATTTAATCTCAATTTCTGTTCACTAGAAATATTAGGTCCGATTAGTGATATACTTGCATCAAGAACGTCTGTTTTTCTTCCTCGTCATTTTTTTCGTTTACTAGCATAAGCTAAAAAGCAATTAAGATAAGAAATGTAATAAATTATAGGTACTTATTGGATGGGAAGTGATTGATTTTCGTAAAGATACTTCTAGAGTATTTTGCTACGAAAATTTATTGTTATTTAACAACACTTCTGCTACTAAAATTTCGGATTATTTGACTGGCATTCTGCTTTTTGAATTGCCAATTTTCTGTATAAAATCCCATGCTATAACTGACAACTATTTAACAAGAATCTGAGAATTAAAATCCTTAATTCTTTTACCAGAAAAATTCGTTTGGAGGAAAGAATTCCAAGGCGATAGATGGACGTCGGATCATGATGCGTACGCCGTCGGCGCTGACGTGGCCAGAGCAGATCATCATGGACTTCTTCATGCCTGCAAGGCACATCAGCAACAGACCCGTCAACTTTGCTACTGGTAACAACTGCTATTGTAGCAATAATTGATGCTGTCTTATGCAGTATTAGATACTTGGTGCTTAGTTTCTTGTAACTGCTTTGTACCAGGCACTTCAGTGACTTAAAAGTCAACTTCGTTACTAGTCATCTACTTGACTTATTGTGCTTTTTATCAATTTCCGATGTTGTCTGGTCTATTATTAGATACTTGGTGCTTAGTTTCTTGTAACTGCTTGGTACCAGGCACTTCAGTGACTTAAAAGTCAACTTCGTTCCTAGTCAACTACTTGACTTATTGTGTTTTTTATCAATTTCCGATGTTGTCTAGTCTATTATTAGATACTTGGTACTTAGTTTCTGGTAATTGATGGTACTTGGTACTCGATTTACATTGGTTCTCATTCAAGTAAATGCTTTTCGTTTGACATAAATGTTTGTGCTGTTTCTTCATGTCCGTTCAATTCTCGAGTTACTTTTTGCCACGTCTAGTTGATTTAAAATAGGCACCGCGCTATAAATCGCGTTTGACTCTCATTCGTGAACATTAAATTAATAATTATAACAAAATTTCAGACATGGCTGCGGTATCATCACTGCAGCTGCTGCTGAAGGTGTTTCAGCTGCGTCCCATGGCGCCGCAGTCTTGCAATCTACCCGCTCTTTCTGACGACTACAATGTCACTGAAGCTGAGCTCGGCCTCGTCGACCTCACCATCAACCATCACACCTGCAAGACTGGCCGCCAGGAGGACGCTGCCACCGAATATCAGTGTTAGCTTTGGCAATATTTCTTAAAGCTTTATTATATTATCATTTGTGATAAATTGGCGCGTCGTTTTTTGTTTGTGTCATATTTAATTGAATTTCCTTGTCATTTATTTCGTCTATGGGAGATCGTCCAGTATTTCAGACCTGTTGTAAACTTGTTCACTGTGTTTACACTTAAATGAGAAAAGTGTAGAATGTTGACAAGTGACCATTTTATGCACAACGTTAATGAAGAAATGTTCCTTAAGTGTCAAATCAAACCTTGATTGTAAATATGGATTTTTTTTGGCATGCATGTTGTACCGTGTTTTGTGTGTGGTTTACCGTGTGTTGTGTAGGTAGTACCGTGTGTTGCGTACGTTGTACCGTGTGTTGTGTATGTTGTACCGTGTGTTGTGTATGTTGTACCGTGTGTTGTGCACGTTGTACCGTGTATTGTGTACGTTGTACCATGTGTTGTGTACGTTGTACCGTGTGTTGTGTACCTTGTACCGTATGTTTTACACTCATCTTTCACGCTTATATCATGACATGATCAGTGCCGTGCGTGTGGTGCTCTGAGGACGCTGTACCAGAAAGCATGCCGTTGCTGGCGCCGTGTGCCGCGACGGTAGGCGCGCTGCAGAGCCTCCTCATGCATAGGAAGACCCTGCGCATCATGGCCAACAACTCATTCGTGCTGCACAGGTTCTTTATTTATTTTAAATTAACCTTATGAATTGAAATTAATCTGCTGATTTTAGTTCTTTATTTATTTGAAATTAATCTTATGAACCAACCTTAGATTTACCTGTTGATTTTAAATTACTTAAGTTTTGAAGTAAATTCTCAAATGATCATTATTTATAATGACAATGCTTTGAATATGCCAGATGGCATACGCGTATTCATTTGAATTTACAGTAGTCAGGGAAACAATAGGTTTAAGTTTACTGATTACTAATTTTTACTTACCTAATGTGAGTAAATTTATTAGAGGTTTTAAGTTTCTGGCTTTAAATTTTGGGTCCATTATTATGATGATTTGTATGTACCGTATGTGTTAAAATCTTTGGAGCTCGTTGTTTAAAAACTGTGGCAATTCCTATTTCTCAATTCAATACATATTCGATGGAAGTTTCTTGCCTCTTTCCATTTTTACAAATTCATATTTTTCACTTTTTTGATAAAAAAAAAGTTTTTTGTAAGCTAAAAGTTTTCATCGAAGTTTAGTGTTACTTAGTGCATTTTATTTGCGTTCAGCTGGCAACTAATAGTCATTTTGTTCAGGTTCAAGGGCCCTGAGCTGTACACGCTGGGTGAGAAGCCTCGTTTGCTACGCAGCCTCTCGGGGGCCTTCGATGATTATGTGAGTTTTTCTTCAAATAAAACAAATTGGTACTGGCGTAATTTCGGGACAGAATTGTTCTTCATGTTGTGTACATAATTGGTTATGCATTAGTATTCATTATATTCCGTAACAAATATGAGATTTTTGCTTGACCATAAGAACCTCACTAAGCTGTAGCGGTGGGATAACGTTCTTCATGAATGTTATCTTTTATCGTTTTAAGAAATCGTCAAAGAATGTTTCACATTTTATACTATTGATATTATTACTAGGTATTAGCTCGAGATTTTCCCTGATATTTATGCTTCTTGAGCAGAACAAAGGTCGTCTGCCCATGCCTGGCTCCGTGGGAAAGATACACGTCACGTCCGTGAGTTCAAAAGCAATTCCTTCGATCAAATTTTATAGAATTATTTTTAAATTTTATATAATTATTTTTCACTTAATATATTATTGCAACTAATATCAATAATTTTTCGAATCTGCCTCAATTAATCACTCCAAAAAATCAAAATTTTCTTAACGAGATTGATGGTTTTGAGATTCCGCTTGTTGTTTATAGCAGAATTTAAAGCCTTGATAACTTGCCTTCAATTAATATGATTCAGCTTCACAGTTACAGTTATTGATCAGCTTCACAGTTACAGTTATCATTCAGCTTCACAGTTACAGTTGATAACTTGCTTGTAATTAATATCATCCAGCTTCACAGTTACAGTTATTATGTTTGTTGTATATACAAGGAAATTTTCCGCCGTTCAGGTGATGCCGTCTAACTTGTCCATCAAGAACCAACTGAAGCGACCTAGAGGAGCCAGACGCCGCAACGGCGGCCTCAACAACGTCAGGCTGAAGAAAAAGAAGAAGACTTGGGCCAAGCGCAGCATAATTGATCTTTACAAGTCATACAAGACTGGCAAGAATTTATCCAAGTACCAAGGTATAATTTTCTTATTCTTTGAGTAATAGTTTAGCAACACAATATTATATTTATTATAAATATAATATATTATATCATGTAATATTTGTATTCAAAGCTTAGGTCATTGCTGTACATATGTGCAAAAATGACACATTTTTTGCGACGGTAAGTTTTAATTATCTAAAGTGCGCTAATTTTGATGGCTGACTGAAGCATAGTACAGAAACACCGAATTATTTTCAATATTGCTATCAACGATTGACCGTTGTATTTACGTGGATATTGATATGGAAGCTTTGTAAGATTTTATTCATTGTACGAGCTAATTGCAGCGTTTACTACTCTGCTTTATCCTGTCATCAAAATTGCTTCTTTCTATTTTACCATTTCTAACTCAATCTTGGTACCGATGTTTCATTTTATGCAAAGCACGAACACTGAACATCAGCTAATTTAAAGCTTAGTAAATAGTATCGAGCAAAACACGGTATATGAATGGATTTAATTGCAGATTTAATATGTCAAAGCTATTTCTAATATGCCAAGAAATGTTTACAAATACTGAAGTGCGCTGTTGCACAAAGTTTAGCTATTACATACGTGAGGTCATTGACGAGCGAAGAATTCAGGATTGTGCTCCCTTACACATTCCAGTCAGCACCAAATTTTTTGTATGTAATTGAATACGTAATTAAAATTAAATAAGTGATAGAGCTAACCTAATCACTTTGTACAGGGAAGTGGCAGATATTTAACACTCATCAGGCTGCATTATTTTACGTTACTATCGTATCGAGTGAAGGTACATTTGCACCTATGAAGTGCGAAAAGTCTTCAATACGAATTTTATTTAAGAGACAATAGACGAAGTACTCCTATAGACTAAAAAAGGAATCATAATGTCAGATTTACGCCATTAAACGAATAACAGTTTCACCTATAGACTATTCAATGAATTACAATTTCACCCGTTGACTAATAGAGGAATTATAGTCTCACCTCTTCGTCATAAAACAAATTTTAGATTTCCTAAAGTTATGACTTAACTTTTCCTTAATCTTGGAAGCTGTTGAGAGGCTGGCTTAACGTCTGATTGCTCTCTCCATCAGATGGAAGGATTTACTTGTGTTATTATTGTTTGTGTTCTCTTCGACATCTGCTGTCGGGGAAGTTTCAAAAAGGTTCAATTAGCATCAGCATTTCATGTTTAGAATCACGCTTTTTTATATTACTGTAATTTGAAACCTCTTCTAAAGAGATGTCAACATTAATTTAACCGGATATTGTTGGCATTATACATATATACTCAAGCATTTAAGTTCCACCATTACTTGTTGGTAGATGACTATCTCTTATCAAGCTCGAGTTCAGTATGAAGCTTCTTTTAGCTATTTAAAATAATAATAATTTTCACTGTCAGTAATACCTTACACTTCACTTAGGTCCCAAGGGCAGCCTGACGCCCAACGCGTCGTTGACTGCTGTGAATACCGACTCTACGGACGGTGAATCTACCGCCGTCGCTTCAGCCAGCACCGAGCATTCCAATACTCCAGCCATCTCATCACCTTCTTATGATCAAAATTATCTGAAGACTTACAAGAAACCCGACCGTCCTCTTAAGAAGTATTCTCTAGAAAGTCCGACAAAATATCTACTGCCAAAATCAAAGCTCAAACATAATGAGTAAGCCACGTTCCATTTTATGTGTTGCTTTTGACGTCTAGTTTTGGCTCAGACGCTACGTTTGCTGCGCTGATTTTTCCTACAAAGGAAGAATGACGTGCAGTTCTCTTTTTTTTTTATCACAAAACTCGATGAATCTACGTATTTTAACGTAATACATTCAATTAAAAATAAATTTGGTCTCACTTTATTTTAGCAAAATGTTATCATGATTAATGCTATATTGATATATATTATGTTATATTTATTCTTGACCGCACGTATGTTCAGAGGACACGAGTCTTCGTCTGACTCAGAAGAAGACGCAGCCGAAGAGTCGAGGCTGACGACGGAGGAACAACGCGCCCGCTCTGAGGCCGACAATCTCCTGTGGCATCGCTTCCTTTCCATCTTCCTTCTGCCTGCAGCTATGAGCGTCGTCAGGTCAGGAACTGGGACTTTATTGTATTTTTTCTTATTGCTACAAGGGACTTTATGACTGTTTATCGTAGTTTATTTGTCAGTATGCTGAGAATGGTACTTTTATCCGGAATTTGTTCGTAGGTACCTCATGAATTGTGATTGTTTATTGTATTTCGTGAGGGATTGTGTGTATTTAGCTTAATTTGTTCATCTTTGCTCACTTTACTCATCTTCTCCCACTTCGCTCATCAATATTTGTGTCTAACATTTGCAAGAAATTTAATTACTGGTTTCCTGCCAATGTATTGTTCTAATTATTCTGTACAGTGTACAGATATTGAGAACTATGCAGCATCATTGAACTTGTATTTTGTCCACCTTACATTTGGCTAGAATATCTACTCTATTTGCGGACACGAATTCTTCTGGATCAGAGGCTGTACTATCAGAATAGTTGTGAGTTCGTAACTCCGCCAGCCAATTACCGACTGATTTCACGCTACATTCGACAATCTCAAACGATAAATCGGCCGCTGCGTGTACTTAGGCCACTACATAATCTTTGACCGCTATGTGTAGTTAATCCAGTTCTGATATTACGACCCCGGATGGCCGGGGTCGTACAGCAAAAAATTCATGTAATATTTATTACCTAAAGCGCGTTAATCCATGTATTTTTTATTGCCCAGGCCTACTGTGGCGCAAGAGATGAGCGTGCAGCGCCAGTACGCTGCTCAGCAGGCAGACTGGCAGGGATCGAGAGAAAACAATCACGACGTCGACGACGACGATGCCTCCAGTCAGCTGAGCATCTCTGGTGCCGCGACTGCCATACTTCAGGAGGTGCTGCTTGCTCCCTTCCGAATCAAACTTACTACGAATTTTACATGTCTTGTTCTTGCGCTCTTGGCGATCTTGTTAGAATTTTTTCTTGATTAAAGTGGCTTCATTTGTAGCTGCACTGTCAAGTACCCCTTAAAATTAAATTTTGGCGCAATTTAAACGCGTTCAACATAGTACAGTGAAAGGTCATGACGTAATTAACGAGAGTACAGTGAAAGGTCAAGACGTAATTAACGTGAGCCTATCCTATAAGACAAGACTTTATTGCGAGTGAAATGTATAGAATAGTGCAGCTTTTCATGACATCAAAATATTTTGTGCCCTGTTATGATCACAACTTGAAATATCTTGACTTCGTCCGGGACATTTAGTAACCACGAATGCATACTCAACTATATGGACAAAAACACTATATTGTCTTTCGGCGGCCTCATTTCTTGTAAATCGCACAAAATGTGATTGATCACAATATGCTACTAACAATTCTTAATTCCATTTCATTTTCTTTGCAGGTGGCGCCCATCAGAGAAAGGTATGGACTTCTCCACTCCTCCTCTCATCTCTACTTCCCCAACTGCAGCTATTTTAATCTGCATTGAATATTTTTAGATTTTCACCAAAAAATAACTTGTTGTAAATTGAGGGCTATTTATTAAATTTCTTGGTTTTGTCGAAAACTTTTTTCAATTTTGTAAATAGTTTTCAACATTTGTTCAGTAGCTTTTTCACTTAGAATTAATTTTCTATTTCTGTTTATAGAAAACGCAAGAGGGCAGCGTCTCCTGGCAGCGGAAGTGACGCGGCCAAGGCTGTGAAGGGAACTCCGCCGCCCACGCGCAGCAGCACGCGACTGGTGTGGCGTCTCTCATGTTTCTTGATTGTTAACTAATCCATTTAATATTTTTAGTATTGTCTTGTTCGTAGATGCAACCTTGTTCTTTATTATTATTATTAGCAAGAATGCTTATTTGATGTGCTGGTGAATTTATGAAATCTGTGTACACTTGTTAAAAATAATTCACTCTTTTATAGTTATAAATATAAAAGATAAGATAAATATATATTAAATATATTTATATAATATTTATAGTGTTACTATTTATAAATCTAAACGATAAATGTATTTATATATTATTTATATAATATTCATAAATAGTGTTACTATTTATAAACACAAAAGATAATTATATTTATTTATTTAACCCCCCGTGCCATCTCGTCCTTGTCGTGGGGGGGGGCTTGCGTGTCTCGATGAGACCCGAGGCTGTACGGCCTCAGATGCAATCATGGCCGGGTGGCTCGGGTGGAGAGTCCAGACTAACAGAGATGGCAAAACGCCCTTTTCGGAAACGGCCTGGCTCTCAAATGGACACGCTAGACGATACCTGATGGAATGCAACCTGCTGCCAGAGATTTAGCATGACCCCGTAACGCCACCGCCGGTCGGTCATATGCACTTGCACCACCGCCTTTAGCGAGACTATAATCGCACCATGCCATCACCTAGACCAAGCCTCACTAAACTTACGCCGGAGTTGATATATGAAGTCGGAGCGGACCCTCGCTCCATGAGCAGGGAATATACCGCCCAGCCCCTGCGCCTAAAATGGATCAGGCTATAAGCCTTGAAGACGGAAGAGACCAAACATCTTTGACGTAGCTGAAGACCTCACCTCCGGCGCGAAATAGATAGCTATCTGAAGCGCTAGTAAATCTTTTACTACTACTACTACTACTATTTATTTAATTTTGTTATGCCTCTCTTCATTTTTCAGAGGAAGACTCCTCAGCTCGACTGATGAACCGGCAGACCCTTCGACCGAGTTCAAGCAGCGACATAAGCGTCTACCTGAAGAGCTTGGAATTTTTTTACGTTTATGTTATAGATAGCTAATGATTTGTTTAATCTTTTACGGAATATTTGTAATTTCATCAAGTTTTTGTCTGATAACTTGAAGAATTATTATCGAAGAAGGTTATCCCTAAATTTTTTCTCAGAAGCGACACCATAAAGAAGTAATGCTATTTGAGTTTATCAAAAATCACTTTCTTGCCCGGAATCAAGCAAGTTCTGTAGTTGGAGTGAGGTTGAAAGAATGTGTAAAACTTGATTGACGTTTTGTATAATTTCTTCCACCTTGGATGTTTCATATTACCTTTTCGTTTATCCTTAATTCTGACCACATTCATTTAACTCATATTTATTATTTGCAGCGATTTTTGCGATATGGCATTACATCAGTGTCGAGTGCAAACCATTGGTCTTGAAATTTACAAACTTGATAGATGATTTCGAAAATTTATTTGTTCCTTATTCCTTAGCAAATACATGCACTTTTTTGTTCGTAGATGTATAGAATTTATTGATATCATTACTACGCTTTTTCTTAATGGATGATCTAAATAAGAAAGGTCGATCTAAGAGAAAATTTTTTTAATTGAATAACTTCGCAAGGTTAAATACATTACCATGAAAATCTATATATATTTAAAGTTGATATTCCAATTAATCTTTCAAGATCCGTCGCTACAGTACAAGTGTCATGAATCGTCATTAAACCTCTTTTTTTTTTTACTTGAATTGACTGATACCTTCTTAATACTGACGTCCATATCGAGATTAAATTTTAATTTTGGTTACTTAACTCAACTTTCCAAATTCTCACAATAGTTACTGTTTAGAAATTTTTTCATCTACCATTACCAGCAAGATGGTATTTAAATTGATTGTAGAAATTGAAATAGATTGTATTTCAAATTGTAGGACTAGAAATAGATTGTATTTACTTGTAGAAATCATCATCACTATCATCCTGATCATCGGATGGCGCGCTAACTTTGTCAGACTCGCTCTCTGTCTCGTGGCTCACCACAGCCTGGGGTGAAGCCGCTGCTTGGCTGACCGTCGCCCGAGGCGCCGTGCGCGTGGCAGCAAATGTCGACTGTGAAGTCGTTGGCTCCACGCCATTTGGTTCGTTTGCTGTGGAAAAGTTGTTGTTGCTCATGACGTGTGGAAACTAAAACTTACTAGTTGGTTTCATTAAATAATATTTCTTGGGACTAATATTAAGTTTTTTTATCCAGTTCGGGTAAATTCTTTGAAATTTTTCAAATTGGCGAAGCTAAAGTCGAACAATTCACGCACTTGCGAGTGTTCTCTTAAAACAGCTTTAGTTAAGCCTGTTTCAGGAAGACGCATTTATTACATCATTCAGGTTAGTTTTTGTAATCCTTATGTGGTGAGAACTGTTTCTTTGTGTTCACTTGCCTTTTTTATTATCTCTTGCTTTCATTGCCTCTTGTATCTTGGCTTCGACGCTGTCAGAGCTGCTGTCTTCGTCTCTGTTGGAAGACAAACTTTCAATAGCTGTCTCGTTTTTGACGTTTATTTACTACGAATAACTTGAATGACTTTTTTTAAATGTGTTTGATAGTAAACGGTAATTTATAGAAGTATTACTTTAATCAAGATTGCAGGGCTTATCAGGTCGTGGATTGGACACTGAACAGTGCACATTTCATTAGGTACCTTTTCGTCCATGTTTAGTTGAATTTCGATGATAGATCTCCTCACTATTTGAGTTTACCGTGCCATTATGAATTTATTTTCTTATTACGTAATTTTAATTTAATGCTTATAAACCAGCCGATGCAAATAATTCTGTTTGTATTTTAAGAGGAAAAGATTGGTGATTATATACGACAAAATTACTCACGTTTCTAGCGGGGGATGTCCTCCAAAGCCTCCCGTAGTAATCTTACTGGCGAAGGGTGCTGCTTCTGCCCACGAAATTCAATATTCTTTAAAATTCTGAAACATAAATACTTGGCTTTAGAATAATTATTTTTTTTAACTAATTTAATAATTCTTAATGAACTTTCACCTGATTTTGCTTCATTATCTCAATTGCGATCTATATTTTCTACAAGATCTGAGTTGGCACCGCGTGGCAGTTTGTATTCGAATTTTAGTCGAAAACCTGAATCATTTAAGCTTCCATCTAAATCTACATAGCAGTATTTTTGCAAGTTGTATGTGCATCCTGTGTTCTACTTTGGTTCTATAACATTTACGAGACTCACTTATCGGCGCGCTGAAATCATCGAAGTCATCATCGCTGTCGCTCCGCAGTATGAATGTTTCTGCCTCGTTCTTTGCTCCTATTGCTGTCTCTATTATTTTATTCTTTGTTTCGTGTTCTTGGGCTTCTTTACCGCCTCCTTCACTGCCATTCTTTGACTGCATTGATGTTGTGTTGACTGAATTACTTTTCGAAACGGTGCTGGCAGTTACTGGCGTTGAAATCATTTCAGTTGTGCCCCTTGCATTTACATTTGTCGTCGTATTAATGACTGCTCGTGATCTCTGAGCTGCTACCGGTTTTTCCATCATGTTCATAGTTTGTTCACCTCTTTTGTTGTCAGTTGATTTAGCAATGAAAGAATCACTCGATGACATCCTATTTTCTTGCTGCATTTTGAATTGTTCAGAACCTGCTGGACTTTGATGGTTTGCTTTTTCGTGTGAAAATGAGATCTGCGACGGTTTGTTATTAGTTTGAATACCGTGTTTATCACCGTGTGCAGTAGGCCCCTTTGCTGAAGAGGATCTCTCCTGCTGCGGTTGATTTAACGTCGTTGTAGGCGGATGGCTTGACTTATTATTTTCTACCAGTTGCTCGCCGTGAACTTCCAACTCATCTTCGCTCACCGACCGATCCTCGGAATTGTCGAAAGATGAACCGTCGTGACTCTCTTTATCGCCATTTTCCTTTTCAAATACAAGACCGTCATTTTGTTGAGGGCTTTGCAGCTTGGTTGAGTTTCCCATGGAAATTGCATCAGATGGCCGAATTGATGACCTACTTCTCAGAAATGAGTCTGGCGCTCTAAGACCTGAGTCACTATTCTGACTTGCAGTAATTATTCCATGAGATCTGTTGGCTTCTGTGAGGGCTACAGCACCGTCGACACTGGCAGTCGTTTGTGTTGATGGAATGTTACTGATGATTGCATTATCCTCCACGGTCTTATTAGTTGTAGCCTCTAGGAAACTTGATATCATGGTATTATCCCTATGCAAGTCCATGTCTGGCATATTGTTTCCTTGTGTATTTTGTTGGGTTGGCGAACTTGAACCGGGGCCGCCATCATGAAAATGTGGGGAAGTTTGCTGTAGATTATCAATAGCGTTGACACTCGGAGAAAGTGATCTAAGATTTGAGCTTATTTGCGCAACTGTAATATTTTCATCGATGTCGAATCCAGCAGGACTTGTTAAAAATTTCTGGAAGGACGTCGTTGAACTGTAGGCTCCTCTCGAGGGGAACAGATTGTTGAAAAGGGGTCCATCAGGTAATGCTGAAACAAATACATTTATTTAGACTGCTCATATCGGGGAAGTCAGACCTGCAGTTGGTTATAGAGATGCAAGTGAGTCGTAATCGTCCAATTTTGAAGTATTGTAATAATTGCTGGCATTCCAGGCGTACATTGAATGATAACCTTTATAACTTACGAGCAATATTTGTCAGGTGAGAAGTAGAGGTGCCCTGGTCATACGTGGTAGACTTGCCACGGAACAGATCTCTCTGTGAAAGTTGGGAAGTCCTTAGCAGTTATCTAGTGCAAATTTTAGCGCGGATGCCAAATGTATCCTTGCGTTATTATTACTGCTGATTGAACATAACCAGAAACTAAATTCTTTTCATCCACACGTTTCCTGTAGAAGTTAGACTATAAATCGCGTCCCAGAATTAGTCATTTTATTGATGTTCGGCTGGATGCGATGACATTGAATGTTTATTCTTCCCTGAAAAAAGCGCAATTTATTCCGGAAATTTTTTTACTTTTTTTTTTAAGGCTCGAGTAAAGTAGACGTTGTCTTTTCTAATTTCAAATGAAGTAATTAAGTTGCCCCATATTATAGTTTGTATGTATAATATGGTTCGGTTGGTAGGAAGTGCCTAATTACTCACTCTGAGTTTGGTTGAGGACTCGTGTTGCCTGAGGCATTCCTTCGTAATCCTGTCAGCGTTCCTGAGCACATCCTTCACCCTGGCTTCCTGCTGTAGCTGCTGGTCCCGCACCCGACACTGCATGCGGCGCACTTGCTGTAGCAACGCTCGGTACCTTATAAAGTAAATATAATATTCAAATTGTGTCATTTTGAATGTTTTGCTACCCTTGAGTTCCCAATGTTTTCCCTAAACTTTATGTTCATCGAGGTTCATCACTTAATTGGCTACTATCAATATGCTCTTAGAGAAAAGAACTTAAACATGGCCCAAAGTACTTAACTTTGGTCCAAAGTATTTAACTTGTACAATATGTGGCCAAATGTATCCTATATATAAAGTTATTTATGGTTTCAAATGTTTTCAACATTTTTTATTTAATTTCTTCACTGTATAGGTTTGCTTTTAGTTTTGCCGAGCTGAAGATGCAAAGCAAAGATACAATAATCTCTCCTTTACACCAACAATCTTTACTTACTCATTTGCAAATTTTTCCTGGGCAAGAAGATGCTCTTGTTCCAGGCGGAGACGCTGCATGTCCCTGGAATACATTCATTTTGATTAGCGAAATCCTTACCAACGTAGCTAGGTTACGGTGATCTCTCCTGATGAAGCGTAATCACTGAAGACTATTTTAAACTTTTACTAAACAGTTTGCTTGGATGAGGATATGAAATAAATTTTTACTATTGCACTTCTTTTTGGCTGTTATTACCTTTGATGTTGTTCATTTTCGGCTTCTGCGTAGATGTTCATTTCCTCGCAGAACTGAAATTCTATCAGTGTTGTTGGCAAATCCGTTGCCATGGTAACTAATGCGTTAGCTAACGCTTTCTCTACGTAAACATTCACAATACGATTTTGACAAGTTAAGGAATTGGAAAATTTAGTTACATCGTAAGTAAGCTCGCACTCCGATTGCCTTAAGAATTTGGAACTTCAAATGTGATCAACCCCGTGGCCAAGATCCTCCCATGCTCTAACTAAACAAAGTTAGCAATCATAAACACTCTGCTTCAAATAATTAATTAGAGTAAACGGTTATATCTTGGCTGTTGAATCAAATGAGTTATAAAATGAGCAAACGTACGGTTGTCACTTAGAGTAGGACATTTTCGCGGCCAGTTTTTCGATTTGCTGAAATAGGAAAATGTATCCTAAAACAAAGTTAATTTCTAGAAACTTTGCCCGTGAAATTTTAAAGCCCTTTCGCTTGTGTTCATGTTGTAATATTATCAGGATTTTATTTTTATTTGCGGTTTATTCAGCTATGCCGATTCTACCAATACAAAGGATTTCCAATGGGGAAAAAGTAACCGATTCGACACTTCAGCGAACTCGCGTGCGAACTCGCCTGCGAGCTCGAACTTCATTTTCAACTGTGGCACTCATAACTCCTTCAATTATGAACGGATTTTGTTTCAGTATTTTGTGGCATTAACAAAAAGTAATTGACGTAAAAATCTGAAAAAATACCCTCCGCAGCGTACTGATATTATCTACTTATATTTTGAATTTGAAGAAAATCCGTCCATTATTGACTGAGTTATGCGTGCCACAGTTGAAAATTAAGTTAGGTTTTCCGTATTAAAAAAAAAAATTAGTGATGAAAAAATTTGAAAAAAATACCCTCCGCAGCGTACTGATATTATCTACTTATATTTCAAATTTGAAGAAAATCCGTCCATTATTGACGGAGTTATGCGTGCCACAGTTGAAAATTAAGTTAGGTTTTCCATTCCAGCTCGCAGGCGAGTTCGCACGCGAGTTCGCTGAAGTGTCGGACCGGTGAAAAAGTAACCCAGCGATCTCTGACTGACCTTATAATAAAATTTCAAATTCTTTAGTGCGTGGTGAACGTTATTAGCTTTTAAATTTAATATATAATTTATAGACGCGCAAAGCAGTAAAATTTGTGAATAAGTCAGGATAAAAAAAAAATCACTCAATCCGACCATTTTGGGACGAATTTTTTAATAATGGCTTTGTCAAATTGTAGCTTATTTTAAACGAAATAATAAAAAAGCTAATTATTCACGATACGCTCCTACAAACGTAGTTAAAGATTCTTTCATGTCTTCTTCGTTTCCTGTAAGCAATGTCATTTATGTCTGCTCATATCATTCGTTGCACCAACAGATCAGGGATTGACTGCACAAAATATATTGACTAATAATATATTTTCTAATTTACTACACTTCATGCAAAAGTTTATCTATTCAATTGTTGCTTTCGTGAATTTTTGTTGGATTAAAATATGGAGTAATGCAATTTCAGAAAATATTACAATACTCTCAGGAAATTTTCTTTGGAGAACCATCTCATCAGTTCGTCGCGGCTGATCTTTCTTGGTTGTGGTCCTTCGTTAGATCAGGCCGCATCTTCATTCAAGAAAACGCGTTGTTGCGTTAGGAAATGGTGAGTCGATTATATTGTTTTATGGAGTATAAAGTTTATCTGTCAACTAAGTAACACTGCTAATATTCTATCAGACGTAGCGCCAGTCAGCGTTAATCCGTAATGAAGTCTCTATTTTAGAATAATTTCTTTGTTACTGAAGTGCTCAGCACGTTGGCACAGAAAGTTGAAGCTGAATCTCGAAGGTGCCTCCAACTCCACTCCAAGTCGTCCATTTTCCTTGATTTCCTACGTTATGCGTCTGTTAAACTCTGTTCTACGTCAACGTGTACATTTTTTATCAACCCGTGTGATTTTTTATGAAAATTTGAGCATGAGAAATGGTGTCGGCCAACTTGGCTTCCTAGAATCCTAGCTAGGTCCGTTTAACCGACGGTACCTAGTAACCTACTTGTTAAAGTTGACGGCTGACAAGTGACGGTGGTCGGTGGTCGCTGGTTCATGCATTTATTATTAAAAATTCTTTCAGCTTAATCATAAAATATTGCTGATGGTATGAGAAATTCAGATTAATATTTGTTGTTTGACTTGTTTGAAAGTTGTTTCCAAATACCTGTGCACTTGTATCAGAATAGCGGCAAAGTAGGAGCTTTTTAGACTCTCCCTCAAGTTCAATTTTGATTCCCATAGTATAAATAGTTACTAGATCAGTAAGTAAACTATCATACCTAGTCTTCATGGATACCAGCAATATCTTACATAGGATATTGGAATAAATGGGGAAAAAATAAGGAAATGCAAAATTAAGATTCTAATTGTTAGTTTGCTATGTATGCAGCAGCAGCTATTCAGTGTTATTATACACAAAATAATGGATTTAATCTTGAGTATAGGAGTAGGCTAAATTATAATTTAGAAATGTGCTGATTCTAGAGAATGTCGAGGTACCTAGTTTGCCAGTTGCCACAATGGTTACAGCAAAATCAAATACAGGGGAAGATGTGATTTTTTTTAAGTAAATTTATTTCCAAGTTCATGATCTAGCCTACCTCTATTTGCTATTATTTTATGTATGTTGGACTTGTTGGTGCTGGTATTAGCCTATCAGTGATAAACTATACCTAGTCTATGATAGTTATGGTGTGGGTGATGCTTTACCAGTTTACCTTGTTACTTGTTCTGTGGTCATTAGGAATTTGATTGTTTTAATAGAAATTGTCAATTTTTGCATTATCCCTCATCTACCGTATTGTTGGAAAAATTCAGAAACCTGTTGCCTAGATTTACTTGTATACTTATAAGTAGAGTGAAGATTACACGTGTTTTATTGAATTTTTGGTAATGAGTACTAACTCCTATGGGGTACATAAGGCAAAATTGGTTAGAATTTAAAAGCCACCCATAGGCCATAGACTTGACAGAAACTGCTGTAGGCTACTCGCATAAAATTGCCTTTTTTTCATATACATTGCCTCATTTCTTTCATGTGAAGTAAGAAAAACATCTTTGCCTGTTACCAGAAAATTCTGCCACATATACAAGATGAGCTATGGGACAGAACCAATTTGGAATAGTAGACTATAATTCTTGAATTGCAAGGAAAAATTTCCCCGGACTGTTTTATAAAATTGGGGCGAGAAGGCACCCCTTGCTCTGAAGAGATGAGGCCTGAGGGCAATAGAAATGAGTGAAATTGTGCATAAACTGACATTTTGTCTTTTACACGAATGGCTGCAGGCTGATGCCTGATTTTCTAGTTCATGGCTAGAATCTTTCAAATCAAATGAAAATAACTTGCCTCTCATTGCCAAATTTCCAAACTTGATATATACTAGTTGTCTTGAATTTTGTTGGACATGAGTGTTGAAATTATGATTGAAATATGCTTGTGTTCTATAGCATTGTAAAGTAAAAGCAATGTTGATATCAGAATGCTTTTAATAAGATGCAACCCAACTAGGTAATGCAGTAATGCTGTATGAGTAGATTTCATGTGTACATAGGTATATTGAAAAGAGCATGGACTATGGCTGGGTATGGCATAAATAAATGAATTTGCAACCCATTGACATAAATACTTGACAAAAACTTGTGAACCAGATTTCTTTATTGAAACTCTGATAGTTTAATCTCTTGCAAATGTAGTGAGATATATGCATGTTTGATGAATACCTAGGATTTAAAAATTTTTTTTTTTTTTTTTGTTATGGAGGTATATTTCTCCCTGAAGTGATGTATTGACAGACAAGCCATCTTCTAATGCCCTCTTCTTGACTCCCACGAAAATAAAGTTGATTGTACTTTATTGCACTGTAACCCTAGATGGAATTTTGTATTGCAAAAGTGTGTATAGAGCGCAGATCCAAAAAAAAACCACGTCAATTTGGGTTATAAAAATCTACCAGTTATACAAGGATTATGACTAGGTCCTATAACTTGCTCTCTAATCATTTGAGATTGTCACCATACAAATCAAGTCCACCAAATATTACCTACATACTACAGTGGATTTTGTGATTTTCAGGAGTTAGTCTGAATTTTTGGAGGTCAAATTCATGGTCATTTTCATCCAGCATTGTAGAAAATATGATCTGCATATTGGTATAAAGTAGCTGTTATGTTGGCTACATTCAAAGTCTAAAACATCATTTACAACTTCTGTGTGAATCTTATTTGCACATTGCTCTGGAGGTTAAACGTAGAAAAAAATTGGTCTTGTAAACTTCTATTTCTTGATGAAATTTATGTAATCAAAGTTTTTCTGGCTGTAACTTTATAATCAATGTTAATTTTTCTGTAGACCAATTTGAGTCATTTTGCTCGTGTGATATTGCTCAGTAGCAGGTGATTTATTTGTATCAGACTGCATTCAGTATCTCCATCCCTTCTTGCAAGGCTTGGTCGTTCGAATGCAAGATTAATTCCAGACTTTATCGTTAGGGGCCACTTTTACTGTCCCCTGGGTCGACCCTGGATACACTCTATTGCTACGCTACTAATCAAGATAGACGTCTCTTGTTCTGATTTTGTAGTAATATCTTCATTTTGTCGCTCTCGTCTTGTATCCTGTGAATTGCCTTTCTCTAGTTCAATTATTCGGCTATCAATAGTATTGTTATTTTTTTGCAGTCTCATCGTAAGTTCAGCGCGCCCCGTCATGGGTCCTTGGCCTTCCTGCCCAAGCGCCGTATAGCTCAGCACAGGCCCAAGATCAAGGCCTTCCCCAAGGATGACCGCAAAAAGCCTGTGCATCTCACCGCGTTCCCTGCGTACAAGGCTGGCATGACGCACGTCTTGCGCATATCTGACAAGCCGGGTTCCAGTGAGTTCTTTTTTCATTTTGCAATCTCAAGATAGTCTCGGTATAATATTTTCGTACCTCTAGAGGAATAATTTGACAACTAGCTGACGATAGATATGAGTAACGGTAATTCAGTTGCGAGATTTGTCACTCCGCCATTAAGATACTTGACGAAATGTCACATTTTGTTGGATGTAAGATTTGCTTGGCAAAAAATTTGTTTAAAATCAATTTTTGAATTGTCTAAAAATTTATTTACGGACTTCGAAGCATTAAATTGTTTATGGGAAGTCGTCAATCTACCATATATCCTTCCGATACCTATATTTTTAATCACTATGGATTTTTTAGCATTGCCCTAGACCTAGATACACGATGCTTATATGAAAGTGTTCAATCCTTCTAATTTTAAGACTGAAGTAATGATACCATTCAAATCTATTAACTAACATTGAGTTCATGTCAAACTCTTGTTATGAAGGCTGGAGGAATGTCCAAGTTTATTTTTTGAAAAGAAATTCATTCAATAAATGCAGATATTTAAGATTTTAGTCGCACTTCTAATTCTCCTTTTAGGCATTCCCATAAGGGAATATGTTACTTTATATTTTTTATTCTCTATGATGATTCCATCTACCGATTTAAGAGTGGAGATGCCTGCGTTTTGCATGGAGCTTCACCCATGATTATTACTCGAGGCATTTGTCTGATTTTCTTCAGTTGAAATTTGGGTCTGCTTGCTCATATCAGCACAATTAAGTGATTTTTTTTCTTTTCAGAGTCCCACAAGAAGGAGGTGCTCGAGCCCGTTACTATCCTCGAGACGCCACCCATTGTTATCGTTGGTATTGCTGGCTATGTGGAGACACCCACTGGCCTGCGCTGCCTCAAGACTATCTGGGCTGAGCATCTTGGAGAAGAGTGTCGTAGGAGATTCTACAGGAACTGGTGAGTTTTTCTGCCGTCTTGACTTGATAACTGACTAACTTATTGAAAGTAATTTTTTATAAACTCGTAAACCTCGTTGAGATATCTGAAACCCGAGTCAGGCCTCGGCTATCTATTGCAGTATTTATATCAGCTTGGCTATTTGATCTATTCACTTTGTTTACTTTTTGAGCAATTTATGTCGATTGTCTTGATGAAATTGACAATTGTTGTTGCTGGCCCAGTTGTTTGCTCCTCTGATGCTTGCGTCATGAGCACGGCTGTGGTTTATGGGCTTCTGAGGCTGTCGGTGTTGATCACCGTCTAGCTGACGGATGAACTCTTCCTCCAAGCTTCGTGCTTGTCGACAGAGATCCCAGTAGCATTTTCTTTACCCCTCTTTGTTCCGCACGACCATTGAAGGCACAAGTCGAAGAAGCGTGCTTTTGTGCACGCCACCAAGAAGTGGCAGGACCGTCTGGGTAAGCTCTGCATCAGGCGTGAACTTGCCAAAATGAAGAGATATTGCACCGTCATCAGGGTCCTTGCCCACACTCAGGTATTAGCATTTTCAAGTTTTCCAAAGTAGAACGGCCGTTTAAGTAGAAACAGATTTTTTATTTGAATTTAGATACGCCCGTTTCATTGTCATGTCAAGTCTGTTCTTCCTAATTTGCTTTACGTGTAAGATTTGTCCTGTTCACGAGCTCCTCTCAATTGAATGATGAATTATTGCGAAAGACAATTGTTCTACGCGATTATCGTGTAAAACAACTATGGTTAACACTTAAGCCTTTGACCTGATAAAAAGCTGTTTTAATGCGCTCGCTATTGTTGCATGTACTTTTTGTGAAAAAATCGTGTCATCTCCACAGCAAAAGCTGCTCATGAAGCGCCAGAAGAAGGCTGACCTTCTTGAGATCCAGCTGAACGGCGGTAGCGTTGAGGACAAGGTGAGGTGGGCTTTCCGCCACCTCGAGAAGCGCGTTCCTGTGGCCGATGTGTTCGCTATGGATGAAATGATCGATGTCATCGGCGCCACTAAGGGAAAAGGACGCAAAGGTGAGCTAAGTCTTAGAGGTATATCATATAGAAAAGACTATTGTCGGCGTGAGTGATAAAGTGCTCAAGATGCTCGGACTCGTTGCCATTCAAAATGTGAATATACTGATCTGTATTTTTATCCATCTCGTGTTGGACTCAACGCACCCACAATTGCATTAGAAGTTATTCACGAAAATTTTTTATTGCCAGGTGTGACGTCACGTTGGCACACAAAAAAGCTGCCTCGCAAAACGCACAAGGGTCTGCGTAAGGTTGCGTGTATCGGTGCCTGGCATCCTAGTCGCATCCAGTACTCAGTAGCCCGTGCTGGTCAGAAGGGTTACCACCACAGGACTCAGATAAACAAGAAGATCTACCGCGTCGGTGCCGCCATTAAGGCCAAGAATGGCAAGCTGGTGAAGAACAGCGGGTCTACCGACTACGATTTGACTGAGAAGACCATCACGCCAATGGGTGGTTTCCCCCATTATGGTGAAATTAACAATGATTTCATCATGATCAAGGGATCGTGCGCGGGATCCAAGAACAGGATCCTTGTCCTCAGAAAGGTGAGATACTGTTAGCAGTGTTGCAAACCTTGTATGAATATTAGCAGTGTTGCAAACCTTGTATGAATATTTTAAAAGTTGAAGTGGAGGAGTCACTAAATATAATGCGTAATTATCAACTTTCTATTATAATAACTGTAATATTGATGAAACCGGCATTTCCAGTCACTGATCCAACAAACGAAGCGATCGGCTCTGGAGAAGATCGATCTGCACTTCATCGATACCGCCAGCAAGATGGGTCACGGCAAGTTCCAGACCAGCGCTGAGAAACGCAGCTTCATGGGACCTCTCAAGAAGGATCGCATCAGGGCAGAAGCTGCTAAGGCTGCAACCGAGGCTGCCAAGAAGTAAACTTAATAAAATGTTTACTCTGATGCGATTTTTTCTCCCTGATGAAACAGTGTACTGGAACAATGGAGGTGAATTCGTAAGCGAGTAATTTAATGATAACCTGATATTTCGTCGTCCTGTTGGATTACATTATGTAACGTGGTATAACCTCGACTGGAATTGTTCAGATTATATAAATATAATATTTAAAAATAAGAATATGAAAATGAAATATTATGTATGTGAAGAGCTCACTACAGACGTCAAATGTGATTCGTAGGTTAGTTCGGAATTCTCGGTTTCGTACTCCCGACATTTACTGATTGCGTAACAAGAAGAAATTGTGGTCAGTTGCGTGAACTCTTGCGTATTAGGAAGTACTGGTGCTGTCTGCTGAGTTTGGCTTCGGGTCTTTCTAATCGTTCAGGGGGCGAAGAGTCAAGTTCTTTCTATTTTATAGCTCTTGTTTGTCCTGGAAATGGGAGGTAGCACGCGACGTGCGGAGTCAGGTTGCTCTGGGTAGTGAGGGCTTGGGGATCTTCGTTGCCCTGCTGCACTTTCTGGGGGAGTTCTCATAACCCTCGGACGAGAGCTGAAGATGGCAACGTACTCTTTCGCCCTGAAATGTGAATCATTGCTGTTGAATATCGGTATTTAAATGGCTTTAACTACGCTCTAGTATATCATTTTTTAAAGTTGTTACTAAGAGTTCATGCGTACTGAAGAAACGATTGAGTATAGGCTGATGATAGCTTGAAACGTGAATTCATAGTGTGTTCATGGTGTAAAATTATTCAAGATTATGCACTCGCTATTTTGGTATTGTTCAAGAATAATAGCAATGAATCTATAAAATAAGAAATTCTTGTCGTTAGTTTGTCTGAAAAGCTGACGTGTTGGCCGGTAGAGAGCGCAGTAGTGGATCGTTCTCTAGAGTGGACGTTCTTCGCTGCGTCTGGATGACGGTTCTTACGGCATTCCTGAGATTTTCTTCTACGTTACTTCTTTCGACATCTGCGGTAGAGTTTTTAATGCTTAATGATATTCTTTTAAAGCAGGGCATTAAAGTGCCGATTATTTAATTCAAAAGTAAGCCTTTCAATGCTATGCTGCCTTGCCTCTAGATTGAGGCTACAAATGCTTATTACTCAAATTCGCCACCGTCAGTGCGCGGGTCCACAACCTTCGTTTAAAATATTCCTTGGCAGTTATTTTTATCATTGTTCTCTCGTTGAGCATAGAATTTGGCGTAGTTTTATGCCATTACCTTCGGGATCGTCGTTGGCGTCACGAGGATACGAGTGCCTTATTCGACCGGGTTGCTGTAACGATATAATTCTATGATAAATTGATGATTATATGACCGAAAATATTTCCCTGTACTAGTTAGTCTATTGTATTGAGCTAGTGTATATTTGTATACAAGATTTAAAATTATGCCCACATAAACCTGCCAAGTCATCTTGAGTCCACGTACCTACTGACGCTAGAAACTTTCATTTAAATGAAGGTTAGAAAGCTTTTAAGCGGTAGTATTTGCTTTGAAGTGAGAAGTTACCCTCTAAACTACTTCAAAAGTAGCAATATCACAAAAATAATCTATTTCACACTAACCTGCTGCTTTTGCTGGCCAGAATCCGCAGATGGAAATGATGAACGAGCGCCGTTTTGTACGCTCATGTGAAGATCCTCTTCAATTCTTCGCTCCCGAACCTCGTCTGTGTCATGGATCGTAGCCATTTGGCTGTCTGATTGCCTAACGTTGTGATCATAGTCCATCTCACTCTGCCCATCGTAATACTTTATTTGGGAATCTTGTCTCTCGAGCGCTTGTGTTCCTCTGGGATCATCGACGTACCGAGGAACTCTCTCGGTGACTTGAACATCCCGGATAGGTTTCGTCTGTTCATACTCAACATAGTCATGAGTCAGAAGCCGCGTTTCACGCCTTATGTAATTTCCGTTTGAGCCTTCAGAACCATACTCATATTGAAGGTTTTCCGGTGACGTGTTCAAACGCAGGGCTGGGATTTGGCTTCGATTTTGCAGACGACGTGCAGCTTGCTGGACGGAATTTGTGCGTCGCAATCCACCGGCCTGAATTGCTTGGTTTTCCGACGCGTTTAGTTCAGCATAGTTGGGAGAAGAGTCTGGGTAAGAGGCGGAGTATTCTCTGTTGGAGTGGCATGGCTGCGAACTGGCTAGCGCAGCATAGGGTTCTTCTTGTTCTTCCGCTGCAGAAATGCATATTATGGAGGATAAGTCAAGAATGAAGATGCCCTACGCGAACAAAATTTTGGGAAACGCTTTTTCTTAAAAACATTACAAAAGCATTTTAATCTTGAACGCACATTACTTCCGAAGTATTTGTAACAATCTACAACCTGCTACTCACCTTCAAATTCTTAAACTTAAGAGAGCTACGACAATTTAAAAAACTATCATTATTATAGAACCTCCCTAAAGCGACACTAAATTTACGTGAGTCAATTAATTCTCACCGATTGGAACATTGCAGTCCGCTTTGTTGGGAGGCGTTATCTGAAGTGAGTGTCTGCGACTTGTATTGGCGGTGAAGTGGTTTTCAGATTCCGCTGAATACTTGGATGTATAAGAATTACTCTGAGCATTAGGTGAATATTGTGAAGTGTTGGAGGAATAATTCTGAAAATTGGGAGAGTTTGTTTGCGAATATGATGCAGAATTTTGGTCGTCCTTCGTTCTGTGGGAATCAGCTGCGTAATTATCTGCACTGGGCTCTAAATTTTGAGAATTGGATTCAAAATGTTGTGGATAATTGTGCGTATTGCGAGTATGATTCTGTACATTGGGGGCATAATTCTGTTCAATATGGTCATAATTCTGTGCATTGTGAGCATAATTCTGAGCATCGGGAGCATAACTCCGTGCATTGTGAGCATAATATTGAGCATTGGGAGCATAACTCTGGGGATTGGGAGCACAATTCTGTGCATTATCAGCATGCTGCGTTGCGGTAATATTGTCGAGCTGAGGTTGTTGCTGAGGTCCCGGGAGATGATTAGCTTCGGTAGTAATGCCTAATGCTGACGCATATCCAGGATACGGCTGCGTTGGATGGACATGACCGTCATGGGGGAGATGTTGGGTCTGGGAGTGATGTTGGGGCTGAGGGAGGTGTTGTGACGTCGTAGTAGGATAGGGCAAGACGGACGGGTGTTGTGATGTAGAGGGATGTTGCATCGCAATGGCTTGTTGAAAGTATTCCTGAGAAGGCCAAACTTCTTCACGTTGAGCATTCCTGCAAGATATCGTTCAATATTACGATGTTGCTTCCATATTATCTTCAATGCAAGGCAACACGATTTCAAAATGAAATATCAACAGTTATTTTTGCAATTACGAATGACACTAAAATAATTGAACAAGTGATGATGTTCACGGACGATAATCTAATCACTTATTGAGGAATCCGATGTAATCACACGCATCTGTTGAGTTTTAAGGTAAGCAAGATATTTAAAATGTTTTAACGACGCTCCAGTAAATCATTGTCTCATTTGTATTAGAATCACACTCGTTTAACGAGGTATGCAAGGTAACCACACGCACCTGTTGAGGTATGTGGAGGTATGCCAGGCTATCACTCACACACACCTGTTGAGGTATGTAAGGTAATACTTAATGAGGTATGTAAGGTAATACCGTCATACATACGCACCTGTTGATAGACGATCTCTCGTCACGTGGAGGGTAGCGCCAGTGGACGCTTCCAGCCGACGCTGACCAGCGCTGCAGCAGTGAACAAAAAAGTTGAAAATTAAATCGTCGTTCTGCCTGCGTTGGCAATATTGCTGTCAACTATAATTTAACGCAAATATTTCCATGCTGCTCGAGATATTACGGTTTCTCTGCGCATTATCATTTGAAAAGATACGTGTTCACTCATACTTATTTTTACATGTGCGCCAGAGGTTCAATATATTATATTATATTAAATCAAGGTTCAATATAAAATCAACAAAGAGAGACACGACAACTAGAAATATTAAATTATTAATCACGAAGGAGGATCATTGAGTAATTCTTACCGAAATATAGCCTGGAGGAGACTGACTGATCCTTTTAGAGGCTACCGCGTTAGGCAGAAAGCCTCCCTCAGACAGAGGGCGTGACCATCCCATGGGCGGAGTCCACGGGGTGACCATGTCGGGTCTGCTCGGCAGAGGTGCTGACCTGCGAATGAAACGGCAAAACATTTCAAATATTCACTCAGAAAAATGAATGTCGTATTTATCAAATCGTGACACACTTTCAAAACGTAGCACTGTTCCGTCATTTTGCCGGCCGGGCCAAACTGGGTCATAATACATATACAAGAGCAAAATCTGCATCACTATTTAGACAATCTCACTCACTTCTCTGAGTGCTCATCAAAAATGTGTTATGGTTTTCAAAAACAATCGAACTTTTCAGCGCCCTGCACACTCATCAATCAGGGTTACAAGGAGAATTGATTGATATTGATCACATTTGACTGCAATGGTGACATTTGACTGACTATTACAACACTTCTCTTTAACTTCACTTCTTGTTCGTCTGCTACAAATCTTATAATCAATATTTAACACATTTCTACCTGTCCAATTGATCAGAAAATTTGCACACTTGCGTAAAGTCGGAGACAATGCTTGAATCGATTGACAGAATAAATAATTTTATAAATTTTTATATGTTAAAAAATTTTATAAATATTTTTTTACATATTTAAAAATAAAATAAGAAATTCTTTGTACATGCGTAACATCAGAGACACCGGCCTCTTCAGAAGTGTTGTCTTTACAAAATAATTTTTAAACGCATATAATTTTTCATTTAATCACATTGAATTTATAGGATAAAATGTTTACGTACCGAGCCGTTCCTGCAGGATCCATGCTCAGGAAGCTCTCTGTTAAAAAAAAAAGATTATGCAGTTCTTATTTTCTAATGTAAATTAGACAAAAACTAGAATATATTTTACCTACTATTCATTGCGCAGATGATTGCAAAAAAAATGCGTCTGAACATAATTACTATACAAAGGAAAAGTTGCGAGAACAAAGAGCATAATAACATAGATCTGATACTTAGGCAGTGAAAACGCTTCATTATTCCAAAAATAATTGCACTAGAGCCGTGATACTCAAAATAAATGGAAATTATAAATTTTCGTGGGTAATGCAATGTTTTTAATTTAGTCCTATATACAAATAATGAAAACTTCTGTTGAAGAGGTAAACAAGCTTATCGCGGGATATAATATTTGTGATCAAAATAATTTTTGTGTTAAGAAGTATAACTAATAAGAAATGTAGAAGTATTTAAAAATTATTTCTTGTTGTAACGAATAAAAATAAATAAAATAGTAGAAATACTTTTCGTGTAAGTAGAAGTAGTAAAAATATATTTCTGATTATAACAAATGAAATTAATTATAGGTAGTATAAATACTAGAAGTATTAAAAATATTTAAAAAGTATAAAAAATGAAAGTATTTTTCCTGTAACGAATAAAAATGAATAAAAACAATAGAAATAGTTTTCGTGGTTGACGCACCGTGCGTGCGGTGGTCGGAGTACCGCCGCGACAGCAGCACCTCGCCAGTCAGCTCCCCAGGGGCGGCCTGCGTCAGGTCGTTTAACTCCAGCTCGTCATCCAGAAACTCCGGCACATCCTGCAAAAGCAATTTTATTAATTAATACTGGGAAAAGATTTAACAATAAATTAATAATCTCCCAACTTCATTTTATGTGCACATCTTTCATAGTTAATTTTATGTTTTGTAATTAATCAAAAATTTGAATTGCTGTGGCGCTTCTGCTGGCTTCTTAAAATCATTCAACAACTGTACAAATGGTGGAATTATTTGCCTTAATATTGGATAACAAAATTGATCTCTAACTGGCACTAAATTATTAAGTATGGATCTATTAATAATTCTAGTCATAGAGTAGCATATACTGTATTTATCATGGCAACTACATATTTATCATGGTAACAACATATTTTTAATGGAAACAACATATTTATCATGTCAACTACATATTTATCATGGTAACAACATATTTTTAATGGAAACAACATATTTATCACGGTAACAACATATTTATCACGGCAACAACATATTTATCACGGCAACAACATATTTATCACGGCAACAACATATTTATCACGGCAACAACATATTTATCACGGCAACAACATATTGATAATGTTTCAACAGTAGTACAATATTCTGTGCCAGGGTGCAAGGCCATACCTGTTGGTGCTTGGGGGAAGTGGGGGGAGATGTGGGGGGCGTGGAGGGTTCCTCCCTCTGCAGCTGCGCCACCAGGTGCTGCAGCTGCTGCTGGTACTGCTCGTCTTGTGACGACTGAACCTCAACAAATACATTCTTGTTAATTATATCTTATAAGAACCTAATAAGATATATAACAAGATAAGTAGCCCAAACGTAAATCTTCATCTAGGTGTTACTAATCGATAGCTTTTACGAATTGGTGTTTTAAGTTTATAGGTTAAATTTTAAGAGATATTTAGTGATTATTTAGCACGACGAATTTTAATGATGAATACAATTTGAAATCGTACATGCACCGAAATTGGTTCAGACAATGTGAGCCTGAATGTGTGAATTCAGGCTCACATTGTCAGGCACCTCGGTTATTCTTTACAAAAAATCACTGCAGGAATTTTCTGATTGAATTTGAATAAAAATTAATTCAGTTATTTATCATACGTTGTTCATGTGTTTACAATGAAATTCCTCCTTAGTTGGCTCCCTATGCGCTCAGATTTCATCTATAAGAAATTAAACAGAACTCAAAATACGTGCTAATATTTCTGCCTAAATGGCATTTCAACACTAACAATTTTCACTGTTATTCTTGAAATGAAATTTTTCTACTATCATAGACAAAATTTCAGCATATATCACAATTCACTTCCTAATTAAACTGTGAATGGAACTGTTCAGAATTAAACAATAACTTAGCTAACTTTGTTTTTTGTTCACCTGCGCGAGTTGCGTTAAAGTCACGTCAAGTTTGTACGCCAGCGCCTCGTGCCGGAAACGTGGTTCCGTCGCCAGGCTGAGAAGAGTTCCGCACAGACACGTAGACTGTAGTGAAGAACGCAAGTTATCAAAAAGATACCAACTTTTAACAGTTGCAATTAAAAATAACAATTTAGATTAGAATACCAAGTAGTGAAAAGCGCAGCTTATCAAAAAGATACCAACTTTTAACAGTTGCAATTGAAAATAACAATTTAGACTAGAATACCAGGTAAGAGAGGAGGTTATTAAAAAGATACTAACTTTTATCAGTTGCAATTAAAAATAACAATTTAGACTAGAATACCAGGTAAGAGAGGAGGTTATTAAAAAGATACTAACTTTTATCAGTTGTAATTAAAAATAACGATTTAGATTAGAATACCAGGTGTGAGATGCAGCTTCAATATGGATGTTTCAGGGGACTTTGGGGGGGGAAATGTTCTAGTAATTGACATCGAGTAATTGAATGACTCGGATGAGAATCAATAGACGCAGGTTCAACAAATCCACAGCGTCTTTTTAGCGCTTTTTCTCATTTATGGAAAAAGGCGATATTGTGCTCGTCATGTTCGTCCGTCCGTCCGTCCGTCCGTCTGTCCGTCCCTGACTTCACGTTTTCGTCGACGAGAAAATGCGTTCTCTGTCTTTCACTGCAGTGAGAACTGAGTTATACTTTTTCTAAATAATAACAATTTTGATATTATAACACTAAATTTTAATAATGTAAATAACGAATAACACAAATACATATTGTGTTTCGATATGGTGTCAAGATTACCAAGGTTGAGAACTAACTTAAGAAGGCAAGCGTTCACCATGAATATTAATAGAATTCACGAGATTTATCAGAACAATCAAAGGGAGAAATAAAATTTTGAAGACCTAGGCCAACAATAGAATCCAAGAAATTTGTTGCTACCAACTAATTAATATCTTAAACGCGCGCATACATCCATCATTCAGTGAGTGGTATATGGTGAACCGAGGACATACGGCAGGGTGTTTGTGCGCGAGTAGCTTGGCAGCGAGGGACACGAGAGGGGCAGTGATGGGCAGAACAGCAGCTCGCCCCTCAGATGTGAGGGTCAAGTTAAGCAGCAGAGCAGCACAATATTCCTGCGATGTGAGGGAGAGACAACCCTCGTCTAATGCCCTCACGGTCCACGCCACGCATCCGCCCTCAACCAACCGCTTCTGGACGTCGCCTCTGGAGAGATTTTATACTGTTATTTTTTTCTGGTATATTGAATAAATTATTAATAAGTTATCTAGGTTTGAAAGACAATTATAAGGAAAAATGCATTTTTCCTTGATCTATTCATTAAAAATATAATTTTTTAACGTTCAGCTCAACTGATAGTATTCTTTACTCCTCAGGGTTAAATTCAAGCTACAAGGAAATTAATAATTGTTTATAAAGAGATTGAACTTTAAACTTTGGCAATATCCCTCCTCACTCAATTTCTCATAATTTGTATGAACACATAACTGTTCATTTTTAGAGTTGATTTCACACGCATTCAAAAATCTAGTGTAAAAATTTATTTTCAGCTTATACTCTTATGCACGCCTACAAAAATGCAGCGGTTCTACATTACGAGCCGCTAGTGGTACACAATGCCCTTTTCGGTGGTGCGCGAACAATTTCGGTATCATGAAATATTTTTTGTTACTTATTTCTTACTTTGCAACAATTTTTAATGTGTAACACAAGATAATAAGTCATGGATTTGCAACCATTGCAAATCCATGCCGATGTTCACGAACTTAATGCCGTGATTATTTGCACATTAAGTAAAGTGAATAACAGGAAACGCTTATTAGTGGCTAATAGGTGAAATTAGTGATAACAATTGGTTTTTGATCTCAGAAAGTTTAGAAACTCCTGTCAGTTAAATTCTAAATTTGTTTGAATGCAGTTAAGCAAGCATAATTTTATTCGAAACAAACGGTAGTCGTAGCGTTGAACCTCCGCCAGCCAATGATAAATAGAATAATAAATTTATAAATTAATTTTCTCCAAAAATACGTTCCTCTATGACGTCAATTTACTACACAACTACCTCCCGAATAGGAGCGCCAAAAGGTTCTTTCAGTTATAATGGCTCAACATTGAGAATTTATTGATCAATCGGGAAGAATTCGTTCAATGCCAGTGCAGGGGAACATCGACACGGAACTCAATTGACACGAATGACTAGCATAAGAAGTGTTAGACTCAGCTTCTATAATTTTTTAATTTTTCTTCGAAGTAAAATTTCTAATTATTTTTTTCCAAATAAAGACTTTTTTATTTTTAAATTTTTCGAAATAAAAATTAGTGACGAAATTACGAATTGGGTTTCGATTTCGAGTGCAAATGACTAAAATACTTAAAAAAAACTTTTTAAAATACCACGTTTTTCTTGTGGACTAAAAAGTAGAAAATAAATTATGGTTCGCCCCAAAAAAACGTGTGTCGGGCAGATTTATGATTAAAGCGAAAAGCACACAACACACGAATTTTGGAAATTTAATGGTGAACGTACAGCCCGACCCACGTTTTTTTGGGGCGAGCCATAATTTATTTTCTACTTTTTAGTCCACAAGAAAAACGTGGTATTTTAAAAAGTTTTTTTAAGTATTTTATTTTATACTTTTTAGTCCACAAGAAAAACGATTAAGACTTGACTAAGTATGACTTGAGCTGCGTATCGATGATACGCAGCGTTAGCGCCTGCTCGTCTATGGCCCGTATGCTAAATGGGGCACTAGCACTACGAAGTAGCACTACGCACTACAAGCCGTAGTGCGGTACTAGTGCGACTTGGAACACTACGGTTGGCAAGCTAAATAGGGCACTAGCACTTTGAAGTAGCACTACGCACTACAAGCCATAGTGCGGCATGGAACACTACGGTTGGCATGCTAAATAGGGCACTAGTACTATGAAGTAGCACTACGCACTACAAGCCATAGTGCGGCATGGAACACTACGGTTGGTATGCTAAATAGGGCCAAAAGCATAACGCGCACTACAAAAATCTGAAGTGTCCTACACACCGCCCTTCACGACGACACTACGGTATATTTCACATTGTTTACTTCGTCAGCTGTGGATCTGTTTGGCTTACAGCAAAGGCATCATCGCGTAAAAACCTCAGGAACAGCATGCCATGAATATAAAAAAGTGTACCGCTTCAGTGAACAACATGTTATTCTTATGGCTGACATTTTCCTTGGCGAAACAGATGAACAGCGTAGAAGTAAAAAATACTTTTCTTGTTTTTGATACCATGTTTTGAATTTTATTTTTTTTTTCTGGAGTCATTTTGAATTCTTCTGCAAGAACTTTCCATGCTTTAATTTTGGTCTCTAATTGCTAGTTTTTATGATTGTATCTGAAATTGTTAGGCGAAAATAGCCTGCATGCCGAATTTCAGATCTCTAGAGCAATCAGAAGTGGGCTAATTTTCGTTGGCAATGTTAACAACAAACAAACAAACGCGAAGCTAAGTTAAGAAAAACGTGTTAAAAATAGTAACAAAATTACAGAGTGGGTTTCGATTTCAAGTGCAAAAGAAAAACAGTAACAAAATTGCGAATTGGGTTTCGATTTCGAGTCCGAATAAAAATTGTGACAAAATTACGAATTGGGTTCCGATTTAGAGTGCAAATGAAAAATAGTGAAAAAATACGAATTGAGTTCCGATATCGAGTCCAATAAGGTGGCACCTGACAGAAAGTTTCTGCAGGGCAGCGACGCAAAAGTCCTGCGTTGAGACGTCGCCGAGGTCCTCCAGCAGCATCTTCTTCAGGGCATCACAAACACCGGCATTTCTGTCGAAATATTTGAAGAGTTTTATTATTATTCTACTTTTCCGAATAGGAACAAGACTTTATCTACTTTATTCATAACAAAAATTGAGAAATTTACTTTATTTCATACCGAATTGGCTGATGTCGGCGACAGGCCACATCAGGCCTACTCTTTAGCGCCGACATCACTATGTTATGTTATGTTATGTATTCATCGAGCATAACATTGACATCAACGGTTACGATGGTATGTGAGTAGTATTCGCTAGTTACACTTTAATTACACAATTTATTTACCAATCTAACTTGAATGCTTCAGACCTGCCCAGGTATTGACGGCCCAGATGGAAGCTCGCCAGGGCGCTGAGCAGCCTGGCGACGCTGTTGCCCAGCAGGTTGCCTTCTGCACCCCACAAGCCCTGGTGCAGCCTGGCCCAGCTTCTACTCTCTGGAAGGTCCTCGAGCCCAGGCTCTGCTCATCCCATGTTCTCATATTAATTTCGGTTGACTCTGACAAATATTGCAGGAAATATTATCCATAACAAACCTGTTGACCACCGGCTTAGTAAATCATTGCTTCGATCTACATGAATGAAGCGTAAGTAATACTGATTTTAATTTAGATTCTAATATTAAACATAGCTTATGTAAGGTTGTGTAGAAGGGACCATGTTAGGGCTGTATTAAGCAATTACAGGCAGGATGTGACTTGACCGCAAAGTTGGGATAGAAAACCTTGAGGGCGAGTTTATTTATAGTTCAGAATGGCCGAGGGTATCAAAAGGGCTGACCCTTGTGCAACTCGAAACTGTCACGGCGTCCCTTGGTAGGCTCATGCTTACGCGGCGTCTGCCTATTTGAGGACTCTAAAATTCGCACCAAAAACTTGTTCTATTGTCCATCATGCTAATACAGTCTGCAGCTTTCTCTGTAGAGTAGGTGACGGCCCCAGCCGTGGGTTGTAGGCGTCAGAAATAACGACTGCGCGGTACTTTACGACATTCATAACAATACGACTCCGATTTAATAACGTCAGAAATCTACGAGTAACGCCTGCAACTTGGCTTATTTGTACGGCCAGTATTCAAGGCTACGGTTGTGAATTAGCCGTGAGACAACGCGAGGGACAACAAGGCCTTCAATGATTATAAAGCCGGCAATGAGAACCTTCAAGTACCGAACACTGCGTAGAAATTCTTATAGGTACGGTCATCAGCACAGTATGGCCATTTACTTCATCAGCAGCAGCATTACGGTCACATTCATCATAAGCACTAGTAGCATATAGCAACAAGTTTGGAGTAACACCATGGACGATGAAGATGGACGCCACCATTCAGAAGTACGGTCGTCATAAATAAAATCTACGGTTAAAGCGACCGTGATACAACTTATTAGCGGTGATACCTACTGCTACTCTGCTAGAAGATAGAGCGAGTGCGAAAGACGACCGTGGGAACGCGTGGAGACAGCTTCGATACGGTCGCTGTTAACAATACCTACGGTCGCGAAAATTTCGTATGAGGTACAGTCGTTTACGACAGTCGTACTACTCAAGGGAATTGTACAACGGAACAACGTTTTGGGTAAATAAGACGTTTGAGTGATTGAAACTGATAGTTTTCAACATTGATTGTGTTCGGATTATGCTTTTCCTGTGCTAAAGAATTTTGTCAACGTATGATGTTAATGTGAATTTCCTAGTTCAATATTGAATGTACCAGTGTTTCATTGCAATCCTCTCTCTAAACAATTTTTGCATTAACCTATTTCATACGAGTACTTATACGCGAATACTCCGAGTACAGCCTGAGACGATACGGTTGTAACCTGACCAAATTAAAACAATTGCCGACCAATAATAAAATTATAACAATTAAACCAATCGTAAAATTCTATAAATTAATCATACACTGCAAAGATATTTCTGCGAATACCATTCATGAAAACCACTTATCCACTGATTTGGTATATAATAATATTAGTTTCAATCGACACAAACATATATTTCTGAGAATATCGTCCATAAAAAACCTGTTGACCACCGACTATACAAATCTAAAAAAATATAACTCAGTACTCACTGCAGTGAGTGACAGAGCGCGCATTTCCTCGTCGACGAAAACGTGAAGTCACGGACGGACAGACGGACAGACGGACATGGCGAGCACAATAGCGCCTTTTTTCCATAAATGAGAAAATGCGCTAACAAATTCTTTGCAGTAATAAATAACGGCAATTAAAAATACAATAATACACGTGATCAGTTTTAGGAAATATCATGAGTAGGTATATAATAAGATGACTCACCCGTAGACCCCGCAGGCTGCGTCAGGCCCAGCACGTCGTTGCGTACGTAAGCGGCCACGACCGCCTGCCGCGCAGCGCCCTCCGTCACGCGCGTTATACGCTGCATGCAACAAAAATAAATATTTTATGGATTTTATGTGTTTTTGTACCTTATTTTACAGTTTTTGTGGGACATAGGATGCATTTTACGTGAAGAACGATTTTACGCGTTTTATGCGATCTTACAAACATTTATGCGTTTTGTGTGACTTTAAAAACATTTAACGCGTTTTATATGACCTTAAAAACATTTTACGCGTTTTGTGTGACTTTAAAAACATTTTACGCGTTTTGTGTGACTTTAAAAACATTTTACGCGTTTTGTGTGACTTTAAAAACATTTTACGCGTTTTGTGTGAGTTTAAACACATTTAACGCGTTTTATATGACCTTAAAAACATTTTACGCGTTTTGTGTGAACGAGAACGTACTTTAAAGAGTTTTGTGTGTGCTAGAACGCAACTCACAGGTTGCGTAGCGAGTACAAAATCTCAAATTACTCTGGCCCTTGATGAAAAATTTTAATTTAACTACCGTAAGTTGCATCAAATGCTGATCAGCATAATGGGCCGGCCATAACAAAATAAATTACATAAGACAAATTCAAATTAAAATCTAAGAAAATCAAGCAAAATCATCAAATTAAACCAGCAGTGGGAGAACATCTGTTCATTATTTAACTTCATCGTCGCGTCACTAATTTACAAATTAATACAAAATTTTTCGTTCTGTTTCAGTAAACTATTCTCTATGCGATTAAGTATCACTGTGACAGGACCTAAGGATCTCTAAGGACCTCAAGATGAAGTAACCTGCACGCAAGTATTGAATACTAACTGCCCTGACCTGCCTGAGGGCCTGCAGCAGCAGCAGGCAGTCGTGTAGATCACCGTCAGCAAGGCAGCCCCTGACAGCGCAGTAGTCTAGGGCTGACACATGCGTCCTAGTGACGCTCTGCTGACGGTTTCTGCTCATCGCTTCCAGTAAAATCGTCGTTGGTGGCGCCTGATGTATGCATCATATGAGACGCGTAACATAATTGCGTTATATTGATTACAATTATAAAATATTCAACACTTGTCAGACTTCATGGTTACATTCGGAACGATAATAACGTTGAGAAACCGTTGAACAAAATCAACACGTAATCAACGTTATTTCGACGCGACACTAACGTTCAATAGAGCACATATCATAATAAATACGAGCCGATTTCAGATAGATCTGTTCAAAAGGCCAGTCCTCAGATCTACAAGAGACAAGTCAAGAACAATACAAGAGTCGGCTACAGGCCGAACTTGGCCTATTCTTCAACGCTGATATTAATATACAATACAATACCATGCAATACAATATAATAATATTTTAAAGACGGAACTATTTCGTAGAGCCCATGAATCTAGTGCATAGTCATTTTATCCGTTCCCATCCTTTCTTCTGTCTATATATTTTTTACTTCTTATTACCATTATGTGTGACGTGCCCTCGAAGTTCATTTGAACTTGACGCCATGATAAATGTTTCGCAAAAAAGAATAATAATACCATACTATGCATCCCTATACCATACAATGCTCTATTATACAATACAATACCACAAAACAATACCATACAATACTATACAAAACAATACCATACAATACTATACAATACAATACCATACAATACCATACAATACGACCTGTGTGTCAGACAGTACAGGCAGTATGAGGTCAGGGTGCGTGTGTACGCACGCCCCGAGCGTCGCCTCCAGGTCCACCGTCTCGCCTGCCACCGTCCGCTGCAGTGCCGCCGTCACCTCCAGCGACACGCCTGCGCGCGGTGTTGTGAGTCAGACAATATTCAAGGTTTAAATGCAGGGGCTGAAGCTATAAATTCAGATGCTGAAAGTCTAAATGCGTGAACGAAGTTCTATAATGAAGTTGCTATAGGTTTATATGCAGTGGTTCTCACGCATTGTGTAAGAAGCCTAGGTCGAGAGTCAAACTTTTGAAACAATATGAAATGTTAAATGGTTTCACAAGCTGCAGTTGTATATGCATAAAACTGTTATTTTTTCTCGGAGGCCGTAATCTACTAATTTATGTACAGCGGTACTCCAAAAGTCGGAACACGACATAATCGGAAGGCGATGAAATTTTCAAATAAAATAACTTTTTCGGAAGTCGACCCGACCCATACTACTCATCAAACGCCACAGAGATTCTTTCACCCGCCACTTGTAGGAGATTCTATCATCCGCCACTTGTAGGGGATTCTATCACCCGCCACTTGTAGGGGATTCTATCACCTGCCACTTGTAGGGGATTCTATCACCCGCCACTTGTAGGGGATTCTATCATCCGCCACTTGTAGGGGATTCTATCACCTGCCACATGTAGGGGATTCTATCACCCGCCACTTGTAGGGGATTCTATCACCCGCCACTTGTAGGGGATTCTATCACCCGCCACTTGTAGGGGATTCTAACGTCGATGGGTTCCACAAAAGTTCACGTTCAGAACATATTTTTCAGACATTTCTCATGGGAAACAGTTTCGGAAAACGAACGTTTCAAAAGCTAACGCTTCACTTGTAACTGATCAACATCGAATTCTGCGATACTTTCATAATAGTAAAATTTTTCCCGATATTACTCTGAAGTCGAGATACTCAGTTTCAGATATAAAGATACATTAATTAATAAATTACATTTTGTATATACATAAATTATAATGTGCAATTTAAGATTATTACATTTTAATAGGGCGTTTTAAGCACGTAATTACCGAGCAGTCTGTTGTAGTGGTCCTGCAGTTTGTAGAGCTTGCGTGTGATGGCTCGGTGACTCCTGCGCGCCTCTGCCACAGCGCTACTCGCTCCCACAGCCACGGTGCCACTGCTGCTGCTGCGCCACACAAAATTAATAAACAATTGTGAACAACTTAAACATTATCTTATACTGAAGTATTAACATTTTATACTGAATAAAGCCCTTTCATACTGAAGTAAAGACATTTTATACTGAAGTGAAGACATTTTATACTGAAGTAAAAACATTGTATACTAAAGTAGAGACATTTAATACTGAAGTAAAGACATTGCATACTAAAGCAAATACATTTTATACAGGAGTAAAAACATTTTATACTGAAGTAAAGACATTGTATACTGAAATATGAACATTTAATACTGAAGCATTAAATAATGTTGAATCCGTAAAATGCGAACATTATCGGAGCCACTCGATAGTTGCCGTGACGCTGAGCTGTGAAAATATTCAAAATTTGAATAAGAAATAATTTAGTTAACTTGAATTTTACAGTTACAAAGCGGAGAAAATCATGCACGTCTTTCCACGTCACACACGTCGCTATGGTGACCGTCACCTCCTACGGGCTCTCCTGACGAGGGTGACGAGGGTGGGGGGCGGTGACAGGCACTCCTGCAGCCAGCCCTCTAGACGCGCCCTCACGCACATCACCCACGAGTCCTGGCACATTTATTTATTTATTTATAACCTCCCCCCGTATGATTTTTTTGTCACAGCATTTTCATAGCACATTTTTTGCACTCTCTCACGGTACATGCTTTTCTTCACTCAAAATATTTCAGTATGGATACATTTTTGCAAGGTATAAATAGTTTATGAGATATTATCTGCCCCGTATCATTTTTTTGCAAGTGTTTCAAGACACATTTTTTTCAATTATTTTATGGCAGTTGCTTTTTAGTTAAAAAAATTCAGCATGAATTCCTTTTTGCAAGGTATTTTTTGAGATGCTTTCCTCATAAATTTTTTCACACAATCTAAAAATTGAAAGTTGCCTTTATAAAATGGAAAAGATCTGTAAAACCACATAACTCCGATTTTTACTACAATTCAGTGGCACTAGGCTATATAATCCACGATTAAAATTATTGATATGAGTAAAGACGCAAGAGGTACTTAAATTTTGGGCTGAGTTTCCGTAGATTTAATGACAGTCTCTCGTCTTCATACTAATAGATTAGAAGTTTAGAGCAGACAATTTTATAGATTTAAAAATCGTCAAATGAACCGACTTTCATGCTATATTATTGCTTTGAAAACTAAACCGATATCATTCAGAATTAGAATCCGTTTATCACAAGAAAAACAAACCCGTGGAAAGCTTTCATCAAGTATACAAGGTTATTCTAGATGATGAACCCACTTTAATAAATTCCTATTTACTACCAGCAACTCTGTTTACGTCCCGCCTCTACCAGCAACTCTGTTTACGTCCCGCCTCTACCAGCAACTCTGTTTACGTCCCGTCCAGCAACTCTGTTTACATCCCGCCTCTACCAGCAACTCTGTTTACGTCCCGCCTCCACCAGCAACTCGGTTTACGTCCCGCCTCTCCCAGCAACTCTGGTTGATCTGAAGAACCGTATCACTGCTACGGTGCACTCAGTAACAGAAGATATGCTTTCTCGTGTGTGGGACGAGTTTGGCTGCCGTTTAGATGTTTGCCATGCAGCACAATTGGACATATTGAACATTTATAAATATGTAAAAAAATCGAAACTTTTTCTTTACATTGGTATATAAATTATTCATTTTGAATTTATATTCAAATGAAACGAATTTATTAAATTGCGTCCGTCATTTAGAATAACCATGCATTTTACTGGACAGCATCCTATGATAGACTCAAAATGAGTTATTTGACACCTTAATAAGTTTTATTTGAAGGCCAACACACAATCTTAGAAACGAATAAATTAATTTCAATTTCAAATTTTTCATTAAATAAAATAAGGATTAATGATCACTTGAAAGACGACAGCGACGCAGCGAGCCTGGCATGGTGATCAATTAATTAATTAAACCGAATTAAGAGTAATTATCAATCACTTGCAATAAAAAGTAAATACCAGTTAAGTTATGATCACTTGAAAGACTGGAAGGAAGGCAGCGTGCGTGGCATAGTGATCAATTAATTAAACCCAATTAAGAGTAATTACCAATCAATTGAAATAAAAAGCAAATATTACTATATCTCAGTCAATTCATTAAATAGAATAAGTAGTTATGATCACTTGAAAGACTGGAAGGAAGGCAGCGTGAGTGGCAGGCTGGGGCACGTATGGCAGGGCGTAGAAAGGCAGCAGTTCGGGCACGCTGCCCAGCAGAGGAGAGCACGCGTCCAGGTATTGCTTGAAGACCTTCATAGCGGCACCGTGGTCCTGGGGCATGGGGAAGTATGGGTGATGGGTGACCAGAGGGTGTGGGTGATAGGTTACCAGGGGGTGTGGGTGATGGGTGACCAGGGGGTGTGGGTGATGTGAGGGTATTTGGGGCGTGGGTGATGTGAGGGTATTTGGGGCGTGGGTGTTGTGAGGGTATTTGGGGCGTGGGTGTTGTGAGGGTATTTGGGGCGTGGGTGTTGTGAGGGTATTTGGGGCGTGGGTGATGTGAGGTTTAGAGGGAGGTATGGGTGTTTGTGTCCCCGGGGTGTCATGTGTGCATAAAAGGGAATGGGTATCACAGAGCCCTGCAGCGGGTGGCAGGAGAATACATGGGCATGCATATGTATGTGCATTGAAATTTTGTAATGCCCCGTACATTCCATGTAAGTTCCAGATGAATTTGTATACATAAAATTGCAATGGCATGAATTCAACAAGGAAAATTTTCGAGCTACTTACGATTCCGGATATTTCATCACGGAGATGAACAGAAAATGTTGCTGTCCGAAACATAAACCTTTAAACTCTTATAACCCCTGCAATATCCTTGCTTAGCTATTATTTTAAGGCCTGAGTATAGAAGGTGCACATGCGGAATTAAGAGTCCGCAGTCTCGTTATCATCGGCTGATGTGTACCATGTGCTTAATGAGCCCGGCTTAAAAGTTCAAGGCCGAATCCTTGAGGCTCTTTTTACAGGGTGAAGAAGCTTCATGCTTGACGTGACCTTACGATAGAAATTATCGACTGGGATCATCATAAAAGCGGGTAAAATTTGAGGTCATCCTCACTTGAAGGTTATAAGCCGTTATAGTCACGTACTGTTATGTCATTAACTATAATATTATTAGAGTCTATGAGGATCACGTGTCGGTGCTTGGCTGGTCGAATTTGTCATCATGAGTGGTGCGCAGGATTGACGTTTTGATGATATATGATTAAAATCACAAAAACGCAAGTTAACAAGGAATTTGAAATCAAAAACAATACCACAAAAATTCACCATATCTTTATAAGAGAAAACGTTTCGGAGTCCAGCTCCATCGTCAGTTCACAAAACAAACTTTACTTCAGAAGAAGTTCCGTCCTAGAAACACAAATACAATCAATTAGTAAAGTAAAATCCACGGTCAGATATTAAAACGTAAATAAGCAAATGAGACATGAAATAAACGCTAGTAAACGATCCTATCTATTCAATATTTCAATAGGATAAGAGCTAAAAGCGGCATTTAGACTATGTGTAAAACGCTGTTCGTTTTGTTGAGTTTTGGTTTGACGTAAGTCCGCGTTTTTTAGGATAACCACGGTTTCAACAACAAATATCCCGTTTATTGGATTAAAAAGTTGTATCTGTAAGAACAAACAAATATATTAGCCCTATAAACTTCATTGTATGTTTATAATATTCAAATATAACAAATAATCAGAACAATAAACAACTTATATGAAGACATAAATCAACGCACCGAAATATTGTGGGCAGTTTTGACGCGGGCTACGAACTGAGCTAACATGAAACTATTGATACGTTGATCAACTATACGTTGATCTATTGATACGTTGATCTACACACTCTAAAGGTCGGATAAACAAGTAAATCATAGGAGCGCATAAAAAAATAGACTTAAAACTAAGCTAACAAAAGGTTCGCTAAAAATATTTACACTAGGCTTCTGGTTGAATATAGGCAGGGATTGTGAAATTCGTAGATCAGTAACACCGGATGTGGAAGCTAGAAGTTTAAAATAACAGATAGTGGTTGTAAAAATTTATTTGTACAAGTTTGCAAGAGAGGAAGAAAAATCATTAAAATTAAACCAATCATTTAACATTACAGGAAATAACTAAATAAAGTTATACTTTATGATCAATTTATCAATTCATGATCATAAATGAATATGAACGCCATTGTCTTCACTCCCCCGTTATAACTCGGCCACAGCGACCTTGTCTTCGTTGGATACGAGGCCATTTAATGCACGTCCTTGTGACTCATTTGTTGATTTATGTCCACCTAATGCTTCATAGCATACTTGAATTACGTTTACCCATTAACACTGGCATTGTCGCGACCATTACCGAGATAATTACGTGTTCATGTAGAATTTAGAGCGTCTAAAATTTCCGAGATTAAGAAATATATATTCATACATGTAGCGTGCGCACTGCGCAATTATCATCCAGTGGTCGGGATACGTGCACAGAGATTCTGCATTTCTATTCATTAACATATTTGCGTTCATTCTCTTATTTAGAGAAGAGCCTGAAAATCTGAGTACATGTAGCCACGATGAAATATTTATCAGACATATGTAGCATATAGCTGGCGAGGTCAACGGTTAGCAATAGTGACTTCGGAATGTAATGCGAGCCGATCAGAGTTCCGCAATTCGCCTCGGTAGTCCTACAAGTGTAGTTAGTTCATTCAATCATAACTAGGTCGAAGACATCTATATTTCTGTGATTTAACTGAGAATCTAAATGGATGTTCAGTTCTCCCTCAAATTACCTCCACGCAATCCAGTTGCGTTCAGCAACGACCGAGATAGGGTTCACCTCAGGCAGTGGTAATGGACAACACGCAGCGGTAGTGTTCATCACTGGCAGCGGTAATGTTCTTCAATGGCAGCGGCTCTAGGTCAATACCAGCTGCAGTTATCGCCAGAACGTCGGCACTTATTGCCAATAGCAGTGACACTTGCAACCGATATCACTGGCATGCGTACAGAGACAAGGCCTGCAGTCATAAATGGCTGTGCTCATCACTAGAAGTAACCGTAGCTTTTATAGCCAATTGCGCTAAAATTTTCGGCCAATATCTGCTGCACTTTTGTCAATGGCACAAGAGTTGTAGCAAAGCAGAGACATTTATTACAAATAACACCAACAGTTACAGCTAGTCGCAGCGGCAGATAGCGCCAGTTGCAATGGCATTCATCAGTAATGGCTGTTATCGACTATTGGCAAGTCCATTAAAGCCAAAAAACAGCAGCGACTATCAAGGACAACTATCACCTTAGCCATGACACGCACTCGGTATCACCAACTCAGCCACCTTCAGAGGCCTGGGGCCGCACTATCAAAAATAGGTACGAATTCGTAACTCTGTCAGCCAATCACTGAAGATTTTTCAAGTAAATTCACCAATTGCCGACGGGAAGTTGGCCGCTACGTGTACTTAGGCCGCTACGTGTACTTAGGCCGCAATGTGTACTTACGCCGCTACGTGTACTTAGGCCGCTACGTGTACTTAGGCCGCAATGTGAACTTAGGCCGCTACGTGTACTTAGGCCGCTACGTGTACTTAGGCCGCTACGTGTACTTAGGCCGCTACGTGTACTTAGGCCACTANGGCCGCTACGTGTACCTAGGCTGCTACGTGTACATAGGCCGCTACGTGTACCTAGGCTGCTACGTGTACATAGGCCGCTACGTGTACTTAATTAGGCCGCTACGTGTATCTATGACGCTACGTGTATCTAGGACGCTTCGTGTACTTAAGCAGCTATATGTTCATATAAGAGTTTTGAATTTAAGTGCGGCCTCATTAAGTAAGGGACAAAATCTCATTGGCCTCATTTAGTATAGAGTTGTAAGAACATCACGCAATAATATTGAGCCGAAATCGTGGATTAAAGAGACTTGAACATAACAGCTGCGCAAAAATATTTCAACAAAGCAGTTGACTTATTTCGCATGCATTTCAGGTTATTAAGAAAAACAGTTTTGCTAGCGCAAACAGAACCTAGTCTCATTCAAATTTCATTCAAGGACGCTTGATTCCTTGAGTGAATTAATCACAAATCTGCCTCACTCTGAACAATTTAAATATATAAGTCGTTTTTTATACCTTAGGGTGAATATATATTTGTTCACCAATCATAGTCCCCGTTTATAATTCGCCCGCTAATTAAGATTTGTACTCTAAATTTCGGCTCATCGTTGAGCTTTTAATTAAGTTAAAAAATCCGCGTTCATAATTTTTGATCCTATTTAAAATTTGTACTCTAAATTTATGTCAATCGAAGAGCTTTTAATTAATTTAAAGATAAAACTAGAGCTGACCTCGCAGTTGCCAGCGCGTAGAGGCGAGGTAGCGAAGTAGACGTGCAGGTGAAACTGCAGCGTCAGCAGCGTCAGGTCCTCATCAGCCCCGGGCTGACTCTGCCACACCTGCTGCAGGAGCTGGGGCACCAAACTGAACACTCAGAAATATTTTTAGCGCATTTTCTCATTTATGGAAAAAAGACTCTATTGTGCTCGTCATGTCCGTCCGTCCGTGACTTCACGGTCGGACGAGGAAATACGCTCTCTGTCACTCACTGCAGTGAGTCCTGATATAATTTTGTAGGTCTTTCAAATCATTGAGTAGGCAGGATAGAAGTTAGACAGATGATGTTTCTATTTTGTAACGAGCCGTTTATAGCCAATGAAGTAATAGCCAAACAAAGGTAGTAATGAGCTCAATGAGTTCGCTCCAAATTGTGATAAGGATAAAGACAAATAACACTTTCATACCATTTGAAAACAGCTTTGTTTCTATGTGGTATACCCATGTACCATATAGAATATACGTGTTATATATCCATAAAGAATGTCTTACATGGTAAAATCATCACCTGGAAGAATGCCTCGCCGTCAGCCCGGTCAAAGAGCTGCAGCAGAAGGGCCACGGCTTCAGGAAGCGCGAGTTCTGCCGAGCCTCCCCCAGGCGTCTCGAGGTGCAGGGGCGTCGTCCGTCGTGGGGCTCCGGGCAGGGCAGGTACAGGAGCCCCGAGTGTCCTGCACGCCTCTTGCAGGACCTCACACGCCTTCTTCAGCCCGCACCAGTCCAGGAACTGCGTAAAGTTTGCTTATATTACAAACCCATCGAGTTCCGTTAGAAATACTGAGTTAACTAATTGAAATTTAAATCGTTAGTGGAAAAATATGCGCTTTGTGCGCCTCTGGTGGGCGATCGTACGCCTCCTGCAACACGGCGCCAGTCCAGGAACTGATTACTAATAAAAGTTCGCTGATATTACTTTTTTATGTAATTGGTTTCAAGACTTGTGGTGTCATAAGCACCTTCCAGCCTGATTCCTGTCGCTGATACTACGCACACTGGAAGAACTTTAGAGTTTCATGGTCCGTTGGAAAGGTGAAGTTGGCTAATTGAACTTCACCACTGTAATAGAAAATTTATGACATTCTTAGCGTGCCTTTACTACTAATAACATTGAATCTTTTGCAGAATAATTTATAAAATTAACAATTAACAACAAGTAAGAGTTTTATATTTCTTTGGCGAGTGAAACTAGTCCAATAAGTTGAACCAAATGATGCTAATTTCTTATAGCCATTTCGTGTTAAAATTTCACTTGATTTATCACTAAATACTGTAAAATCTTATACTTTTCATGGTTCAGAGCAGCCATAAATTCAAAAAGATTAGGAAATGCAGCCCAATTCCAAAAAACCTGCAATTAAAATCGAAGTATCTAAAATAACTCCATAGAACTCTCGTTATATTCGGCTTGAGCTCGTTACCTGTCCTCGAATATCGGAGAACACAGTCACGCAGTAGCATCGAATACTTCCGACCACGAAATTTACATCCATCGATTGGCGTGGTCGATGCGAATGTAGATCACGCGACCGATAAGCACAAATCCCAGTCAAGCTTTAAGCAAATAAACATCATAATCATAGTAAATTTACTCTTAGAAGAGAAATCAGGGAGACTTTGTCCGTGTAGCGATGCATGGTTTGCCCGGATGTGGGTCATCCTGACCCAGTTTCATCCAGGGTAAAGGACGTATCAGTGATGTGCAGGACGACTCAGAGACGGAGGACGACGAAGGCGGCGCATCAGCGTGACTGGGGACTATGAAGTCCCAAACTCAACATAAGGTCATAAGGAGAAAGTGTGCCACTATTTGGACAACATGATTCACTTATTTAATGAGTGTTCAGAACCTAATGGACCCAAAAATAAATAATTGCATCTCCATGCAGAAAGCATGCTCATAGTGGTATGTTTCATACATTATACATAGCCATAAATACGATTGTTTTTTTTCCTTTCTATTGCAATTGAGCTGCATTAATAATAATATGATTTATTACGCTGTCATTGAACCAAGGTTCAAACTGCTTGCCACTAATTTTCCTCGGTTATTTCTGCCGACTCCCTTCCATTGATGGAAAAATGTACGGCAACAGATAACCTAAATCGCCAGGCTACTTCAACTCCCATGTTTAAATCCTGTTATTATCATTGGGAAGGAACTTGACTCGAGATAATTAGAATGCTCATTGTCGTAACGCTACCATGTTTTGCTATGACCAGATGAGTACAGTGGATGAAGGGAGACAGGAAGAAAGGGAAGGTGTCACTCAGCGTGAATAAGAAGGCAGCCTCAGAGAACCAGGATATTGATCACTCATGGTGTACTCATCTAGCCCGGCCCTACCCACCTCACCTCCCCCCGTGGGTACTGATAACCCACCGGGCCAGTCACGCTTCATCTGATCCGTAGTCTTGTGACTTACATTTTAATAATTCGCAGGCAATTATTAAGGCTATATGCATATGGTATGCGTCATTGTTAAATGGATCTTGCGATGGATTTATAATATATTCGAAACTAAATTTTTTCGCTAGTAGTTCATTGATTTATTATCATAAACCTATTCAGCTTGAATCAAAAAAATTATTACAACACTACTTTTTGAAGAAATGGCGGTGTATGCAGAATAAAAAACGCGTATTGAGGGAGCGTAGCTGCTCAATTTTGTTTATTATTTATTGATAGTTTCGAAATTTCAAATGTCTATTATAATTTACACCATTCACGCACACAGTTCGATGGTCACACAGGATCTATTTAGACATTAAATTTCATTAAACACGATAATTCACTACTGTAATTTTCAGCACAAAATACTAGAAGTTTAAGAGAGCCAGAATTTTCCAGGAGCGATTAACGAGATAGCGAGTCTCACGCGATACGAACGTTCACTAGAACGAAGTCCAGTGAACACAACTCAGAACATTTCCATTAACTTAAAGGAATTATCATAGGGAAGAATTTTATTAATTAAAAACAACAGCGGGAGAAGTTTTTAAGTGAGGTAGCACAACGATCATTAGTGATTAGGTTCTTTTTAGCGCATTTTCTCATTTATGGAAAAAAATTATAACTCAGTACTCACTGCAGTGAGTGACAGAGAGCGCATTTTCTCGTCGATGAAAACGTGGTCACGGACGGACAGACAGACGGACAGACGGACGGACATGACGAGCACGATAGCGCCTTCTTAGCGCATTTTCTGAATTATGAAAAAAAGGCGCTATTGTGCTTGTCATGTCCGTCCGTCTGTCTGTCTGCCCGTCCGTCCGTCCGCGACTTCACGTTTTCATCGACGAGAAAATGCGCTCTCTGTCACTCACTGCAGTGAGTACCTACTGATCTAATTTTTTAAGCGTTGCACTAATGCCGCAATCACTCGAGACAATTAAGTCTCACGTATATATAATATGAAGCCGAAGTCCTAAAAATTTTCCAACCTATATATTCCAAATAGAACGGATTCATTCCTTTGTGCATTTTATTCTAAATTATAGACAATTTCAAGGCACTAGCTTCTCTCTTGGTGTTAACCATTAAGTTCAAAAAACACATATACTATCAGAAACCAACTAATACGAATAAAGTTCTTGTATTGTCATCCTATCACCTATACATATACTGAGAGAAGAAAACGTTCCGAGCATGCATCTCAGCTGAAGTGAAATTTTATACCAACGAAAATCCTAACTCTCACCTCCAGAATCATTTCGTTGATATCAGTAATTTCCTTTGTTACAGTCACAGTTGCATTTTCGGAAGTTCTACTTTCTTCAGTAACATGTTCTTTCTGATCGTTCCCACTCTCAGTTATATTTGAATTATCATTTGTAACCTCCAATGTTTCCGATGGGGTGCACTCAGCAACTGGACATGCACCCGACTCTTCCTTATTCTTATCAATTTTTATTGAAGCTCCAAAAGGTTTTTCACGTAAGCTTCTGCTAGATTTTGGTTTTTCGGTGTTGTCTTTCGCTGATTCATCTTCAACTTTTTCCATTTCGCCAACTCCACTTTCTTCGTCTCCCATCATGCTATGTTCCAGATAAAAAAAAAGTTTTAAATTGAATTTGTATTCAGCATTTGTCAGTATGCCTGAACCTGCTTATCATAATGTCAGGGAAACACTTTCATCGGCATTTGAGCATCACTTTCATTCCAGGAGTATCATCAGCCATACTGCGGCTACATTACAAAGGAAAACACTTTCACCTTACTTCGTACAAGATCAGTCGTACGAATCATGTCCGTGCACGGCTTCCAATGAACAAAGCTTCTCAATTCCATAATTTTCGACGGTCGTTGATCGCTGAAAAACTTCGCAACTTATTATTCACGTAAAAAAACAAAACAACCTACCAATGCTAAATGCCTATTAAATATTTTAAACTTCGGGGCAGTTTATCATAATAATAAAAAATAATATTATGAACTTATAACACTAGTCACTGGAATAAACCTTCCTATTTAACTTTTCCCGGATGAAACTGATGACAGTAACTCGAATTTCCCACACGGCTAAGAACTTTACCACTTTATTTTATCAGCGAACCATGAGCAAATTGAAACTCACGCCGTTGGTGTGGTGGGAAAGTTTAGGAAGAAATAAGCTAGCACCGTTTCAAAGAGATTTTTATCGAGAAAAAGAGCCTAATTGTTGAATTTTAAAAGCTAGAATTTATAAGTACCAAGTATTTTGTTTTGCGACTGACTGAATAATCCGCCACGTAGTTGATACCCAACCCAACCTTAACCTTCACAAGCTTCATTCCACATCGTCATCAAATATATCTTCAGTGACAAAAATTTTGCAGTAAGCGTTAAATGATCCAAAGATTTTAATTATGTAAATATTGGTGAGGAAATATCCAGTATTCTCAATTTAAGATTAAATCACGCTATATATAAATAAAGGCACTCTAATAACATTTCATAACATACCTACTCTCATAACATACGTTCAAACTAAATTTCAAAAAGGCATCGTCATATTGTATCCTAACAGACATAAAATTGTTTCAAGTGATCATTTTGAAGAAAGAATTCGTGATAAAGCAACGAATTTTTCAAACATCTTGATGAGAAAAGGAAATTATGATAGAACACAACAGTTACAGTTACAGAGTAGGTATAAGTCATCGAATTCAGTCATTTGGCTTCTTTCAAATTACTCTGCTCTGCTACTCAATCTTTCAATACTACCTACCACTCTGTAAATATTACTCTGGTCGAGTAGTGTAAGTTATTATTATTATTATTATTCCACGAAGAGATTGTCGTGGCGTCTCGTTCAGATCGAACTTCGAGGGCACGTTACAAGCGGCTAAAACACACAAGATGATAAAAACAGATGACATCTATGCTAAAACAGAGGACATATGCCAAGACTGATGACGTCTATACTAGAACAAATAACACCTATGCTAAACCAGTAATATCCATGATAAATTAGATAACGGCTAGGCCTAAGATTCAAAGGCTCTACGGAAAAGTTCTGTTTTTAGGCGTCGACGAAACACCGTCAGCGAAGAAGCAGATGTCACCGATGCTGGACGACGTGAGGACGGGACGACGAGGTCAGCCTTCGACGAGGAACGCAGTCGCCTTCTAGAAGGCAGATCCGACACGCGCTGTAGGCCTTCAGCGAGATAAGGTGGTGCTAAATCATGGAGGCAGCGAAACGTCAGAACAGCGACTTTAAACTGCGTGCGCTGCTGGATGCGCAACCAGTGAAGGTCGCGCAAAATCGGCGTCACGTGGTCGAATTTCCGCCGGGCACAAACGAGTCGCGCGGCAGCGTTCATTACGAATTGCAGTTTGTTCAGAGCCGTGATGGGAATCGAGGCGCGACATTCGTCGTCAAACCACGGGTCGGAGGCTCGCTGGGGGACACGAACAGTTCGTGCAGGAATGAGGTCGTCGAGCAAAGATGTCAATTCGATATCGTAGAGTTTTGCTTCTTAACTTAAACTGTTATTAGAAAATCATTGAGACCATTCTGATAAACAGCATACGAACATGAAAAATCATGCATATCAGGGCAGGAAAGTTATAGAATTATATTTGTGCTTTTTAGTGGCAAGCTTTATTTTGGCGGACACCTAAGTTGGCTCTAGCTTTTCATTACCGTTACAAAGATTGGTGGTAAGAAGAGTTTCAAACTTGAATGAGTTCGGGTTACGTATACGTATCTGACTTACGTTTGGAAAAATTTAATGAAAATGTAGTCGGGTAGTAATGTTTAACACTAACTTCCTCTCTCGACTCAGGAATATTGCCATTGAACAAACGGAAATTTCTTTCACAGCTGGAGCCCAGGAAATACTCGTTTCGAATGGCGTAATTACATCAGGGAATCAGACAAGTCACAGTCTGAGGCAATGGATGATAGAGATCCATATAAAAAGTTACAGCAAATCGGCAATCATGATCAAGAATCAGGAGGAGAGATGATCTGAATTGCGTAATAGGATTGGGAGGAGAGATTCTCGATGGTTTTGTTATGACAGGCTAAAAATCCCTACACTGATTGTTATGAATAAAATCGTTAGTTGAGCATAAATTAAGACGCTATAAGTTTCCTCTTTACCGTTAAGTTTAAGCCTCCGCATTGGATTTACTCCACAAAAATTTGCTCTAATTTGCGATTAAAAATTTCATTGAGAGTTCGTTTGCTGTTACTTGAAAGTCAATAAACACAAAATATTGCAAGTTCAGGAGTGAGCAAACTGACACCGACACGTATTCAACAGTTTATATTCACTTTTTCACCCTTGTAAGTTGTAATTCCTCTTCATTAGAAATGGTAAATTAATTTATTGACCGTCTATTATTTATTTATTGACCGTCTTACTCGATTGCTTCGTGAATCAGGAAGAAAGTTACATTGGTAAAACATATATTTCTACAAATACAGGTTCTTAGGTACAATGAAGTCACTTAAGCTAATTTTCCGCCACTGCGAGACGCGCGCTTTTCAATGCTGTGACCCATTGCCAGTAAAACTAAGCGCCATAAACTTGTATTACTTCATACGCCAATAACTAAAAGAAATTTGAGGTAAAAACCTCAATTCGATCAAATTTTTTACTTTTATGGTAGTAATTCAAATAACACATGAGTTTTAATCATCCTCCCTTTCCTGAAGTAATCCAGTCTGGATTACTGTGCGTTCTTCAGTTCATGGTTGCATGGTAACGGATTAGGTAAAAATTTCAATACAATAAAGACTGTATTAAAAAATAAAACAGTACTTAAACCACAATAGGGATAAGAATGATATAATTCATGCTTAATATTGCGGGTATTGAAAATTTATCGTCTTCAAGTTCTATGAATCTCTTAGTATGGAAGGGCGACAACCAGACACATGACATCACGACCACATCTGCCGACCCACTAACTGGCTCAATATCGTTGGAGGCACTTGGAGCTGCAGCACTGCTAACAGCATGCGAGATGATCAACAGGTAGTGGTAAATAAATATTGCAGACTTGATACTGGCACCATGAGCAAATGACGAATTTTCGCCAATTGCCTTTAAGGCGGGCTTATTAATTGGGGTATTTTCGAGTAGTAAAAGAGCCTGGACAATACATCCTTCAGTTATTGCGTTGTCAGTTGAACGTTCTGTAAAAAGCAGTCAACTGACAGAACGATCAATCAATTCACTTGAAGTTCATGTTAACCCGCGTAAGCAAAGCAAGCTGTGAATATTAGCAAGATAACTATTAACACTGGTGTTAAATGGTAAAATAAATGGAGATGAAAGAGAAGAGTTTAAAAAATAGTAAGAAGCATGTGTACGAACAGAAAACAAATGCGCATGGTGAGATGAGCAACTGCATAACAAAGAAGATAGGAGGGGGACATGAGTGCCAGAGTGGTCTCATTGAATAGCCCTCCACTTTTCCATATCCCTTGCATGCAAGTCGTAAAATATATTTAAAATATGCATTACAAACTACATCAATATTAAAATTTGGTTCTCTCGTTTATTTATTTGACCAAAGCCGTTCGGTTGTATGTACATGCTTAAGAATAATTCCGTAATTAGCGATATAAATAAACTTGCGAATTAAAATTTAAACATGGAGTTTCAACACGACAACATTTTCACACTTTCTTGAAGTGTTTGATGATGAGAAATATTGTAAGAAAGCTAACAATACGAGAGGTCATATGTAGCTGCAACGAGAACACGTTGAACGCGATGATAAAAAAAATCGACAATGATAGAAGATTTGGGAGTTTATGTCGACAAGGAGTTGAAATTTTCTAACCCTATTGATATCCAAGTTTATAAAACCAATTGACTGCTTGGACTGATCAGATCATGGATCAGACTCTCTTGCGTGTACCTTGATGCAGTATCGATAAAGCTGTTTTTGTCGCTCTTGTGCACCTGTATACCATGAGATTGGAAACGCCATGTGGTCGCCAAAAGCTAAAAAAGAAAAAAAATTGCCCGAAAGCTTTAAAAGGCGTGCAATGAGGATAATTTTAGGCTCTAAGAGCAAGCTTTATAAAGAAAGTCATCCATGGCTTTGTTATCGACGCCTGAGTGGCGACCCAATTGAAGTGTACAAAGATACTCATCGTTTATGCAAAATTCTGAAAGGATTTCAAGATTTTGAATCAAGAACCAACACAAGGGACCACGGCAACAAACCGAAAAATATTTCGGCGCGACTCATCTATGCGATAACACTTTTTTTCGCTTCAAGTCACCGACATGTGGAATAAACTCACTGCTAAACGATCAAACGGCTTGAGTCAAACGACTGCCTCGCCTTTCAATCTACCTCAATCAGGTCATCGATCGTTTAATCGAAATGTCTCCCTCATGAAAAATGGGATCAGTGCACACGTGTTGTCAGTTCGCTAGTGATTGTTTTTTTAATTGCTACGTCGATTTTGGTGGCGAGCAATACCGAATCGACACTTCAGCGAGCTCGCAAAACTGATTTGACCGTCTTCTTCCCGAAATATGCGTAACTTCCCTTCAATCAATCAAACCTTCCATCAATAGCTGAGTGCAAACCTTCCATCGTCTAACGAGTGCATACATGGTCAATCACGCTGAATTCAATCGATTGACTCAAGCTTTTGATCAAGCCGCTTGATCGTTTAGGAGCTCGTAAGAAAGGATGTTTAAAGAGGAAGGTATTATTTGCTATAATATACTGATGATACCGTGATTATGAACGCTTAGGAGCTATAGAGTATGCTCTGCCGTATAACGGAGTACTAATCATATAGCCATGATTTTAATGTACATTTTGGAATTGAAAATTTCCTGTTGTGAACTTGGACAATAATACTTGTAGAATTTTTGAAGGCAATAATGAGTTGATTAACAGCTACACGCTTCAAGTAGCCTGTCACTGAAATCTGTAAGAGCATCTTGCTCTAAACTTCAATTTCCACATGCCTTTTTTTAAACTTCACGAACCGATATCTTCAGACGAACTTCTGTCAAAACCATTGTAGATCAAGTGCACAGAGATGTAAACAAAGCGATCTACGACTTTGAGCGCTTGACGAAAGACGCAGGTTTTTCTATATTTAATTATCTCAAATTGAATTATGATGAGTTAGCCCTATATATTGTTGTTGCCGGTATGATATAAGATGCTGATTCAAGGTTATTTCTTTATATTAATTAGCTATTATACATCAACTTGGTTCTTTTCTTCGTATTGCCTTGCCAAGTTGCCAGCTGCCCACCTTACTTTGGTCTAGACTAGGAGTAGGAGTATGCGACACCGCGCCAGTGCCCGCCAGCCCCGCCACAACGTCTACCGTCTACGTCTACCGTCAGGCTGCCTGCGCGGCTGCGCCTGGGTATCTGGGTTATACACTAAAAAAAAAACAATATAAACGCTAAAATACACTAAATATATCTAGATTAGCTTAGCAAAATGTACCAAAACTTTCTACATTGATGGGAATTGAGAGAATTTCATGAGAATTAATCAATTCCGTGGCAAGATATAGATATTCCTTCTAAATCAGTTGCTGTATGCTAAAGCAGAAAGCCCAATTCCATTTCATGTACTGAAATTACTATGTTTGCCTGGGAAGTGAATCTACAGTTGGGAGGGGAGGGGTGGCTGTTGGCTAATTTTCCAGAAATAATAGTAATGCCACTAATGGGCTTATGAAGGAAGATTGACACTTCTTGTCTGCAATTTAAAAGAAAAAAGCTATTTTAGCTTGCAATTTTGCTTAAATTCTGCCTGATAATTCCAGATTGGCTAACTTAGGGGATACATGCTCATTTTTTGTGTAATGAATTGATTGAATTCATTATTACAAGCTTTGCAAATTAACTTGTTTTACTGTGAACTCATTTGCAAACACATTGGTTCTAAGTCTAACCATTAATGTAACTCAATGGTACAATTAAAAAATTAATAAACACTTTAGGAATAAATTTTGCAGGTTTTCACATGAACATTGACATTCAGCCATTTTTGTTGAAGTTTCATTGATGTTGGTAAATGGTCTGACATGATTTTAAACCAGAGCAAAGTTTAACGTGTGTCATACTTTGTCCAGCTCTATTTATTTTTGTCTTTCAGATATGCTACTGAATTCATAACTAGTGTCATTCTTGTTTCATTTTCTGTTCATATTATTCATCATGGCTCAAGTACCTACATCTAATTCTCTCAGTATTTTGGTTTCTGATGAAGGTGTCAGAATCCCAATTGCTCTTCAAAGTAAAAATAATAGAAAAACTTTTGAAACTGTGCAAACACAAGCTGTAGATTCCATCAAAGGAATGACTTTGAGTAAAGTTGAAAACCACAGTTTAGACTCTAATAATTCTTATATTATTTCAAACTCATCTACAAGAAGTGAGGAATCAATGGATTTGATGAGCTCATATGCAGGAGAATTGGCCACTGTCCAAATTGTTTGTGGAGATAAACACCAACCTGGATTTCCTGCCTCACAAACCATCATCATGACTGATGGCCAAGCATTTGCATCTAATAATCATACTTCTTCTAATGCTGGCTGTCCAATAAGCATAGCCAATGATGTCCAACACCATGGCTTAAAGATTGAAACACAATCAAGATCAGCAAACTCACATACAGACCTATCAGTTCATGGTTCTCTTGAGTCACATGAAAACATGGGTGGTGGCAGTGTTAGCATCACAGAAGCTGAAGAAGAACCAGGGCTGGAAGATGTTGCCATTACAGAAGTGTGCTCTGATGGAGTGCCATATGACCCCACCAAAGATCTTTATGATCCTGCTGAAGTTTTAGTTCCACTTTCAAATACATCAGATGCTAGCTCTGCATATGTGTAAGTAGTTTCTATATTTATTTTGATTTATATTGTAAACTTGCAGCATTTTTACATAACTTTGAGTGTTACGGTACTTTTGTTTTAAGTTTTAACTGAAAATGTTTGGCAAAATTTTTCCATTATTATTGATGGAATTTATTTCAAATTTTAACTTTTAACAAAACTCTGAAAACCTTTGTAAATTAGTCTTTATGTTCATTCTTATTCTTCGGAGAATTAAGCTTGATTAATTGGTTTTATTTTCAGATCAGATAGTGTACTGAATCAAGCCAATATACAAAAATTTATGAAGACTCATGGTTATGAAGGTGAGTTCTTCTGATGTACTATATAAATAATTTTAAGGAAAAATATCTACTTGTTTTTTTTTTACTCATTTCATTATGGCATTAATATGAAATTGCAGTACAATAGTATCTACCTGTGTTAAATAAATTTGTTATATCCTTGTGTTCAATGTTGTTGTTAAATTAATTTTTTCATGTTAAATTGTATTAAGTGTTTTTAAGTATTATTTAGTATTATTTCTTTAGTGCTTTTTTCTAAAGCTTCAGTTAACATGTGTAATAACATCTCGCGATGCAAACTAACCATTATTTCAATCATCTTATTGGGATTTTTGTTCAGATGTTTTAATGGAAGTAAGTGGAGAACGATACCAGGCTTACTGCCGGGCCTGTGAAGTTGTGGTAAATGTCAAGTGCTTGCTGGAGCTAGAAAGGCATGTGAACACCATCCGGCACCAAACCAAAGTTGGTGAGTTGCATTACTGGGATATTGATGTTCAGTCTTCAGTGCAAGTTCAGTTGATCTTCCAGTGCTGTATTATTCTTTACTGAACTGATGGCATCTTTTTTAATGCAAGTAAAAGAGAAATTTCAGTGATGGAATGGAGGTTTTAATTTTAATCTTTTGTTGTGAATTTTAGCTATCATATTGTTGCTTACTAGATAATGATTCTTAATGATTCATTTTTATTCCTGATTGAGTAATTGCCTTTCACAGTACTGAAGTTTTACCATAAGTTCTTTTGTGTAATAAACTCTACTGGAAATTCAACCTTTTTTTTCAATTCCTGTAGAAATTTGTAAAAAAAATTCCAGTACGGTACTCATTTTAACCTCAAGCACTTCTTTGTATGGTTCCAAGTATTTGATGTGGTAATAAAACAATTTTGTTTAGAAAATTCACTAACATGTTAATGATACAGTGAGGTTTTGCAGTGCAACAAGAGATGTCGCCATCAAATAATCAGTGGTCAGAAGACTCCTGTCGAGCACTCATTATGGCTGTTAAGAAGCACCACCACCGATTCCTGGAGCGGCAAGCACCACGGTCACCCATATGGGCTGACATACTGCAGGAGATGCATGAGAACACCACGTGTCAAGTTGACGTCAACCAATGCAGACACAGATGGCTGACGCTTAAGGTCAGTTATTCATGAGTCATTTGTTGCGGCTTCTGATGAGTTACCAAAATTATGTGATTACATGTTGCTTGTTCTCTTCTATAGTTCACTTGATCAGGATCTTATTACTTATTAATAATTTTAGGTATGTATATTGTCATGTAATATCAAGTTGATTTAAAATTATACAATGATCATGTGCTTTTTGATGTTTATTGCTCAAATTATAATGTCGTTTAAGTTCAGTTTATCTAAAGGACATTTCTTCATAACTATGGACTAAATTGTACTTATTACAATTACACAATCTCAATCAGACACTTCAGAGAGATAGAACTGCTAAGCTTGTGTTATAAAAGGTTTTGACATACATTTCTTGATAATTTATGTATGTAAGTTTGGATAGTAGTTACGTATTTACGGATAATATATGTATATGATATCTAGAGCAACTATGAGGAACTCGCCAACAACATCAAGGCCACATTACTTGAAAATTTATGTATGTAAGTTTGGATAGTATTTATGTATTTATGGATAATATACGTATATGATATCTAGGGCAACTATGAGGAACTCATCAACAACATCAAGGAAACATCTCTTGATACAGTGATTTAGGTATGTAAGTTTGGATAGTATTTACGTATTTATGGATAATATACGTATATGATATCTAGGGCAACTATGAGGAACTCACCAACAACATCAAGGCCACATTACTTGATAATTTATGTATGTAAGTTTGGATAGTATTTACGTATTTATGGATAATATACGTATATTATATCTAGGGCAACTATGAGGAACTCATCAACAACATCAAGGCCGAGAGTGATGGTGCTGACTCCACAATTAGTATTGCTGCCAAAATAGAAGATTGGCCTGAGCTCATGCAGCTCATGCACGAGGTTCTTGCCCCTGTTGCTGATGACGATGATGACAAATTGAATGAGTGAGACTTGGAATATTTTAATTTGTTTAATTAATTTTAAGTCAATAAGAATTGTCCCTCGGTTTTTCGGTATTGAATATTTAATCTTTCTCATGCATGTAAATTTGATTTTTTTTATCTTGCATTATATTGACTAATTGAAAATCACAGCTTTGGTCCAAAATGAAAAGATTTCTTATTTGTGGTGCGGGATTAAAACTGAATGGACTCAGAATAAATGCAACATAATATTATTATTTATATTTGATTTGTGTTAGAAATTGGATTTTCATGTACCTGTTATTACCACAACCATTGCTGTGCAGGAGTGGTGCTGTGACATCTTCCTTGTTGGACTATCAGGAACTTATTGAGGATGGTAAGTAATGCAATTCAGATATTCATATATGTTGATCTAATTATGTTTAATGCTGCCGAAAATGATGACGAATCATATTGGGTGATGATTTGGTTTACCTCATAATAGAGATTTCCATTTCACTTCTTATTGCAGTAAAGGCTGCAGATTATCAACAAATTTTTTATTTTCAAGGCAACTTTTTTTCATGTCCCAGGAATTATTTTTGTTTAGTGTTAAACTTTCATGGGCATCCCATTTTCTTAGTTTTTTTGTGAAAGTTTGATTACTCTATATTTATCTTCAAACTCATTTATTTTTCTCTCAAATTGTTCTTGGCAATTTGATTGCCATTAAAGCCTTTTATTTTTTGGTGTGCTTTGTTAATTTGAACGTCATTTGACTGAATAACTTGTTAACAGGAGACTTCAAGTGGACAGAAGAATCGGAGGAGGCGCTGCTGTCGCTCCTGGAGACCAACTCGTCGGTCATCACAGACACTGGCAGCGTTGATGGTGCTGGATGGGCGGTGAGCAATGCCTACAGATGGGCCAAAAATGTGTGAGGAGACTGAGAAGTCTGTGACTTCTAAAATGTGTGATGAGGTCGAGAAATCTGAGACTTCTAAAATGTGTGATGAGACAGAGAAATCTGAGAGTTCTAAAATGTGTGATGAGACGGAGAAATCTGAGACTTCTAAAATGTGTGATGAGACGGAGAAATTTGAGAGTTCTAAAATGTGTGATGAGATGGAGAAATCTGAGACTTCTAAAATGTGTGATGAGACAGAGAAATTTGAGAGTTCTAAAATGTGTGATGAGACGGAGAAATCTAAGACTTCTAAAATGTGTGATGAGACAGAGAAATTTGAGAGTTCTAAAATGTGTGATGAGACGGAGAAATCTGAGACTTCTAAAAAGTGTGATGAGACGGAGAAATCTGAGACTTCTAAAATATGTGACGAGACGGAGAAATCTGAGACTTCTAAAATGTGTGATTAGACGGAGAAGTCTGAGACTTCTAAAATGTGTGATGAGACTGAGAAGTCTGTGACTTCTAAAATGTGTGATCACGGAGAAATGTGAGACTTCAAAAATGTGTTATGAGACTATCAATTTAGATTGAGAAGTCCAAAGTGCTAGTGTTGCCATATTGTAAACCTAAACGCTAGTACGGAAGGATACCACAGAGGGGCAAATACTTGAAGTATTTTATATTCTCCAACATGGAATATGATACTTCAGTTGAAACAGGTGCTGAAAACTGAACTCAAAAACTTGTTAGCCATTTCTAAATAAAATGTAACTGATTAGCTAACGAGCTTATATTGAAATTCAACAATATACTATATTTCCTGTTGTAAAAGTCTCAATGTAAATAAAAACTACAAAAAATGTAAACTCTGCATTTTGAATTGATTCATTGTTTCATTGAATAAATGAACAAAAAATCTTTTATTTATTTACGTTCTAAAAATAACCTCCTTATCTCCTCTCATCAGTCATTCTAAATGACTCATTTTCAGGCGTTGAAGGAGGCTCTTGCAGACCAAGGATTTGAGCTGTCAACAAGTCAACTACAACGCAAATGGGACAACCTGCGCACCGGCCACTGCCACTACGACCAGCTGGCGCGGCGTCACGGCGCTACCATCGTGTGGCAGCACTACAGCAGACTGGACAACCTCCTGCACCACGTCGACCTCGTGCAGGAGCAGGGCCAAGGTCAGCATGCTCATGAGAACGTGTTCTGCAGGAGCAGGGATAAGGTTAGCATGCTTATGAGAACGTGTTCTGCAGGAGCAGGGACAAGGTCAGCATGCTTATGAGAACGTGTTCTGCAGGAGCAGGGACAAGGTTAGCATGCTTATGAGAACGTGTTCTGCAGGAGCAGGGACAAGGTTAGCATGCTTATGAGAACGTGTTCTGCAGGAGCAGGGACAAGGCTAGGACGCGCGAATAGGGTTATACATAGGATGTGTTGTGCAGGAGCAAGATCACGGTTAGGGAAATTTGATGATATTTTCAGCCGCAGCATCACGGTTAGGGAAATTTGATGATATTTTCAGCCGCAGCAAACGTATGTTAAGGATATTTTGACGTAAATTTTGCTGCAGCCACACGGACGGAGAAAATGGCGTCTGCCTACGTAGTAAACTATTTGCAAAGTTTTATTTCACAAGCCTTACAACTTTGGTGTAAAAAATATGTACCGTCTAGCAGTGTAGCTCTCTAATTATATATGATAAAGTGTAGAACAAATCTGGTTATGTTATGGTGAATTATTATTAAACACTAAGCTTACTGCTGTCAGACCATTCAATAGCAAGTTAAATAACATGCAATTAAATAATTAATGAAGATTTGTACTTGCTGTGATCTATTCTTCGTGTCAACTACTTCAAGCTTTAGTACTGCATGTTGTAATGGAAGCCCCGATACTTTTTTTAATCAGATAGCGATGAAGACTTCGACCCCACGCGCGCGGGAGTTGATCGAGGTTCAGGTTCGTACCGTCGATACAGAGGCCGAGGTCGCGGTAGAGGGAGAGGCAGAGGCCGACGAGGGCGACACCGCAGATACGCTCTTGATTCTTCACCTCCTCCTTCGGCGTTACGAAGAATACCAACGGGCAGTGCGCAGTCTGGTTCTGGTCGTCAGCGGCCGCAGCGTTCCACTGCCGGCCGGCATTATAAATACGAGAGCGATTCTGCCGAACACGAGCTCGATGAAGCTGAGGATAACGAAGACACTAAAGACGTGCTGTCTCGCATCAAAGAGCGACAGGTGAAAACCTCTCCAAATCACACAACCGAGGAAAAAGTTATGGTTGTGGAAGAGAGTTTTATAGAACAGCTTATTGAACGTAAGGTAAATGAACGATTAGAACAAGCTTGGAATTTTAGAATGAGTCATTTAGAGCAGCGTATTGCTGATTTAGAAAATAAAATAATTGGCGTGCGAGTAGAGGATGTCACTGAAGATAATTTTGCGGAAATCGACGCTGAATCTATGCCTCTTGAAGGAAGTTATACTGATAGCACCCACAGCGTCACTCTCCCTCACGTCCATGTCAACTCCAACGTCATAACCTTACCCTCAGACGGTAATATCACCTCTTTACCACACGTCATGAATGACTCTTCTTCAACCGAATCCCAAGTGCAAGTGACCGCTTTGAGTGACGATCGACACGCAGGTGAGGCCTTCACGTCGGACAGCATCGTGATCTCCGCACCTCAGCAAGCCTTAATGGGATCACACAACACTCGCGTTCACGGTTTTATTCCTGGGCACAACTCTGCGGGTACCCACACTGTCATTTACGCCCCGTCGTCCCTTACAGAGACCGGACAGACCGTTAGCGTGCCCTTCAATGGGCAACAGCACATCACACTCTCCATAGGCAACAGTCTCGCTCAGTCCCTTCAGAACTCTTTAGATCAGACCAGCTCTGCCTTATCTAACCATGCTGGTACTAGAAGCATATTCCTGGCGACACAAAGTAATGGGGCAGCCGTCCCTGCCACTCACGCCTTATCTCCTCTAATTCCTGCCTCTAAAGCCATCGATGGTTCCTCACTTGGCATGGCGCAGGGGCAACAGAAGAGGCAACTCGTCAGTCTCCAACAATCTCCACAACAGCTGCCCAGAAAAAAAGGACGTGTTAAATAGATGAATCTCTTTAAATAGTTGTTAAGGTTAATCATTCTAAATAGTTGTGTAAATTCCTCGGCATTTTGTACGATATACTTTAAATATTGTGTTATTTCTTCATTTAAGTGCATGATCCGAGTTTTAGGCCGTCGTTATAAAATTGTCGAGAAATCATTTTTTCCCAGAATAGAATAATGTCTCAAGGTGTTTCGAAAGATCAGAACTTACTCAAATATTGCTACTATGACCACGCTATGCTAGGTTTGGACCTTGGTCGCAGTACATTTTTTTCTGATGTACACATTTTTTTCTAGGTAGACTCATGCACGGACCAATTTATAAGCATGAGTCATTATTAGATATTGAAATTTAATAGAATGGTTCGTTTAATTGACTTGATTGTTGTTTCATCATGGTTTGAAATTGTTTAGCTGGTTATCTGTTAAAATAGTTCTATTCTGTTTGATGATCGTTATCTAACCACAGGAGACGGCGTCTTCGAAAGTACAAGAGAAGTAATTATAGTTAATCCTCGCTGTGAATATCTGCTTCACGCGTACGGAGACAAATGTATATTATATAGTACATTTTTATGCAGTTACTACACATTTTTATGAAGCATCCTTGAACCGAAGAAATTTGATTATATATTTATCGTTATAGAGGAGCATTTCTTTTGATGGATGACAGCGTTTTTTCAATGCTTATCACACCAATGCTACTGATGAGAAGGATGAGTCACCAAATCTTCGCTTCATTTTAACTTTGGCACCTATCTTGAGTATCGTGCATTAGCCCATGAATGAAAATCCTTTCAACTTCATGCCATTTCATAATCTGACATAGTTAAATATTGAGCAATTTTTCTTTAATATAGAATCGACTTGAAGATCCTAATTTTATTTCGCCTGAAGATTCCACAATCAATTGATTTACAGTAACAAGTCGCTTAATATTGTTGATACTTTATTGCGAAAATTTACGTCGAGCCTGTCTGAGAATTACTCGTCTTCGCCAAAAAAGTTGATAATTTTTATCATTTCTTCCTCTTCTTTCAGTTACCGAACACAATTACCTTGCACTTTTTTTGCGTTAGAAATTTGTATGCAAAAGACTACGGTCAGTATCCGCTATTCGGGAAAAATCAGTATCCGCTATTCGGGAAAAATCAGCACTTACTTCGCCGCTCGTCAATAAACACCGTACAATACTGGGTCAAAGCTACGAGTTTTGAGGTTCGATAACTATAAGTTGACAACAAAGCTGTTTCGAATACGCTAGAAAGACGTGGTTCAGTTTTATTAATTGTATAGATCGTTTCTATAGTAGACCGGCGACTTGAGTGATGTGGCGACGTTAGTGGCAATGGCGGAGAGGTCGCTTCCACAGGGGGCAGAGAAGGCTCTGCTTGGGGCTCAGGTGTCACTCCCCTGGCTTCCCTGGACCAAGTATGGGTAACTCGTTTATCCAAAGTCTCCTCAATGTACTTATTCAGATTAATAATTCGATTAAACTTTTTTTCTAACATAACTGAGAGTGGTGCCACTAGGTTGAAAGGACAGAAAAATAAGTACACTAAGATTTATGATCACACTAGAGTTAATAATGACTGGTTTTATGATTATTTATTTAAACTTATATTTAAGCCAGAATATTTAGTGTTTGTCGGCATTTTTGGTACAAAAAAATATGTAAATAAATTATTTAGGGGGCTGAAGCTCCCAAAAATAGGCCTAATGACGTCACTGCAACAAGACTTTGTTCCCATGAAATTTGAGCTGAAACTTTTCAGCCTCGAAGTAATAGTGTGATTCAGCTTTCACATCTCTTGCTGATGAATCATTTTGGATTTTTGATGGCCGATGGGGTTTGTTAAACGCTGTTAAAACTTTAATTTTTCATGTTTCACATTTAATGAGATGTAATGTTGCTCTTTCTGCACTTTAACCCTCTACCGCCTGACATGAGTAACCGGAGCAATATGCCTACTTCCCAAAAAGGATCCGTTCCAGTGAGCGCCAAATGACTTGCACCTGACGGTTGTTGCCACGTACGACAACTTTAAAATGTTCTCTGTTGTGTACAAACGTTCTCAGGTTGCTACACTCAATAGTTTACGTATAATTCAAGTTGAAAGTTATGTTCTCAGAGAGTGACATACGGCGCGGTAGAGAGTTAACACGTTGAATGCGATTCGACCCACCGGAGGGCCGGCCGTGTCGTGTTAAATTATGTTCGACGCTAGATTTGTCTTTACATTAGAACTTAGGCCCTATGTTGGCCAAACTGGGTCAAGATGACCCACACAGGGGCAAAAAGTGCATAGGTATTTGGACAAAGTCTCACTCATGTTACCGAGTGTTTCTTTCACAGAGTGACAGACACTGCGACGGTGACTAGATCCTGTCAATCGCCAATTAGTGACTCTTCAATCCCAGTGACATTTTTTGATCATTAAGACTTCAATTTTAAGCCCCAATGTGAATTAAATGCCGTAAACTAAATTTTGATTGGCGCTCACAATGCTTACGTCAATAAAACGTTTTCGTGCCTATAAGAAGTAGTAGTAGAATGGTTTGCTAACGCTCCAGCTATCAAGCTATTTCGCACCGGAGGTCAAAAGATAACATCGCCAACAAGATGGAAGGCCTCAATTATGAAGCAATCAATTATGAAATGAATCAAATCTCAAATTCAAATGAAGGGGGCGGAAAATCTCAATTGTACAGCTGCCTGAAGCTGGCTCGAGAGAAACAGCGTTAGCACCTCAAAGAGACGAAGTGACAAGGAGGGACAGGGGAAAAGCGACAGAAACGAAGATAATCGAAAAAGAAGTCGCTTACACGGGACGTCGGCCGCCTGCACAAGAGAGACAGAGAAGAGAAATGTAAAGAATCCTACCTACATAATAACTTTAACCCCTGCACAACTGAGATCTGCAGTCAGACACCGCGCTCTCAGCGGTGGGGCGCTCAGGAACAATCCCCCTGGGAGCGCGAAATCTCATAGGACTTCTGACGAACACAGACACGCGTCAGAATTCTCCCCTGAGGGAGCGTGCCTATAAGCTATACCCATTATGTTGCAACGTAGAAGATGGTGCAATAAGTCTGTGAATTGAAGAATTTCATGTCAATTTCAGTTTTTATGCAGATTTTAAGTCCGATTGTTCGTGGAGAGTGTAGGCGACCGTCATCTCGTTATCAGTTCCTCGGATGACGCGGCTACAGGCTCCGCCTCTGAGCTCTGCTCTCCGGGTGAGTTCTCATTTGAAATACAGTTAGGCTATGACTAGCTGAATTTACAAATTTAAAAGCTGACATTTAAACTCATGTATGCCTGTCTAGCTGTCAAATTTTTACATTTAAAAGCTGAGACTTCATTATTCTTCAGGATTGACTTTCGTGTCTAGTTTTCCGTAGAAAATCGCATGTACAAATACAATTTAAAGCAGTGGTTCCCAAAGTGGGCGATGGAAAGATTTTGGGGGGCGGTAAGGAAGAAGAGGGCGATTGGGGGGCGACAATCCGAAGTCAGAAGTTCGAAAGTTTGTTTGACGATTTGTACACAACACGTGCAGCGCATGACTCTCAGCGATTGTTTTTACCCAGATCTGTTTTTAACCTCTCCTGGGTTTACGTCTCGGACAAATTAACGGCCGGACTCGCGGCCGGTCTCACGGCCCAAATTCAATGATCAAGGAATATTTCTCAAACTAATGAAATTAACTCGATGAAACTTAGTACACGTATTCATTAGGACCTAACAAATGTTTAGCTCGTGAAAATTGCTTGAATTTTGCCATCGTTTGTTTTTGTCATAGTTATATGGCAATACGGGCCGAAATTCACAGTGATCACGTAATTTCTTCGAAACTACCGAACAGATTCGAACGAAATTTTGAATTTGCAGTCCTAACTGCCGAACGGTAATGTTTAGCTCGTGAAAATTTTTTCGGTTGCGCTTTCGTTCGCGAGTTTTTTTTACCTTTATGCGTGATTTAAACAGCAATACGTGTTTATTTAAATTCGCAATAATCTAGAAATTTTTTCCAAACTGCTAAACAGATTTGAACGAAACTTAGTATTTAAATACCTAACTTCAGCAACGGTGATGTTTAGCTCGTAAAATTTTTTCGTTTTGCCTTCGTTTGCCAGTTATACGGCCTTATACGGCTCTTGGTTAAACCGGCCGGTAGAAAAGCCGGTCGTACCTCCAATATCTGCATAACTCGCGAACGAAAGCAAAAAAGAAATCGTCAGAGCTAAACATCACCGTTGAGAGGTTAGGTATTTATATACTAAGTTTCATTGAAATTTGTTCTGTAGTTTGGAAGAAATTTCTTGATCGCCTCGAATTTAAGTGACGAATTACTCGGCGATACGGGCCGAATATAGGGAAGTGTGAAATCAAGAATGACGGTAAAAAAAAAATTTCGCAAACAAAAGTAAAATCTTAAAAAAAGTATAAGCTAAAAAATAACCGTTTGGTATTTAGGAATGTATATTCAAAATTTCGTTCAAATCTGTTCAATAGTTTGGAAGAAATTCTTTGATCACTGCGAATTTCGGCCTGTTTCGCAATATACGCGTAACTCACGAATGGAAGGGACATTTAAAATAAATTACAAGCTAAATAACACCTTTAGGTTCTGATGAATACATGTTCCAAGTTTCATAGAGCTGCGTTCATTAGTTTTGGAGATACTACTTGAAAATTGAATTTGGAGATTGGTCGTGCGACGGGCCACGACTCCGGCTGTAAATTCGCCCGAGACGTCCTAGGTTTCTAGTGCTGAAACAGTTAAAACAGCTGAAAAACATATTGGTTCAGTAAATGGAGTTCTATTTGTGAAATACACATTTGTGTTTAACCTTTCTCTTTTAAAATTGAAGCGTACTAAATTTCAAGAAAGAGGCGTATGTCTGTAGGGGGCGCTAGAAATTCACTAGGGAGCCAAAGGGGGCGCCAGCCTGAAAAAGTTTGGGAACCACTGATTTAAAGTAAACATTTTACAGGAACTACAGCGTACGGGCGTGCAGTGCGACGTGGAGGTGCAGTTCGGTGCAGCTCGAGCGGCGCTGCATCGCTGCGTTCTGCTGGCGCGTGCAGCGGCCGTAGCGCGCGTCGAACTAAACACCCTCACAAAAACAGTCATCACGCTGGCTCCTTATGAAGAGTCCATACACGGTACATTACGTTCGATATTTAATTATGTGAAATTTATGATGAGATCTCTGCTGATGAGATTTAAGATTAGATAGTTGCAAGTGAAATACATCGCTACTGATATGAAATTTGTAACTTTCCTTGAAAATAATGGTGGTTTGTTTTCTTTAGAGCATGTGTGCTTAGTTTACTTTTAATAGCGTTTATTATCATTTTACAGACGTTGCACGTCAAAATGAAGTTCTCGAGAATTTCGTCGACTTCATTTACGGTCTTGAAGTTTCACTATCCGACGATGAGCTGCCGTTACTGAAAACATTCTTGGAGAGCGTGGGGTGTCTGGACTGCTTTGGACGGGGCCTAACCGAGCATGGAGGAAACTTGATCAATTATGGAGGAAAAGTTTCAAAAGAAAATGAATGGGAATCTCTCACTACCGAAGTATCAAATTTCAATGAATTCGATCGTGGAAAATTAGGAAATGGTGAAGTGATTCGAGATCGGGAAAAAGGCGAAACCGTGTTACCGAAGAAAGATAGATGCAAAATTGCGAAGCCACCTTTTAATAAATCATGTGAAAATAATGCCTTGAATTCATGGAACAACAAAAAACATAAATTTAATACAAACAAAAGAGTTAAAACTAAGAAACCATTAACGACTGGAACTTTCAGTTCAATCAAAAGCTCTCCTGGGCACTCCCGAACAACTAGGTCTGTTAAAGTTTCCCGAACCAGCACTGATGTTGAAGAAAATAAAGATGTTGTGATGGTCACAGATGTATCTGAACTTGGTAAACCTACTTCATCTGACGAAAATATTTCCTTAGACAAAAAAACCACTTTTGACTATAATAATTTGCCAAACTTGTTATCGCAGCTCCCTCATTCATTAATTAAGTTTGATAACTCCGAATATTTAGAGCAAAATAGCAAAGTTCATTGTGCTAATTATTTTGCTGATTCGAAAGAAAAGAATTCATTTCATGCTGCACCTCCAGAGGAAGAGCATCGAAATTCAACTAATTTTCACGATATTCCCGATTTCGCTGTGGTATTCTTAGATGCCTTAAAATTTTCTTCACTTTTAAATAACAACGAATGCAGAAATTCAATTCGTGTAGAGTCACCAGCCAGAAGCGAATTATCTACAACTGCCCCATATTTTGAAGAATTTACGAAAGATATTCCGCCTATTGTTGTGTTGGATATTGAACCGGACGGTGAATTTTCTACACTGGATAATGGAATTTCAAAGGGACTCGTGGCAGAGTTCCCGGCAGCTCCGTATTCTTCGGAGTCGCAAGTTGATGAAGAGAACCTAAGTTTATCCTGTAGAGAGAGATTAAATCAACGATCTTTTGTAAATACAGACGCATCCAAAACCCAGATGCTTTCATTTTTTAGCGACGCTCGTACTCCTAAAAACACTCTTTACATTACTGGAAATTTACCAGCAACATTCGTCTCACCAAACAACATTCCTACTAATGAAGGCAAGATGCTCACATCAGTGGACTGTGACGTTGACAGTGACGTACCGGAGACCTATGACGTACCGGAGACCTATGGCGGTGTGTCGTCTTCGGCGCAGGGGAGCCTGCAGTGCAACGAGTGTAACGTCTCTTTCAGGAAGTGCTTGGATCTGGTCAAACATGTCCTTGCTTACAATCACTTCTCGGTCATTTGTCCCATTTGCCTCGTTAAGGTTAGTTCGGGAACCTTGCTCACCTATGTTTATTTTCCAATCCTCTCATTTATAAGCGAAATTTGAAAAGCAAGCGCTTCTTTAGTGCAATGGTTTTTAAAGTGATGACGTTGATCCATTGTTGATATCGGAAAATTCCTGAATTTTTTGCAGAACTTTATATGATAATACTTACATTTGAATGATTTAGACTTTATATTACGTTTATTACCTAATTTCTAAACCAAAATTGTAGTCATGAAAGTCACAATATCGGCATGGACGGTTTACTGCAGCACCAAATTACACAGAAGCATGTGCATAAGCTCGTATATAATTATCAGATTCCTGGTTGATATTATCAGTACTCCGTCCTCGCGTGTTCTTCTTCCTTACCAATCCAGGCTTCGGACCGTGAAGATCAGCGCCAGCATTTCGTCCTGCACGACTCGCCGCTGCCGTTTTTCTGCCAAAGCTGCGACCTGCGTTTCCGGACGCGAGCTCACCTCGCCATGCACGCACCCAAACACTCCAACGCGAAGCCGTGAGTTCCTACCCAAGCAGCCATGCTATTGAAAGTTACGTGTTTTTAACTCAGTCAACCAGTCACTGACGGCTTTTCAATCTAAACTGACCAGTCACAGAGAAGAAATCGGCCGCTACGTGCACTCAGACTGCAACCTAAGCGAGTTGTCATAGTACGGCTCCCAGGTTCTTGGTGTCAAGTCTTTGGGCAGACAATAATAAAGTGGACTTTTGATCTTTAGATAAATTAAAGATCAATTTTGGATCAATTAAATTTGGATCTTTAAAGAATAATCTTTAATTGCTCTGTTATGTTTTGTTGGAGGATAGGTTCAGCGTAAGCATGGTGGCCAGTTTTCGTGTCCGGAATGTTGGTGGCAGTTTTTCATGCGAGGAATGTTTGTTGCAGGTTTTCATGCCCGGAATGCAGTCGTGCGTTCAAATGGCGTCACGCGCTACAGGCGCACATGCTCACACACCGCGCCATGGGACATCTTCTGTGCGACGTGTGCGGGTTCTCGTCTAACTACATCACGACGTTCAAGGCGCACCTGCAGCAGCACTCGGGCGAGGCGTTCTCGTGTACCCAGCCAGGCTGTAGCTTCAAGGCGTTCAGGAAAGACAACCTCAAAGCCCACCTTGCCACGCATTCAAACGTGAGTGCTAAGTGACACATTTGATTTTTTTATGAATCTATGACGGGAATCATATTTTGTACTACTTAATTGCATTTATTCTGTCATTTTGTGGATACGAGTAGTCATTGATATCAGGTATTCAGTATGGAGTTTCCAGCTCCCTTGTATTAATATAAAAATTCCGAGCTTTAATATATAGCAGTCTGAGTTGTTGGTCACGGTTATTATTCGAGTTGCTGGTGGACAATTTTACTCATGGTATTTGCGTCAATCATGAAGAATTAATTGTAAAGTAATTCGGGTAAAAGTGGAAGATAACTGTTTCTACACTTTGACTTGAGTCATGTCGGTTAAATTAAAGGGCTTTAGGAAAGTATTAGTTCATCGCACTATTATAGAAAATAATGCGATGATTATAAAATGAGTATATAAGTAGAGGGTATCAAATAATAGAAACTACGAAAACTCGTCAAATATGTGATTATTAATTAAACTTCAAAATCGATACATCAGATCAACGATAATTCTATCCGGTGACAAATAATAAAACGGATCTATCTTCTTTATTTAGCATGCATTTCCGATAGTGGCTATTTTACATGCAGGTTCGACCTCATCAGTGCGAGGTGTGCGGAACTTCGTTCTCGCTCGCCCGCAATCTTCGTCGGCACATGAAAGTGCACTCGTCTCTTCGTCTGCAGTGCTCGTCCTGTCCATTCACGACCACGCGCGACGACAAACTTAGATGTCACGTCACCACCAAACATTGTGTTGTCAACGATGCGTCGGAGTCTCGAACAAAAGCTACGCTCAACTTTGACCTTGAGCCCACTCTGAATTCTGTTCAGAGTGACTCTTTTTCCGCCTTAAGCCAGTTTCAATTACCAAGTAATTCCATAGCCCTAAAAAAGCGCAGTCTAAAAACTAGGCGGAAAATCAATGCCGTTCTCAGAAGTGCTCCGGTAAAACTAAGTAGGACCAATCACTTTTTGCCCTCTGGCAAACGAAAGCTGCGACCTATTTTTCCGAAGCCACAGACACTCTCGGTCGATTCTATGGCTATTGTTACGCAAAATAATGACAGCTTAGGAACAGGAAACATCGTTTTCGTGGAGAAAAATGTAGATCTGGTCTAATCCTCGTGTTCTTATAGGCATTAATACAACGCTTTGTTGATCTTAAAGGTGTCTAAAATAATTGATATGAAAAACCAAAATGTTCACAATGTATTCTCTTTTATTATTTTATTTCACTTCCTTTTTGCGGCGGAGATGCGGACTCATCCGTTTAACTCCGCGCAATTTAGTTTTCTCAAAAATTTGTTTCTGATGTTTCTTCATGAGAAATTGTGTGATATGTAAATTTTTTCCTCAGTCATTCATCATTTTTTGATGATTTTATAATGTGTACAATAGACACCATCAGCTACCACCTGCTGGGATATCTTTGCTCTCTAAACCACAATAAAATATCAATCAATTAATACTTTTATTTTAAGTTTGTGTTTCATGCTATCGGGTAATCATGGCGCACCCAAATAAAATTGATTAACAGCTGCTCTTGTAAAGGAAATGTGACGAGAAAATGTTTCCTTCGTCGTCCTCTTACTTAAAAAATAATTGAGGTACAAGTATTAATCAGTGGATCACTACAATTTTGATAATAAATTTTTTTCCAACGCTTAGTTCGTTCCTAGCAATGACTGCCATGACAACGTGGGTAAAAGAAATATATTAATTATCTTCACTCATTTCCATCAAGTTATCTTTAAAATTGTTAAAGATCAACTTTGATTTCTGTTACAAGCGAAAACTTAGAGCAAGAAGATATCATAATTTTATGTCATTGTCTCATGACCTTGAAGACGATCCTTATCTTGCTGTTTCAATACGAGAAACAGCAAGCTAGAAAACACTAAATATACTACCGCGGAGATGTTTATGAAATGTCTTTAAGAAATTTCAAGAGTCAAGATAAGGAAAGACCTCTACATGTGTCGGTATTTGTGTGTTCTGTCACTAATGAATTATGTCATCAAATACTGCTTGAAAAGTGATCATTGACAAGCGACGTTAGACTAGAAATGTTTCAATGTATTATATTCATCTGAGAGGCCGCAGAATTGTTTCGATTTTTGAACGATGTCAAAGAAACTGACAATGTGAAGTGTGGAAATGAATGAGATATTCGTTAAAAATTGTGCATACGTGCATAGTATTCAACTGACCATCGGGGCTTCACCGATGCTAATTCTTCATACTGGCCTTGGAATTGGTCTCTCTCGTGTTACGGTCAAAAAGTTCCGGTTCTCAAGCTCTAACATTTAGGCTCTTTACAGCATAACTGGCTCAAACTGGCTGGTGATAAAAAGTATAATTTAAAACAGATTCCCTCTACGAAATGCAGGAGAATTCCCCCGCAATAATGACATGGCATCGGGAGGAGCTGCAGCCTCTGCTCTATGATTGACATTGCTGCTGAGTCCCGGTGTATCTGCGTTCATATTCACGCTGTGTTCGAACTACGACGCAAGCTTAGAAACCCCATACCAAATGAATGCCCGCATTATTCAAAGACAAGCTACGACCTAGCAAGTAAGTACCTCAGTTTCTTTCGTACAAGTGCCAGGAAAGAATTCGGTTTTTGAAGAGGTTTTTGTCTTTGACACTGTAAACTTAAATGCATGGACGGTATCGCCAGAGCTCCATGCCAACCGTCAATCAACTGCGACGCGCCTCCGGTGCTGCAGGATGGGCCGAGATTCGCCGCTGAATTGATTGCTTCCTCGACGACTACAGCGCATCAAACGTACATGCGTATTGCACGCTGTAGTTAAATATATATGACTGCGTTTGTTCAGAATTTCAATATAAACAACAACCTGGAGTTCCTAACCTAACCATAGTATCCACCAGGTATTAAAAGCGCCGTTTCAAATACGCTGCGTTTTGCTTCTCTGTTTGTTGTTTTTGCAACGGTGTCGCCACGAGCGCTGTTTCCAAGTGAAATTGCGTTCGGCGGACCAAAAACCGTGTTAAATTTTATGTAGCATTATAATGTGCATTTCTTTAATTGTATTGAAAATTTCAGTGTTTCGGGTTAAATTGCATTGGGTGTAGAAACTGCGCATAATACAAGCTATCGACAGACACAGCCTACTTGTTTGGATGCCCGCTCTCAATTTCGCATTTTCTTAATTAATACCGTAGCACATTTGCAGCTATCGCTATTTGGCGTGAAAGGATTCAATATAGTTAAATTGATGTACTAATTAATATAACAAAGGATGCGATTAGCTTCTGCGTATCGCTGAATACCGCGACGCAGAATGTAATTATAGTCAGCCACTATCTTTGTGCAGAAAATATGAAGACAGGATTATCTTCTGCAAACTAAGACTTAGAAGACGATATTTATGTTGACTTAAAGACATTACTTTAATCTCGCAGCTCAATGCTTACCTGTATGGAAAACCTCAAGTCAGCCGCTAATTGGGCTCTTAATTCATGCTTATCGTCATTCCGTCAGGCGGGCTGTCTAACTGGTAATTACTGAGTGGTTGTTGAAAGGTATTTTCCGTCCGACTTCGCTCGGTACACTCAAAGAAATGAGTGAGAATTGTCCAAATAACGAATCACTTTTTCTACATTTTGTGGATCATTAATTCTGACCCAGTTTGACCCAGCAAAAAGGTGTATCAGTGCGATTTGCAGAAAATGTGTCACTTTCTGGACAATATAACGCATTCATTTTTCTCAGTGCATTAGGTAGCGCCAACACTATGCATGTGACCGCATGCCTTCCTCCATTCCTTCACTCATAATAACTTGTGGAGTAAAGCTGATTTGAAAATGGTTTCATAATTAGGCTCGACTGGGCAACGTGAGGCATGTAAATTAAAATAATTACGTAATGATCGCAAGAAGTAAGTTATAATGTAACGAATTGAATACTTAGAAAAGCTTATTTAGTCTCGCATTTTTTTTAGCGTCCAAACTGGTTGAGCGATTGTCATTGTTATTTTTGATAACAATAGCTATGTATCAATGTTTTCAGTCGCTGATAAAACAATTGACAAATTTTCGCTGTACAGAACACGAGTTTATCTCAACGCAAGGCTTCAACATGCAAGTTTAATGACCTCGTTCATTTGCACGTGTCATCTAAAACAGACTATCTCGATATTCATAGCCTCATAGGACACGAAGCTCGTGAAGGAACCCGCCTTTTATAGTTGGATAATTGCCTTGTCCTGCGCACAGAGTGTGGATAACCGCGAGAACCGCCCACCAATCACAACACTGCTATCGCATGCCGCCCCTCACACGCCCCTAGCTATGCACCAATCACAGATAATCAAGGATAATACTGATATGACACTAATTAAAATTTAGTTCATTAAATCACATTAACTATTGAATTGAAAAACACGTTTAAACGACAATAGATAGAGCAGGCAGTGGCTATACGTTTATGTATAACATAAATTAATTTGGTAATAGTTTCACTTTCGGTTCTTGGTGATGGCAATTTGTATAAAAAACGAAACGAAATAAAATAGACCTTATGGGAATAATTTGGAATAATTTAAATAGTAAATTTCATCGATAACGGGAAGCACAAGGTACATAGAGAAGATATTTCTGAAATCCCTTCAGTAAATCTGCGTCCCAAACATAAGTGCTTTTACAATGTTTCGAATATCAAAGACCGGACGGAAAATTGTCCATGAACACAAGACCTGCAACCTGATGCTCATTACCATACATATTGCTCCCAGGTCGACTCTGATTCATCACTATTCGTCCGAAGTAGCAATTGATGTTCATAAACAAATCAGTTGCCGGTCACCGATAGGATCTAATACTCTAGCACAAAAACTCTTTACCAGCCAAACCTCTTCGTGATGTAACTATTTCTACTCGTGCGCCAATTAAGAGGCCCATACAGTTGGTATCACTGCTACGCCCATCGTGCGGAGAGTGGTTAGGTTACTGGTTAATCTCAAGCTGCGTCCACAACGAACCTTGTAACCTGTGGTATCTGTTAGAATATAATAGAAGTGTCGGCACTGAAGAAATAGGCCCATGGCCTGTTGCCGATTCTTGTACTTTTCGTGACTTGATTCACAAGGGTGATTCACGTGACCTTCTGAAACCCGATCTTTCCATAACAGAGGATTGATTGAGATAGCTGCTGGACTTAGTTGTCTAACCTTTGTATGGTTATTTTCAGGATTTCCGTGAGTTCGTTCCTTGTAAATGTTGTGCAACATTTTTCCTCATGTTTGTCTACAAGTGCGTCGGTTTGAATTTACGCTTTAAATGGAATTGAGCTGATCTTTGGTTGAGTCAGCTGATAAGCGGTCATTTTCGGAATGAAATATAACGGTGTCTGAATTTGTGACGCTAGAGGCTAGACCATTGGCTGTTGTCATGTGGATCTTTGGGATCCCTGGCTGCCGCAACTCTTGAGGCCGTGGCACCTCTGCGGCTCATGCAACCCGTAAATTTGAGACATCCTACAAGATATATTGCTATAAATTTCACACAAATTTAAACTGTAAATTTTTATTCTTGCGTAACTAGGGTGCAGCCTCATAGGTCACTGCTCTAATATCAAAGGAACATGCGTCAAGTTCATTTAAATTCCACAGCATGATTGACGTCCTTTGTAAGCATTCATCGCATTCATTCTTTTTATTCATCACGAATTGTAATTCTCTTGCCACGACATCCGGCCGCGGCCTATAATTTCTTTGGTCTTTCAGCCACGCCAGCCGCTGTTTAGAGGATACCAAATGACCGAGCTGCGTCGAGTCTGGCATCAGTCATACGCATATAAAAACACGTTGAGTTATAGACGAGCAATGACCATCAAAAATCTGTAGGTCATTTCAAGTTTAAATGTACAACTTGGTTACGGTAAAGCGTACAGTCTCATCTACGGTAAAGTTTAAGAGTACTGAGTACCTAAGGTTTCAACGCATCAAAAGTTGAAACGTACGGTTACGGTACAGTTGTACTTTTTTCTTTGTTGTAAGTGTGACAAATCTTGTTGAATCAGCTATCCATACGCCAGTGATATTACAGGCTTTAAACTTTTAATCGAAGTTTGCAAGAACATTTTACCTGATATTGTGATGATTTTTGTCAGAAAGGTGCACCGCTGCACCGCGATCATCATGAATGTTTCCGCAATTCTTTCATTCATAATACATACTAGTTGCAACAAAGGAGGCGAGCGCAGATGCCTTCCTTATTTCGCCCTCTTGAAGGGCGACTCATACATTCTGTGCGGGCGACCTTGATTGTCGCATTGCATATACTCAGTCCATACTTACCCAGCCTGAGCATGGATATTCCTTTGTATACTTCTGCGGTAATACGTACCCCATGGCAGAAATTTTATAAATTAATGTCATTTCCAGCTGTTGACTATTATAGAACGTGCCGATTTTCTTTAAAACTGGAAGTAAAATTTCACACGTTAATAATATACAATAATTTTTATCTGATATACACTTCAGGTTGATTTTTGAATTTCATCATAAAAAAGTAATAGCCTTCATTGGCGCTTCCTAAAGAAATAGAGTGCAGTCTTACTTCCACTCATCCACATGCTATAAGCCATTGACGTCATACTGTAAGTGAACTTTAAATGTCGGCGAAGTACCTTGGTTATTCATTACATGTTTTTAATAGAATAGAAGTGTCGGCGTTGAAGAAATAGGCCCATGGCATACCTGTCATTATTTTCGCGGTGTGTTTATTTTTGATTTTAATTCTTGTATGCATTTATGAACTGTATTCTTAAGTAACCCCTAAACCTAAACGATCACGTAGGCTTGTTGGCAAGCCCCTTTAAAAAGCACTTATAAAACATTTAAATATTCATTGTTATTATGACGTGCGTTGGAAGGCGCACCCATCTTTTAACTGTATGCATGAGCTGTAACTTTACCTAATTTGTTTTTGTACATGGCGAAATTCTTGTTCCTGATGACGTCACCCAGCGATGGCAACGCACAATCCTCGCTCAATCGCGATGCTCCCCGGCCATTGCAAAAAAATAAATCCACGTACCTACATGAGTAATATTGAATTTACGTACGTGTCGCCAATCTCGCTGCTTTTATCCTTGGAAATTCAGTATTGGCTGGATCATTCTGCCTCAAGTTTAAAGCACAGATTGAAATGTCATGGGTAGCTTGCGGTAAACAACGATACCTGGATCAGTTAGAGAAGGTCTGTATTCTTATAAAACAGGGTACGAGTTGGCGATATCTCGTGTCGTTTGCTGGCCGTTCTGCCGGAGAGACCACGCGCGATCACGCTTCTTCCTACGCTTTTGCTTCATAGAAATAGAAGTTGTATGAAACGTAATTTAGTCGAACAAGTGTTTGAATCGAGTGAGTTCGACCTTTTTCTCTGATAATTATAAAGAAGAAACTAATCAATTCAAACTGGTTTGAAGACTCATTGTTCGACCGACGAAAAACGCAATGAGCGCTAAAGTAAGTCTTAGAAACGAATTGTATTTTTTAGAAATTATATTAGTTATATGGTGACTGAATGCAGAAATTTTAAAAACTAGCCCTCAAAGAGTGGCGTTGAAGCAAAAATTACACAATACAATGACTGCACGTTTATAGCCATTAATATCATAATCACTCGAATATTATTGTTGATTTTTAACTCAATATGATATACAAATACAGAATGTAGTGGCGCTTATTCTATAACTACTCTCATGCATTATCAAAACGTCCGCAATTCAGTTAGTTTCATAATATAGTTCTAACCTGAGATACTATTTGTATTAAGGGTTGGTCTTCGGTTTTCTTTCAAAATTTCCTTGATTTTGAGAACGTCGAGTCTTTAAATTTGCATATTAGGAAATTTCATTTATATTTTTAAAAAGTTACTATAAATATGACGACTTTTCAGGTTTGGGTTTACTTAGCAGTGCTGTGCGCCGCCTTCGTGTCAGGAGTGCTAGCTGCGCCCCATCGCCTTGATGACAGAACTCATGACCACGCAGACGATCATACGAAACTGCTGAGCCATGACGGTCTGAAAGAAATGGACGTTAAGGAAGGCTCAGATATTGCTCATGAACATCCAGCCAACGACCAAGGAGATACTGTAAACAATGATCAAGAAGATTTAACTAACAATGAAGACCGAGCCAATGGCCAAGACGTTATTACTGAAGGTCAGGAGAAGCCAGCCAAGAGTCAAGACGTAATTGCTGGTAGCCAGGACGAGTCAGCCAAGAGTCAAGATGCCATTGCTGGCGGCCATGACAAGCCAGCCAAGAGTCAGGACGTAACAGCTGGTGGACAAGACAAGTCAGCCAAGAGCCAAGATGCTATTATTGAAGGTCAGGACAAGCCAGCCAAGAGTCAAGACGTAATTGCTAATGACCAGGAAAAGCAAGCCAAGAGTCAAGAAGTAATTGCTGGTGGCCAAGGCGAGTCAGCCAAGAGTCAAGACGTAATTGTTAGCGGTCAGCAAAAGCCTGCCAAGAGTCAAGACGTAATTGCTGATGGCCGAGAGAAGCAAGCTAAGAGTCATGACTTAACTGCTGGTGGCCAAGACAAGCCAGCCAAGAGTCAAGACGTAATTGTTGGTGGTCAAGACAAGCCAGCCAAGAGTCAAGACGTAATTGTTGGTGGTCAAGACAAGCCAGCCAAGAGTCAAGACGTAATTGCTGGTGCTCAAGACGAGTCAGCCAAGAGTCAAGGCGTAATTGTTGGTGGCCAAGACAAACCAGCCAAGAGTCGAGACGTAATTGCTGATGACCAGAAGTCAGCCAAGATTCAAGACGTAATTGTTGGTGGGCAAAACAAGCCAGCCAAGAGTCATGAGGTAATTGCTGGTGGCCAAGACGAGTCAGCCAAGAGTCAAGACGTAATTGTTGGTGGTCAGGACGAGTCAGCCAAGAGTCAAGACGTAATTGTTAGTGGTCAGCAAAAGCCAGCCAAGACTCAAGACGTAATTGTTGGTCGGGAAAAGCCAGCCAAGAGTCAAGACGTAATTGTCGGTGGTCAGGACGAGTCAGCCAAGAGTCAAGACATAATTACTGGTCAGGACAAGCCATCCAACGGTAAAGACAAGATTCTTGTTTCCAGTCATGAAGGTCCCGTTCTCGACCATGACGACCACACTCGCGCGCACCAGTTGCACGGTACCAATAACATCGGCCTTGACAAGCCCGACGCAGCAAGCGGAGCTGCCGAGGAAGTTTCAGCGTCCGAAAAGAAGCGCGCTGGAAAGAAGGAATCTATTGCAACTGACAGCGACGTCATTTCCAAAAGCCTCCACGATACCGAAAGAGACGACCACTCTCCTTGCTCCAGGCGGTGCTTCGGTGCTGATGGAAGTGGCTCGAGCTGCTGCGATTCCAATCTCGGGCATTAGTTTTTTTCTGGTTTGATGAAACGAGACGAATCCATTACGGAACCCTAAAATTAAATGGTTCATGAAACCTTGAAAACTATGTAGGCTTCCTAAATTTTGGTGACTAAAACCGTTAGGAATTAGAATACAATAAATATCTCAGCTCGCTAGTGAACATTATGGGACACTTGCCTCAATTTCTTTTCCTGACTCGAGACTGCGTTGTCTTAGAGTCTTCTTTGTTTCTCATGTGACTTATTTTTGTATTGCATGTCAGCGACTGAGGAGCAATACTATTAATTCGATTACCCTTAGTAATCATTTAAAATAAAAAATTTAAGTTAATAATGGACTCTTCTATAACTCGTAAAACCTTAATAATTAATAGTTCTTTCCCGCTGTTTCTGTAAAATTGTCATTCTTCATGTGAGATATTTTGCCTTCGGTTACCATGCCGGCTAAATTAATCATGAGGAATAAATTACACTGAAATGGTGAACATATTCCAGCATTGTCCAGCCAAACATGTACAAGTTCTAAGTATCTCATGCTTTTTGTGATTCATGTCAACATTTTTTCTATTCAAATTAATTTTCGTGGAATTTAAAAATTCAGAATTTCTTGAAAACATTACCAACCATCGATGCTAAAGTTCGTCTGTACCCTGTCTCTCTTGACTGAATTTCATCGCAAGACTCAAAAATAATGTCATACTGCCGAGTGCCGACATTCATATTTAGTGTACTAAAACGTACCAGCAAATTCTGTATCTATAGGCTTATCAGTGACCCGCCAGAATATTAATTATCTTCTTTTAAGTGTTATCAGGTGAGGGCCCAGCTGATAATAGGCCCATACCTCGACAATGACACTCACTGTGCTGTGAACGCTTCAAATCTATCAAAGTCTTTCATAAATACAACATTAAATGAAACTTATGTGGCTTCAGAGCATGAAAGATGCGTTTGCCGCACCTAGACTGAATTTTTGACACGGAAAGATTAATAAATTGATGAATATAAACGACAGACACTTTCTTCAGCATTGTTTTCCACAAATATCGATATTCTCATCACAATTCCGTTCGCGTATTACACGGGTTGAAATCCAAATATAATAAATGTTATATTCATTAAATTAGAACGGGTGGTCATATTATTTTAGAACATTTATTGACATTTAAATACCAGCAGCAATCGTGTGACAAGAAATTATTTGAACCCGAAATAAAATCAGAAAAATAATCGTATATTTGAGCTCAATATATCATGTGTCGCAACTGATTGTGATTTAGAAGGCTTTATTATTTGATGAGCACGATTTAAGTCCCGTTGACATAGGTCATTATAGGTTATGATTGAGGAGCTATACCTATGTTCGATCATTCCATATTTTTCAGTAAAAAGGCACACGTGCATATGTGATGAAATTTGTGAACGTTGTCTTCAGTTTGCGCATGTATCTAATTCATCTCTCTAAATAATTTGTACATATTTCTATCAGAGCTTCGATCGTTTAACTCTGACGCTGACTTGAGACGTCCCCTGTTGTGGCCCGATTACCCGATCGAATGGAGGAGGGCCATAGCCCCTGTAGTGCCAGGGTTATCATGTCATATTGTACTCGTCCAAATTGTCTGAACTTCGAATAGTGAATTGAATATAAACCCAGATTATGTATGAACTGCAGCTAGAGATTGGCTTGAATGCATGACTCGCAGCTAGAGATTATACTTGAAATATCACACAGGTTAAAAACGATACGTTTTCATGGAGTCACTGTTACATCCCAAAAAATACAATTTTGTCACAATTATTCTACCCATTCTCGTACGCACGTGTACTCATAAGAAGGTCAACTGTCAGAAGAGCAAGCCCAATTTAATCGCTTCAATTCGCATGTTGCCAAACGTTTGCTACGCCACAAATAGACTGGCGCAATATTGTCTTTTGCTTTCATTGCGCCAAGAAGTCTCGTATGGCAACTGCACGTTGCTCCAAAGTCCAAGCAGCAACAAATGTAATTTTTATACCTTATATTAATTAATTAAAAAAGGAAATGACTTTTCCATCTCTTCTTATTATATTTTAGATAAAACGCGAGCTGACGCTTTTTTTTAATTCTCAGCCCATGATATATTATGGAAGAAGAGTTCAAGTTTCATTTACGATGACGCTCATTAAAATGCGTTATTATTTATCTTATTCCTTGGTGATAACTGCATGAAAATTACAAAGTTAATTGCTACCACTCTAGTTAGATGGTATCTCATCACGTCCCAGTTAACTCACTTGACCTATCCTTATCAACGCGTTTCGTCAGCGCCTATTTTGGCTTCTGATTATTTCCCTGATGAAATCAACTCTTATCGGTAGTGGACAGGCTCTCTAAACGCCGAAATAATTCGAGATATATTCTGTGTGTCACCAATTTGGTTCCTATGCTCAAGGAGAAGTATTATGAGTATTTAAAACAAACATATTTGTAATATGTCATTTTCAACAGCTTACATAAGATTTTTTATTTTCGATATGCATTATGTATCTTAACAAACTTGTCTAATTGAAAGGCTCTACCCTAACTATGCTAATTATGTATATTGTAAATAAAGGTACAAAAAATTCTGTTTTAGATCTTTTATTCACAGCAGCCTTGAGCTTCAAGTGCCGCGCAGATGCCAAGTAGTGTTTTCATATTTTAAATTCACACAAATCTGTTACGACCACACAGGGCGACCTAGATTATCTATTTGCTTCACATGATTAATTGATGGCCGAAAACACATAATCAAGATGAGGTAAAGAGAAAAAATATGAATCATTTTGCATTTGCACGGTCATGACAGTGTCAGTTGTTCCGGGCAGTCACAATACGATACGCGACTTTCGATTACAGTTATTAGTCTTAAAATTATTATAAATTTAAAACCAAAGAGGATTCCACAGAAATTCGCCATAGATTTCGGAAATACCATATCTTCGACAGAATTGTGGCGAATTTCTGTGGAACTTTCTTTATAAAAAATTTCTAGTGAATTCGCGATTCAAGCAAACGAGCGACATTAATGTGTACTATAATCATTAGACTTACAATCATTAGTTGACCTACGACCATCATTGAACTGAAGATAATCATGAGAACATGTCCGACTCTTACAGCAGTTTACAAGACCGTCGAGTTTTTGTATCCGAATTGAAGATTTCGGGCCTTCTCAATTACCCGTATATTTCCCTTTTTAACAACGCGATACATTATAATTAATTTTTTAAACATCACGGAATAATATTAAAGAATAATTACGGGTAAATAATTTATTCTTGTCTTTATTATTTTTCATACCACACTGCTATTAATTTAATTTAGTGTTAATGTTTTAGTTACTCAGTGTTGTAATTTGTGTGATAATTTACACGGGCTTTTTCGTATCCATGATATTCAGTCCGTCTTGGCACGTAAGTAACTTTGGACTCGTGCACCTTCTCGCCTGCTGCAGCACGTATAGCAGCTCGCCTGCTGCAGCACGTATAGCAGCCCGCCTGCTGCAGCACAGATAGCAGCCCGCCTGTGCAGCACGTATAGCAGCTCGCCTGCTGCAGCACGTATAGCATCCCGCCTGCTGCAGCACGTATAGCAGCTCGCCTGCTGCAGCACGTATAGCAGCCCGCCTGCTGCACCACGTATAGCAGCCCGCCTGCTGCACCACGTATAGCATCTCGCTTGCAGAAGGTATAACAAGCACGTATACCAGCTCGCCTGTAGAACGTATAGCATCTCGCCTGCAGAACGTATAGCAAGCACGCATACCAGCTCGCCTGCATAACATATAGCAAGCTCGTATATATTATCTCGCCTCACATCTCACCACAAATGCTGCTCGTCCCACCGACCTTCTCGCCGCTCGACTGCACGCGAGAGAGAACAAGCGCTTCCCTGCACGTGGGCACCGCGTGCGCACCTCTGATGCGCGGAATTTCTTGTGTTGTCATAATAATAATTGTCATTGATAATAATATTGTTTTTATGGTTACTAAGAGTAATTAACTGGAGTAGGTATTGAAAATAACACTGGGAATAAGCTTGTAAGTTTGTCATCGCAATAATAGCTTTGTGCCGAAGTCAAATATGTTTGACTTTGGCATAATAGTCAAAGTCAAAATATGTTTGATTTGTGTCCGCGTGTTTTATTATTCTAATCCTGTTTTCAAAATCAATTTAATTATAACATGAAGCAATAATAAATGTAAGAAGATATGTGCAATTATATTCTGCTGGTATGAGTGTTAGCACACAAACGATAAATATTTATCTATCAAAAATATTCTTTTACATGCTTTACGAATTTCCTAGTCTATCAAAATAGAAAATCTACGAGTTTTCTGCGTCCAATGAGATATCTTATCTAAACGTACAGTTTCAGACCTCAATGTCTAAACACACAAGCCTCTGTCCAAATGTAAGTGGGTTTCAATAAAATCAAAGTATTGCCTTGAAAATGTGCGCATTTTTGAAGCTCTCGCTTAGCAGCTAAATGCGTGTTTTTGACATTTTGTTTTTGTTACGAATATAAAGAGAGAGAGAGTTAAGAGAGAAAAAATTTTGTTTAATTTGAGGTGCATTTATCTTTGTTCATTAATGTTTAATTTGGCTTTTTTGAGGAGAACAATTATGATTTACTTCTGCAATTTTTTCTCTTATAGTCATCATTATATAATATTGTTAATTTTGAATTTCCGTTGGAAAGGCAGCAATTTCAGACAGTTCAACAGCGTAATTTTTATTAGTTCTTCTAACGCGATTTATTACCATTAATATGATACTAATTCACTGGCTTTTATTCTTTCTATATCAAAACTTTGTACCCAGAATGCAGGAAAATAAAATTCTGGTATGGTATAATCAAATATTTACGCGAAATATGTATGGAGGCACTCAAGGAACAAGTATATTATTACATATACAGAAAAATATTACAGTCCATGCGCTAATCTATTCAATATACTTGTATAAAAAGCATACAGGATATGCCCTCGATGGTATGCTCTTCCTCATCACCTTGACTGGCGGACCACCGCGACCTACAGACGAGCCTGCAGTTGCCTGCATCGTTCTGGCTCATGTAAACAAACGTTCATATGGAGCCGTGCTAACAAACGTTCATATGGAGCCGTGCTAACAAACGTTCATATGGAGCCGTGCTAACAAACGTTCATATGGAGCCGTGCTAACAAACGTTCATATGGAGCCGTGCTTACAAAAATAGCTACGAGTTTGTAGCTCCGTCAGCCAATCACAGTCGACTTTTCAAGCTGAACCCACCAATCACAGACGAAATATTGGTCGGTACTTGCAATTGGGTCGCTACGTGTACGTGTACTGAGGCCGCTGTCTCATCAATGGATGCACTCACGGACTTTATATTAACGATACATAGTTGAGTATTCATGATTCATATGAGTACATTCAGGATTCATATTCATGATTCATGTTGAGTATTCATGATTCATATGAGTACATTCAGGATTCATATTCATGATTAATTTTTGAGTTGCTTTCCGTCTTTAACTAATACCCCCATTTATTGCCTGAATTCATCAAAACTTTCATGCGGCTCGTCTAGAAAGTTAGCAATGTTTAATATTATTATACATGAGACGAGGAGCTTTATATTACTTAGCAATAATAGCAATGGTCTTATCATGTGCACGGTTTTTTAATTACAATCCTATTTATAGAATCATAAAATTGTATAATAGAACTGTAAAAAAATCCAAATGACCTTCAGTTAACTTCCAAAATAAATACAGCGAAGCTCGAGTTTTTTTGTGAGGATTCTTTTGTGCATTCTTATTCGTGACCAGATTCGTAAATCCTTTCATGCACGCTGCGTGACGTGAAAGTCCTACACAATAACGAATTATGCTCCGAATTTCATTGTTAACAAACTACAGCGGAAGCAGTGCAGTGCCGCGCAACTTCCTTCACTTGTGCTGTGAAGGAAGGCGTTGTGACATCAGGTACACTCAGAGAAATGGGTGTGTCTTTGTCCAAATAGCGATGTTCTAATAATAGTATAATAATAATAATATAATATATATAATAATATATTATGTATATAATATAATTTATAATATTTAATATAATAATAATAATTGTTCTTTGGCTCATACTGACCGAGTACTCTAAGGCAAAAGGTCGCATCAGGTCCACGTGCAGAAACTGTGTCACTATTTGACGATAATATAACTCATTCATTTTGTGTGAATGTAGACGTTGTGAAATCAATTACGTTGTTGTCTGTTTTGAACTGGATTACGCCACAATGAAAATAAATTTTTTATGTTAAATTATTTTTTTCATTGTTGTCTGTGAGCCTCGATCCATGATGCGTCATGTTTTGGAGAAGCTGAGAATTAATGGACAAGCAATAAAAATTTCATCATGATATTCTTACAACACAAACACAATTTCTTACTTAGAGTTATTTTTATAACCTTGCAGCACTCGAACCCAAAGAAAAAGTTCTCTAGTAAAATAACATTATTATTATTTGGACAATAATTTGATGATATTTTTACTCAAACGCAAAGAAAAAAGTTCTCTAATATAATAACATTATTCAAATTTGGACAATAATTTGATGACATTTTTTATACTATTTATCAAATCACACTCCCGATCAAATTATTTAATTTATAATATACAAAATCTTTTAGTTTAATGCAAATTATTTAATTTATAATATACAAAATCTTTTAATTTAATGCAATAACTTATAATCACTGGTGACTGCATCGCTCATCACGTGATCACAGCGTGCAAGGATGATACGCCGATCGTCACGTTGTCCCGACGCGATACCAAAATAACCAAGAACTTTACTTCTTTCTTATAAATTGCTAACTTCTCTCAATATATCATAACAATTTATACTACAATAGAGCCTATATTGTATACCAGTATAATGTTGACTAACACATCATATGTTGCGAAGACACATATACTAAACTATGTCAATGTAATATGTTGTCATGACTGGCAGCGACTTATCACACATAAAAAAACATCGCTCAATATTTTCGTCTCTTAGAGAACGTCTATTGAGGTCACTTCTAACCTTAGAAAAAAATGTATGCTGAACGCTGAACTTTTGTATGAACTTCCTTCTATTATATTGTTGTTGAGCTCATCGAAGTTGTTATGCTGCATGATGTCGTAATGTCGTAAATGTTGTTATGCTGCATGATGTGAAAATGTCGTAATTCGTATCGTACTATAAAAAATATAATTGGAAGTGTCAAGGTTCAGTAAAATTGTAAGTCTCTTTTACCAATTATATAATATAAATATAATTCTCGTCATCTTTACACGCTCAAACACTAGCATTTCATTTCTATATAATTGATATCCTTATCGGCAACGCATTGCATTTTTTACTCAAGTTCTAAATGCCGTTAAAATTTCTCCCGATTAGTAGACTTTTGTGAATCTGAATGTTATTAGATTCGTTGCGGTGACAGCATCTCGACTTATTAATTGCTTAAATTTTAAATTGCTTAAATTTTTAAATTTTAATTGCGAGTGCGTGGCTATACATAACTGATCAGGACGAAATATCAGACAGAGGCTTCTATAACTAACAACATATTTACATGTCTATGGCACGAGTTCAAACGAGTTCAGAATCGAATTTTTATAATTTGCTTTTTCATAATGACATTTATTTGAATGAAATATGAATTTTAGTATTATTTTTTATTTTCAATATCATTTTTAATTTTAAGCTTTTTGTTTATAGTAATATTAGTATTTGTTTTATTATTTGTTTATCAAGAATATAGATTTTAAAATCATTAATATTTTATAAATTGGTGACAAATTAGATTCCAGTAATATTCTATGCATTTCCCTCCAATTTTTCAGAAATTTTTCGTACAACTTCTTGCTATTTTCAATCATTATTCATACATTTTTCATGCATTCCACTTTCACTGCCTTTTTATTTTCAACCAATTTTTTCATCTAGACTCAATACAATTTTTAGATTATTTTTTATGTACGTTTATTTCTTTTTATTTAAAGCTTATACCTGCAACTAAAGCTAGTTTTCATTTGTAGCGCTCTTGTAATAAATTTTCCTCTTATTATGTTCATAGAACTAATTTCTATACACATTATGTATGATGCGTGGTACTGGAAAATCAAACATACTCATCAGAGAAGGAGCTTTACATTACTCAGTATCGTCGGTCAGTATTATCAGTCGGTCATGGTGAATGTTCCCTTGACAATCAATATATCATCAAGATGATAAATTTTATATCTGATGGACCTATATTCGCCCAAAAAGTATGTCAGATACGGATAAACAATTCAAATAGAGCAAAGAACTTCCAAACGCTTTTCTCTATTCTACTATAACATGCAGATTATATTGCGCAGAAACTTGAATCACCTTAGGTATTGTCTATATCCATAATAATCACTAATCTATTCATATTAGATTTGAACAATAATTACTCAAAATTTATATATTTTACATTGTTGACCAAAAACCGCGACGGGATTTCACGTGTTAGTGCGAGTCGTTGACTCGGGCAGGTATCAGTCGTGTTCAACAAGTGAAAAATTAACGAAAATTAACATTAATTAACGTTCTTTACAATTTACTCAGGGCAAGTTCGAAAAAAAGTTCATATATAGCTCACCAGCATGAGACTTAGCATAAGATAGACTACATCATGCTAACTAATTTGAATGTCGTTCATAATTAATACGAACGTCAAACAAATTAGTTTGCCAAATTTGGGGCATATATTAACTGCGTCGCCCTGTGGTGAATGGAAAAACAAGTTTTGGATCTGTTTTTTGTGGACGTAGCAGCTCGGGGCCAGCTGGCGAGCTAGAGCTGAAACTGGTTCTACTGACCAGTTGTCTTCAATGAGTACCTATGGATTTTTTATGTATGTTTTAGTCCTTCCATTGCTACCAAAATATCTTGGAAACTTCCTTTGATTTGAGCCTATGGGGCCAAACTTGAACCGGGCCATACAGATTCTAACCCAAATTGCATACATTAAAAATTTTTGCAAAGGTTTTTACAAAAATTCCATTCTTATTTATCATATAAGTAACTGTACACTTCATTCCTAATTTCAAAAGGAAAATTAATATCCTCCATACCGTTTCAGTGCCCAATTAAGTACGTAGGTTAGTTTAGTTTAGGTTCGTTTATTATGATGCAATAACAAATTTAGCGCAGTCGATTTTGAACAAAATATCCTGCATAAGAGGGCTCCCTGCGCATTAAATTCTTATATTCTCCTTTCTTGACTTAATTTGGATACTGCAATCTTTCTCCTCTCGTGAATAGGCGAAAATAATGAGATAAGGTAATTACATGTTCCATTATTTGTTTGAATAATATTTTAACCTCGAATGACCATCAGACCACAATAAAAATAGAAAGTTTTGCGTACATGAATAATATGAGCAACACAATTGTATTCGAGTGCGTGATTCGCGAAATTATGGGAGATTTCGAGTCAAGTGTTACCTTGTTGTATCATATACGAGCCAGAGTCTAACCTTTTTACTGTAGTGCTACATGTAGCGTATAGGAAAAGGTGAAAAATGTATTTTTTTGACGGGTGATTTGGTACGGTTCACTCAGACATGTCCATTCTAGGGCATTTTTTCACAAAATTCCACTCGAAAGTCGTTGATTCTTCGAACTGGTTTATGATCGTAATAGCCAAAATCGCGCATGCCGAGTGAAGTAACTAAAGTGTAGCATGGTATTTCTCGGAATTTTCCCAAGCGCATCAATCAAGTGCATTGTCAGAAGCAGTTGGAAGGCGAAAAACAACAGTTGCCAAGTTTCGACTCATGCCAAGTTATCTGCGAACCCTTGAATTTTTCGTTGCGCAGTGCCTTCGAGCATGTAACGCTAAAGAGAAAAAGAGAGCTTTCGTTTTATTACGCATGCTCTCGTCTAGCTCTTCGTTCGCGTCACACGACTCTTATGCGCATGCTCGAATGTGACGTCACACACCGCAGTGGCTTATAAAATGCTGAGTTTGGTCGATAGCGACATCACATCAGGCAGGCTGCGTCAGCGGGTGGACGTAGCATAAGTTGTTCCTTGTAAGGTGCAGTGTTTCATAGCAAACGTCGCAGTTTATCCATGGTCATCAAGCTCTAACTGCACGGTCAAGGTCTCATTGAAGAATTAAAATCAGTAAGTCTGAGATTTATTTTCAGGAGGAAAGTACCGTGTTTATTAGTGAGCTTTGCCGATTATAGTGTTCGAAACAAGAACTAAATTGTCTGCCAAAAAACTCGGCGATAGCGTTATAAACTAAAGCATGAGCTCACAAAGTAGCCAGTGGTCGAAGTAAGGTTAATGCCTCACGGAAAATATTCTATTGCAATCTTAACTATAAATGCTCCACTCTTTATACCCGGAAGAGTGCATGCTCTGTCATGTGAAAATAATTATCGTGAAAATTTGCTATTCCTTCATTAATGGTTATTCGAAGATCAGAGCGACGAGTCTGGGCTTGTGTCGCAGTTCTCTCATTTAGGCCTAGGTATAATCGAACGTTTTGTTACCTGAAAGACATCGGCGTGGGTCATAAGAAAACGAAAAAATGACGGAAATAGTTCGTTCTTACGTCCTAGCACAAGCCTGTTTTCGTTGTTTAGGCTGCCACAAAATTTGTTAAGCCATAGCTGTGATTCCGAACCCAATATGCGAGGTTAATTAAAATTGAATATCTGTAAAATATAATATGATGGTACTTGCGATAAGTATTCGAAGCTAGACCTTTGGTTAACATAGGGTGAGGTGAATTTGCCGTTTCATATTTCATTGATCAATTCCGTGTTAATCTCGCAAACTGCACAACGTCGATCTCGTTTACGTCTTTGAAATGTAAACTGAAATCTCACTTGGATACTCAGAACATAAAGCCTGTACTATAAAGTTATCTAGATTCCTTCCGAAATTTTATACAGATAACACCCACGTACGCATGTCATTTATGGTCGTGATTTATCTAGTGGTCAAGGAACTCCGTTGTGCCAACTGTTCCATGTCGCTAACGTCCTTATCTTATCGTTCATGAGGCCGCTCTTCGCCGTGTCAAACTATCTTTGTTATCGTCAGGTCGTATTTTATCATGTCTATTAGAGTAATATTATCACTACTTTTATATGCCGTGAGTAAGCCTTAGCCCAACATTTTTGGAGATCTTTTTTTTTTATGAAAGCGAATGGTTTTGAAATGGTACGTACTACGTCCGCCGTTCCGGACCAAGTCATTCAAAAACTATATATATACTGCAGATTGTTTTTCTGTAAAATTGAAATTGCTGCGCTAATACTGTGCTTTGGAGCTGTTGAATTTGTTTCCAATAAATTCGTACAGGATATAGAATAATTGTCGATTTGACTCTTTTTTGATTGGTCATCTCGCATAATATTGTGTGCTGTAGGGCTCTAATAACGTAAAGTTATCTCAATTCAGTTATGGAATATTATACAAGTGAAATGTTTGTCAGTATTTTATTTTACGATGTGCTACTGAAAAGTGCTAAATTCTTCGTGTGATACCCGCGCAAGTCCTGTCATATAGTGTGGTAGAGCTGTGGTCGAAGAAAGCCTCAAAGGATTAATTTTTAGTGCAATCTCGAATTAGAAGTATTAAACTCTGAAAAATATTCGCGCATTATCGAATTCTTGAAAGCCAGTAGACCAAAACGAGCCATGTCTGATAATGAAGAGCCTAGATATCTATCAAAATATGCACAGTGAAATCGTGTGTTGGTTCCAGAGATAACGACAAGAGGTAGTAACCAGACGAACTTTTGTATCTATTCACGCACAATCAGTTACGATAACGGTAATTGACAAAGAGTGGCGTTTGACGACAGCTCTGGAAGTCAAATCTGTCGAGAGTAGGTTCGTTCCGATATTCTACATTTGATTCTCCCAGGAGAATCGAGTGTCGTCAAATTTTTGCTGCACACGTAGCCGTAAAGCAGTCTTCCAATCATCGTAATGTCCCATTTCTAATTAACTGCGTATATAAAGTCTACGGTTCAATTTTTTATGGTTAATGGTATTGACTAAAGATAATTCGAATACAAGACGATCGTGTAGAATTTGTATTAAATCTGTGCCTATATGAAAGCCGTAACGAAGAACGTATATTAATGTACTAGTACACGCTAACACACTGCGTCATGGGTACAATTATTCCATCCACTTCGCAGATTAGTTGCTAACAGAATTAAAGTCCAACGGAATCTTGAAACAATGATTTCTTATCTAGCCTTGCGAGATATCAAATTGTTCCAAGTTGCACCGTTCGGTTTGACAGGAAACCAAACTTCTTTAAAATTGGACGATAAAAATTAAATTGCATCAAGGTTTTTCAAAGTCCGCATTAAATGTTTTTCTTGTTCTATCTAAATAAGATTTATTAAATGTTGTAAATATCGGTGTTCACTTCAAAGCTAGAGGCATGTTTTAGCTCACCGTCTGGTCTATTACAGAAGTCAAGATGGCATCGACGTTAACGAACAAAACCATGCTGGACCGCTACATGCGGTTGCCCATCCCAGACGAGAAGTGCCAAGTCATGTACGTCTGGATTGACGGTAGTGGCGAGGGCCTGAGGTCCAAGACCAGGACTGTCAACTTCATTCCTAAGACACCATCAGGTGAGAATGCTTATTTTAAATTCATTTAGTTTATTGCATGGATAGATTTAAATGTTTGTTTAAAGAACATGATATAAATCGCACTTGTTTGTAAAAATTCGATTGTTGGGTATCTAACAAAGCAATGTTTTTATAAATGCCCAAACCTTACTTCATTTAAAATTTGGAAATTATCCCAAAATATTTTCCTTTTTTTTTAAACGTTTAATTTCTCCTGCAGAGCTCCCCATCTGGAACTTTGATGGATCTTCCACTGGACAAGCTGAAGGAAGCAATAGTGACGTATACCTTCACCCCGTTGCCCTCTACAAAGATCCCTTCCGCCTCGGCAACAACAAGCTCGTCATGTGTGAAACTTACAAGCATAACAAGAAACCGACTGAGACCAACCATCGCCACAAATGCCTCGATGCCATGAACCGAGCTCGTGACCAACATCCCTGGTTCGGCATGGAGCAAGAGTACACCCTCCTCGATATAGACAACCATCCGTTCGGGTGGCCGAAGAACGGCTTCCCTGGACCTCAGGGGCCATATTACTGTGGAGTTGGGGCGACCCGAGTCTTCGGTCGAGACATTGTTGAAGCTCACTACCGCGCCTGCTTGTACTCTGGCATTAACATTTCCGGAGAAAACGCCGAAGTCATGCCTGCACAGTGGGAATTCCAAGTAGGGCCTTGTGAAGGTATCGCTATGGGTGACGATCTCTGGATGGCGCGGTATTTCTTGCACAGAGTTGCCGAAGATTTCAACGTAGTGGTATCCCTGGATCCCAAGCCCATTCCCGGGGACTGGAATGGTGCTGGCATGCACAGCAACTTCTCTACCAAAACCATGAGAGAACCCAACGGTATCGTGGAGATCGAGAAGGCCATTGACAAGCTATCGAGACACCATATTCGTCACATCAAGGCATACGATCCAAAGGAAGGAAAAGACAACGAGAGGCGTCTCACCGGACTTCACGAGACCTCTTCAATCCACGATTTCTCTGCCGGGGTTGCCAACAGAGGCTGCTCCATCAGGATACCCAGGGAGTGCGCTGAAACGAAGATGGGATACTTGGAAGACAGGCGACCTTCGTCCAACGCTGACCCCTACATGGTGTCTGAAGTTCTCGTCAGGACCATTTGTCTGGACGAATAGACATCGTGTCGGAAAAGCAGGAAGATGCCGTTAGTTTAGCAGGAGAAAATACATGTCCTTAAATTACAGTACCCAAGATGCATTTCGTTGGTGAATGAACATGAAATACTTTCAGGCATGATGACGAAGGTAGAAATTTGTCCATAATGAATGCGAAGGCGCCGCTTGGTAGCTAATGACGCGTATTATTTCTTGAAGCGGTTAGGCCTGCGATGCACGAACTACAAATGTTGAGCCAATCGGCCAGAGTTTAGTTTGATAAGATTTATATCTTGTAATTTTAAATTTGAACGGAAGAGAGTTGACGTTTATTAATTATAAAACTATTGCGAACACAAGTGTGTGAGATTGGGTGCCAGCACCCCTAGATCCGAATGTACTGACTCGCCCAATTAATATAGATTACTGGCCTCTAAATATTATGGATATTGTTATCTGTTAATTATGTCATTTGATCCATTAACTGTCTGAAGATTTATACTCAGATTTGTGTTTCCAATCATTGACTGGTTTCCGTAAATTTTAGAGTAGCCTTTTTTTCTATACACTGCAAGTTTAGCTTTGAATTGTTTTTCTCTGAATCATAGACGATTCTTCAAAATATTGTTTGTAAGGCTCGTAGTATTGGACTGGTTGACAGTTTCTGACACGGATGGGAACCTGAAGATTAATTTTATCGTCTGATAAGTTTTATTTAAACATTATTACCATACCATTAATTTGAATTTTAAAAAACAATAGCCGTAAGCTCGTGACGCTGATTATTTATCAAGCACACTTTTAAATTTTTTTATTCCAGCATTATACCTGAAGTATTATTCCAGATTGATATTTTTGCCACGTTATATGCCTGTGCAAAGGGTTGATTAGAGAGCGATAATTATACAAAAGCATTAATTATTCGATTTCCTAGGACTCTGAATTTCTTCTAATGGTAACCTCTGAATTTTGGTCCCCAACCCTGAAGCGCATCAAACTCTATTCTGTATTGCGCGCAAAATATTCCAAGTTAACTTGTGTACACAAAGTGTCTCGAGTATCAGGAACTTCCTGAAATCCTTGATTACGTGGAAGAAGCAAACGCACAACCTTTCTAGTTACGTCCATTTCGCAGCCGAGTTATTGTTAAATTATTCAATTTCATTTTTGTACTATCGGTTCCCATTGCCAGATCTGAGATGAACTTTCCAGACTCGTCCAGTCTAAATTGTTACGTGAACTGAAATACTTCTGTGCCGCACTGCTGCCGTCTGTCTGTAGTCTCTTGTACGATTGTGTTAGTGCACCTGTGATGATGTACACTAATTATAACAGAGTGAACGACAAATTCTCTAGCATTTTTACTGAATAATGAAAAGACTTTAAATCTATCTAAATGTGAACCACAATGTATTTTATTTTCCTGATAAATTTGAATTTTTCACAACACCGTGACCACAATGGAAGAAATAAATCTCTGCGTGGACCAATAGTTGCTAAGGTCATCAATTTCTCCGACATCAGGAGTAAAAGCAACTCATTAGCTCCAGCAATTTGCGCCTTGAGTAACTCATTTGTGTTAATCGGATCCTAATGGCATGAAGGACTTGCTTAATAGCATGAATAGTGTAATAATTGCAAGCCTGTAACGATTACTTTAACACATTACCCGTCAGCAATAATTATCGTTGACGTATTATTCCATTATCGTATTCCAATAATATAATGAATGGCCGCACATATAATGCTTGAAAGGTACAGAGCGCCTGCCCTAGACTTGACCACTTGCTCATTCAACTTAAAAAATCTATTGCTTGAAATGGTAAAAGCGCTGCTAGTTTTTTTTTTTACCTGAGTGCCACGGATGGAAGACTGAATTTTGAACCTGCGTGCCACGGATGGAAGGCTGAATTTTGAACCTGAGTGCCACGGATGGAAGGCAGAATTTTGAACCTGAGTGCCACGGATGGAAGGCTGAATTTTGAACCTGAGTGCCACGGATGGAAGGCAGAATTTTGAACCTGAGTGCCACGGATGGAAGGCTGAATTTTAAACCTGCGTGCTACGGATGGAAGGCTGAATTTTGAACCTTAGTGCTACGGATGGAAGGCTGAATTTTGAACCTGAGTGCCACGGATGGAAGGCACGACTCTGTTCTTGGCTTTGTGTACACAAGTAACCATGGCATGAAATACATAGAAGAAGCTATTATCACTTCTCTAAGTCGAAAAGCCCACGGCAATGAGCTGGACTTAGATCGTGCGTTCTTGTACAAGGCCAGTTTTCAGATGGTTCAAGATTTTTTTTCCGAGCTCTGAGTGTAAATACTCTACATGTCTACAAGTTTTTATCTACAAAAGTGAAGAAGGAGTAATGTTGAATTGAAAAGAGTTCGAAGTTTGGTTAAATGAAATCGTGTCATAATTAGAACGTATATGCCTAGAGTAACGTGATTAAAATCTTTCATTTATTCTGGCTAAGTTATGAGCTGTAAATCCGCAATTACAATGATACGATACTAGGAAAACTAACTACGCATGGTACGTGACCGTACGTCACACTCACGCTCAAGAATTCGTTCCTCATCCTTGCCATTACTCATCACATGGCACATGAGTGTAGTGCATAACTTTAGATTTGCGACAGTGAATAATCGTGATTTGAAAACCAAGAGGGTAATATCTTCGCTCCCGCCGTATATAAGCTAGTATGGGATTGAGAACGCCAACGAGACTTGCTGTGACTCTTGTTAAGGAAACACACGCAAACTGTCGACCCTGTTGGCGGGTTGGTAGTGCTGGATTGACAGTGGATTCACTCTGAAGTTTAAATAATCTGCTAACATGGTGAGTCTGCTTGGCTACATCTCTACATGTACACCAATGATGTGAGAATATTCGGTGGGCAAAAATTTCGCTCTCCGATTGAGCCATTTGTTACTTTCAAATTTTACAGGGAAATTTCAATTCTTCATTTTATTATGTTTAAAATAATAATCGGAATCTGCCACAAATACAGAAGCGACACTGTGTTCAATTTAAACTATATATCAGTGCTACCAATTGACTAAAAAAAGTATGAATCACACTCGTGCATTAAATTGATTTAACATGTAAATGTTTTCTCAGTATGGAAATATATGCGCTATGTTCTAGCGTCGTGTGGCACCGCACCAGTAAAACTTTTGCGAATATTCTTATTCAAATAAAAAACTAATAGAGCTTCTATAATCTTGCTTTTTAAGTTACCAAGGCAATTATACAAATCATGTAAGAGGATTTTTTCACGACTCTCTTTTGGTTCGCTGCCCAGTCACCTATGAACACGACCAGCGCGGCGACCAACAAGACGATGTTGGACCGCTACATGAGGCTCCCGACACCCGAGAACAAATGTCAGGTCATGTACGTCTGGATTGACGGCATCCCGTCACCATGTATCCCGACCCCTTCCGTCTGGGTAACAATAAGATCGTCTTGTGTGAAACCTACAAACACAACAAAATGCCTGCCGATACTAACCGACGTAAAAGCTGTTTAGAGGTGATGACACAAGCGAAGAATTTCCACCCATGGTTCGGATTGGAGCAAGAATATACTCTCTTGGACGTTGACAATCACCCCTTCGGCTGGCCCAAGAATGGTTACCCAGGTCCGCAAGGTCCATATGCCTGTGGAGTAGGAGCAGACAAGGCATTTGGGCGTGACGTCGAAGCGTGTCATTACCAAGCGTGCCTATATTCTGGTATCAACATTTTTGGAACTAATGCCGAGGCCATGCCAGCTCAATGGGAGTTCTCAATTGGAACAAGTGAGGGAATTGAGATTGCAGATGATCTGTGGATGGGCCGTTACTTCTTGCACCGCGTGGCTGAAGGCTTCAATGTAGTTGCCAGCTTGGATCCTAAACCCATCAGTGGAGACTGGAATGGTGCAGGACTACATTGCAACTTTTCCACCGAAGATATGAGGAAGCCAGGTGGCATGAAATACATAGAAGAAGCTATTGAAAAGTTATCAAAAGTACATGTGGCTCACATCAGAGCCTACGACCCTAACGAGGGCGCAGACAACGCGCGTCGGCTCACCGGACTTCACGAAACATCTTACATACACGACTTCTCGGTTGGAGTCGCCAACAGAGGTGCGTCTATTAGGATTCCTCGCCAGTGCTCAGAGGATGGCTTCGGCTACCTGGAGGATAGAAGACCTTCATCTAACGCCGATCCCTACGCTGTGACCGAGATCATCTTGAGGACAACTTGTCTTTAGGTAATGAACTTGTACTGAATAATTTGAGTTTTTTTAAATCGGGTTCAGTACAGTATATCTAAAATGTTACGGCAAATATCCCCACGAAGAATTTTTACTGTCACATCATTCATTTGAGCATGAGTCGCTGAATAGCATTTACATTTCCTGGTGTTACCAACTTAGTTGCACGTAGCATCAACTGATGTACCGAAGATATGAAAACAAACTTAGGACTTGGTGGCTGAAACGTTCATGTGACGATCGCGAGAAATTGAAAGTATTCGTGAGTACTCTTAAGTTTGATTTAGGATTTCAAATAAAATTCGTCAAACACAAAATTTGTATTTGTTTGTCTGTCTGCTTAGCCTTGAGAAGCGCTGAGTCGAAAAAGGGGGTTGTCGACAGAGGGATTTTCAAAAGAGAGGTTGTTGAAAAAGGTGTTTTTGAAAAAGGGTTTTTTGAAATAGTGGTGTTTGAAAGAGGGGTTGTTGAAAGACGAGTTGTTGAAAGAAGGTTGTAGGAGAGATGTTGAAAGAGGGGTTGTTGAAAGAATGGTTGTTGACAGGGCAACTGCTCACCTCGAAAGCCTCAACCAAAACACTCTTGTTTCGTGAACGTCAAGAGACTTATCGATCAAAATTTTATATCCCATAAGTACTATATGTTAATATTGATAGATTCTAAGGAGATTCGTGTTTTGAATTCTTGAGTAAAGGTTACCAAGAACAAAATTTGTGTATGATATGATTCGCATTTTTAAGCTCACAATTCAGTGTCTATTGGGATGATCAGTAAAAAATAAAAGTATCGTAAAGTTTCATGCTTCGATCCTAGCCCAGACGAGCTGAAGTTATTAACGTGTTGTAGGCCGATATTGAAGCAAGTAACACTCACAGGAATCACATCTGTGCGTCGGTTCATGATCACATCGATCTTACTTTTGAACAATCAAACGAAAATTAATGCACTACAATCAATGAATATTCATTCTAATATCGAAGCGTATTTTCCAATTAAAATTTGCATCTTTTTCACGTTTAATGCAAAGAAAAATATTTCCTGCAACTTACGATATTTTATTCTTAATTGTAAAGAAATAACTAATCTATCTAAATTTCGTGTCAGTCCAAGCGTACAAGTGGACATTAAAATAGGCCCGTTGTATGTACCCACGTTATTATGATGATCAATAAATTTTTAATTCGTTCACAAACTGTGAGTTCAAAGTATAGTTTCCATGCTATACATGTACATAGGATGAATTTCTTCAATGACTTGAGATTCATTTTCATTCATTTATTAACTTCTAATTCTATTTAATTCTATTTCTATTCTAATTTAACTTCAGATTCTAATTTTTTCTTATGGCAAAGTAAAAATCGCCCAAGGATTCTTACACTAACGTGTTTTTATTTCTTGAACGCTACACTTCAAACCAATTTATTTAAATATGAGTCTTCAGCTCGAACATCAAGTATTCTACACGATACGGTGGAGATAATATTTAGCGATGATATTCTACATCAAGTATTCAACACGATTCGGCGATTAGTATTCTACGAGCGATATCAAGTATTCTACGTGATTCGGTGCAGTTAAATTTAACGATAATATGTCCCAGCAAATATCTTATTGCACCAGTCACATGATTGATAAGATCCGCACATCTATAATTCGTTGACGATAATAAATAATAATAGTCTTATTTCTTTGACTGCATTTCCAAATTATTTCTTCAGTATGTATGAAAAGTTCCATTCGTTAAACAAATTAAATGAGAGTTAATTATTTTAATCAAATTTATTTACGCGTCTTTTCGTGTTTATCACGATGGCATCTACGATCCAAACGTTCAGTGCACAAAATTTTAGCTGGCGCACTTTCGTACATGATTATTTTGACTGCAACTTAGTTAATGGAAAAACGTTTCCATGTGCATGTATATATGCCGTTTTGAATAAAGAATACTGGTCAGTTTTAATTTTCGGCTTCTTCCCAGATAACTATAAATTCAATTAAATTAACTACTCTAATTTAATTCAAGCCAAGAAAGTAGTATGGCCGGTATTAAAGTATTTTTCCACGAATTAAGGTACGATAGCTGAATAGTCAAATAAAACTTTCCATCTAAAAATCAGATGCCATTCCCACCATATCCACAAATTTTTAGGGTTTTTCATGATTTTCCCAACATGAATACGCGATGGCGATAAATACAATGTCAATCAGTGAACAAGTATTAAGTGAACCTCGCTGAGAAAAAAAAACAAGGATTAGTCTCATCGCGGAGGATAAATTTTACACCCAAAAATTAACTTTCATTAAAAGATGCAAATAGAACAGTGGATTACTCAGATTGTTTGTATCAGTAACATTGCGCTTACTAATTTTCGATCTCCATCAACCTAAAATGAAACAAATCCAATTAAGTAAAAATGTACTTTATTTTCCGCCGTTAATAAGTAGACGTTGTGCACAGCATGATGGATGAGCTGATAGCGCTGTTGCTGCCTGACAAGCACTATAAACAATTGCTTCACAATGAACGATAATGATTTACGATACATCTTGGTCAGTTTTTTGAGACGTGGCTTTATAGCCAGAGTCCTGCCCTGGCTTCCGGAAAATACCATTTAGTCATTCCTGTCCCAAAAAGCATGAAAATTTTTGTACAAAAGTATCTCACCTCCGGCGAACAACATTTTAAAATCTTTGAGCTCATCCAAGGTCTTCAAAATTATATCAGGTTCCAAATTCCCATTCATCAAAGACATATTGCTAATGACTCGCCCAGATGCTATAAGCAAAAAATATTTCGACTCCATCGCGCGAAATCGTTCAGCAGTGAACCGTGTGCGACATGATATTATAATATAAAAATTGAATTCTCGTGAAGTGATAATATGAAATACCCACGCAGCGTTGAAGGTTACATAGTCACTTCATTATGTAATAGAATATCTCGGAAGTCACAAGGAATGGCCTTTCACGAGGAGCGATTGGTCGCAGAAGGTCAAGTTCGAATCAACACAAGGCGGCATTTATGGGCCAGGATCAAGGGACAGACATAAGCTTTTTTTATTTTATTGCTGTTCAACAGTCTGCATGATAATCTTATGCGTATCGCTTGTATTAAGATTTTATGTTCATCGAGAAAATAAAAATGTGAAACGTTAACTCAGAATTTCTGATACATGATCGGTAATCAATGCCCTACCTCTATAAAATTAAAGCCATAAAATTCCAATAGCAAAATATTTTGTTCTCATTATTATCACGAATAAATAAACTACTTGCTCAACTGTAGTAATACTGAATACTACCGATAAGCAACATATAGCTTCCCCTGACGCATGAGCGAGCGTTGGTTGCGCATTACCAAACACTTCGTGTACACGAGGGGACTGCATGCATTTTGATGGGTTACTTTTGGTAGAGTACGATCGTGCTTAGAAGACCAAATAAAATTCCTTTTATAACAAATCGTATGTGCAGTGCTCTGCCGCTCTTCCGTGGTATATAAGCCATTGTGGCATCGAGAAATCTTGTGAGTCTGACATTGACTCTCTGTGGGGAGATACAAGCAGGCTGCCAAGAGGCAGGGTTGTGATTGTTGCTTTCTGACTTTGTTCTTCTTATCAGGCACTTGTTTGCGCTTAGGTTTGATATCTCTACTAGACTCCTAGTAATCTTCAATCATGTTGAGAATTTAACCTGAGATTTTCTTTGCTCCAACTTTGCCACGGTGGGAATTTTTTTTGATTGACAAATCTGCGCGAGTTGAGTCATGAAGTGAAACAGTCTTGTAAAATTAGAGGAGGATTATTTTATAATAAATTCAGTCAACTACTCGGACAAGATTATCTTCGTCAAGATATAAATTTCTTTCATTTCTATGAAAATATTCGAGAAATGAAACACTGATCAGGGACGCTGGTAAAAAAAAAATCAAGAGAACCCTAAATAAATTTAAACTCTTAAATGATTTAGATAAAATAATTTCACAATAAATGCTATTTTTTCACGACTCTGTTTTTGGCTCGCTGTCCAGTCACCTTTGAGCACGAGCAGCGCGGCGACCAACAAGACGATGTTGGACCGCTACATGAGGCTCCCGACACCCGAGAACAAATGTCAGGTCATGTACGTCTGGATTGACGGCACCGGAGAAGGTCTGCGTTCTAAGACCCGGACCATCGACTTCATTCCGAAGAATCCAGCTGGTAAGAGTGGGGCTCAGAATTGTATTCAATAGCCCTCTCAAAGGCAAGTTTCTGAGCATATTTATTTGCCTTTTGAATGGAGTAATGTTGCACAAGAAAATACATACGGTTGCGCTGAGATGAAATACCTGTTGTTAATAAATATTTACGGTTCTTATTTTGACGGCAAACTTCACGCTGCAATTGGCAAAAAAAACGTAGAATTGGTTTAGTATCATTGAAGCAGTGATAAAGTATTATTTGACATATTTTCTAAAGTATAATTGTCGATAAAAATCGTGCAAGTATACATAATTCTAAATGTCAAACTAATGTGAAAAATACCCCTTTTTATTTATAGTTCCGATGTAAACGATCGTTCATAGCGAATGGAACTTTTTCTGTCACGCGCAGAACTGCCGATCTGGAACTTCGATGGCTCATCAACCGGGCAGGCAGAAGGCAGCAACAGCGACGTGTACTTGTATCCCGTCACCATGTATCCCGACCCCTTCCGTCTGGGTAACAATAAGATCGTCATGTGCGAAACCTACAAACATAACAAATTACCTACTGACACGAACCGGCGCAAAAGTTGTTTAGAAGTGATGACGCAGGCGAAGAATTTCCACCCATGGTTCGGAATGGAACAAGAATATACTCTATTGGACATAGACAACCACCCTTTCGGCTGGCCTAAGAATGGTTACCCTGGTCCACAAGGTCCCTACTACTGCGGGGTAGGCGCTAACAAAGTCTTTGGACGAGACGTTGTCGAGTGTCACTACCGCACTTGCTTGTATTCTGGTATTAAAATATCTGGATCTAACGCAGAGGTTATGCCTGCTCAGTGGGAGTTCCAAGTTGGACCTTGTGAAGGGATAGAGATGGGCGATGATCTGTGGATGGCTCGTTACTTCTTGCATCGCGTGGCTGAAGACTTTAATGTGGTGGCCAGCTTGGATCCTAAGCCCATCACAGGAGACTGGAACGGTGCTGGAATGCACTGTAACTATTCCACCGAAAAGATGCGTCAACCAGGTGGCATGAAATACATTGAAGATGCCATTGAAAAATTATCAGGAGCTCATGTGGCCCACATCAGAGCCTACGACCCTCACGATGGTAAAGACAACGCTCGCCGGCTCACTGGAAGCCACGAAACTTCTTCCATTCACGACTTCTCAGCAGGGGTCGCCAACAGAGGTGCATCCATCAGAATTCCTCGGAACTGCTCAGAGGATGGTTTTGGTTACCTAGAGGACAGAAGGCCGTCATCAAATGCTGATCCTTACATGGTGTCCGAGATCATCGTAAGAACGACTTGCCTCTGAGTTACAATATTTTCAATGCGCTTATGCGAGAAGCGATTCATGGCGCCCTTTATCACATTCCCTTTATGTATTAGATTGCGCTTCCGAAAACATTATAATTGTTGAATATCAAGGCGTGGCTTCAGATTAGACTACCTCAGGTACTCCGGTAAGTCCGGTTTATAAAACTAACTCCTGATCTTATGTCGAAGCTTTTAGAGCACCCAGACTGCAGCTTAGTTTTCCTTCCTCATGTACATAGTTTTAATTAGGAATAGTGGTTTCAACTAACTTTAATCTTAAAACGTTTGTATATCATGCAATGTAAGACAGAGTTATCAGAATTTCTAGTTAGGAATTTTTAAGGAATTTCTATAAACTCATAATCCACCCCAATGCAAGTTCCTAGACGGTTGACGATATGGTGCAAAGAGTGTCGCTCAACACACCCAAAGTAACAATTAAACACATCTCAGTCAAATTTTTTTGTGCAAATCCATTCAATGAAATACTTTTTGTGAACCGCTCATCCAACAGCAAATTTCATGATATATATCAAAGAGAGATTATTCTAGATCGCCAACTGCATTTCAAGTTAGGATTTCTCGCTGCATGAATTCTTCAAGTACTTTTAATAAAGCACCAGCTTATAGATATCCAATGCACCTGTCTTCAGAAATTTAGTATCATTCCATACATTTATCGATATTGACCTCTCTGTTTTAACCGTGGTTTACAATACATAAGAATCTAGATCCATTTCAATTATTACACGCAGAGTTGACAGTAACTCTATCCCTAGTTCATGGTTTCAATCTTCATTTTAAACCGCGCACTGAATCAGGATGCGGTTATAACGGCAGATTATTATCTATTTTAATCTATAGCCCATAAGTAGTTGATAGTTACTTTAGGCTTATGTAAGTTACCCATCGGCTGCTTCCAAGAACGCTCACGTGATGAGAAACAAATTAGCACGGCAGGCTAACCTTGCCGTACGTAGGGTTAGCCTTCGGTTAACCTGCGGATCGATGGCACAGGTCTTGAGGTGTTCCTCGAGATAAAACTTATCTCGCGTAAAGATTCTATTCAAATACATTGTTGCAAGAACCAGGCGTGATGCCTGTTGAATAACCATGCAACCCATGTGCTGGGTTGCCTGGTCAATCGCGCATTGCTGCAAGAACCAGGCTTCAAGTGCAAATTAGTTTTTACTGTATGTATAGACCAGTTTCGGTATTTCTATTGTTTTTACATTAATTAATGCATAGAATAGAAGTGTCGGCGTTGAAGACATAGGCCCATGGCCTGTTGCCGATTCTTGAACTTTTCGTGACTTGATTCACAAGGGATCCGGCCTTTGGAACCCGATCTTTCCATAACTGACGATTGATTGAGATAGCTGCTGGACTTATTGCCTGCTCCGTAATTTGCTAGGCATTTTAAGACTGAACATATGCTCCTGCATAGCTTCGTCTAGTCTGTTTTTGAAGATGTTCATACTCGGAGCTTCAACGATGCTATCGGGGAGGCTGTTCCACATGTCGGTGACTCGAAGCGAGAAGAAATGTTGTCGCATGGATGTGTTCCAACGCTGTTCCAACGCATGCTCGCTGGATGTGTTCCAACGCATGCTCGCTCAGATTCCAGTAAAATTCGACATGGTCTTCTATCCTCCTACATACACGCAAGATATTAAAGACTTTAATATGACTTCAATATTAATATTCATATCGAATAAATAATCAAAAACTGTTCGTTTCTTAGTCTCCATTGCATGATTTGTAAATCCCGATACCTAAAAACACTCACAACTAAGTTAGCAAGCCGTAGCAATGAATGTCGAGACAGCATCGAGTCGCAATCTAGTCACTTTAAATTATATTTATCTCAAGTATATTCAGGATGAAAAAAGTAGTAACATAGGCACATCAGAGCGAAGTGGGGAATAAGGAACTGAAAAAACAGCCGTTGGCTGCAGGGCGCGCAGCAGATTCGCTGTAATAAAGAAGAAAATTGCTGTTGCTAAGGGCCGGCGACCGATCACGCGACCTACGTATGCATGGTCGCCGCAGCGAACGTGCGGGCCCAGAGCTCATGGTCGTTCAAATTACGCAATCTTTTCTCGTTGTCATGCGAAGCATGAACGAGGAAAGATGCATGTGAAATCGGAATGATAATGCGTAAAGACATGAGAATTACAATCGCATGTGAAGATCGCATGAATGATAATGAGTGACGATACGAAAAGCACAGACACAGTAGGTGATGCTTGAAGACTAAACGTATTATAATGCACGAATAAATGCAGTCACAAACGTGGAAAGAGGCGCATAAGGGTTGCGTTGCATGATAATGCGTGAAAACATGCGAAGCACAAAAACGGAAAGTCTTGGCGAAGAATTTGCAGGGATGATAATGCGTACAGATATGCTACTGCACACACAGATAGCGGTGTGTGAAGATTGTACGATTACAGAAGCAATATGTAGCGTATGAAGATTGCGCTGTTGATACAAATAAATCGATATTTGTATCAACCGCGTCGATACGATTATAAATCGGAGCCCAAAAAAATTTTCTGTTCTTCAGTTCTAATATACTGTAATATAATAATTATAAAGAAATGTAATAGGAGCAGAAATGAAGGGAACTAGATCAGAGGAAGCTGCAGCCAGCGAGCAGGTCTCATATAATAACATAGCTGCCCTCAGCAGCTGAGAGTGTTAGGAGAGGGGGCATTCACCCCTGCTCGATATTGCGGCATAAACGAGAAATCTTTGTGAGCATCAAGATGTTGGTTAAAAGTTGTATATTAGAGTGAAAACAATATTATCATTTATTGTATTTGATAATTTTTATTTTAAGAAGGCATTGATTACTGAAAAAATCACAAGAAAGTATTTATAGACGCATTTAGAATTTTTTGTTACAATTGAGAGCGTTTTTTTACTGATTAATGATGTATGTTAATTTATTTAGTGAGGTCGCTTTATTCTCAACAGTTAATATATATTAACTTTCCTAAACCTAATCGATTGTATAATGTTTTAAAACACACACTTTACTTTTTGGTATAATATAAATTAACGCAAATTACATTCAAGTCAAGTTCTATATTCATTGTTACAAAATATTTGCTGATACAAAATAGTCCAGTACGTGTCTGATGTGGCACCTTTTAATAGATTTTTTCATTACACTGGAATATAATTTCAGCATTAGGGAACAATTTAATCCTCATCGTAAAGCTTTGTGAGCCACATTAAGCCAAAAAACAAGCAAGTTTAACAAGTCAATCAGAGTCAAATGTTTTCAATATGCGATGTTAGACGACACTGCAATCCTGACCTGCATCAACACTGCCACACTGCAGACGACGCTACAATCTTGACCTGCATCAACACTGCCACACTGTAGAGGACACTGCAATCCCGACCTGCATCAATACTGCAGCCACACTGTAGAGGACACTGTAAATCCTGACCTTCATTAACACTGTCACACTGTAGAGGACACTGCAATCCTGACCTTCATTAACACTTCGACGAGTAATATGGCACTCGATCAAGACGGCTGTTTTTGTATTGAAATCACGTAATCTTTCCTGAATAAACTTCCACATACAAAATCTCCACTGAGGGTCTGATGTCTGTGAAACTCGTGCGCTAAATTGATGGCCTGAAGCCTTGTAAACATCAGTCAAATTAATCATCGCTTTGTGATATATGCAGTTAACATTGTTTGCCAAGAGCTGACTAACATCTATTATATCATAATTTTCCTATCACTAGGATCATTATGTTCTTCCTATGTTATATCATCTATAACTAATAATACTTCTTGTGGCCTGGCTCATTAATGATTGGTGCATGGTATAAAACCTCTGAATATTGAGATTTAAATTTAAGATTCTGAGCGTTAATTGAAGCCTGTAGATATTTACGAATTAGGAATTACGGACAATTTTTTTGCTTTTTCTCAGTTAAAAAATCATCTATTTCTTAACAAACATTATTCCAAATAAATTTCACGAAAGCATTCGGCATTCTGAATGATTAATAAGCTCTACAAATTAGAGCAAACTCCGTTTTAGGCTGTTTGCTTTGAACATTATAAAGCTCTATTTGATCTTTAGATTGTTTCTTCCTCGAATTTAATCGTAGCGATAAAGAAAAAGGAAAAAAGCGGCCTTTGGCAGCTTTGCTACCGTTGACCTTGAGT